AAAATGGTGCCAGCGATCGAAGCCTTTGCAAATATATGATCTTCTTCTATGATCGTCTTTATAGTAATTTTCCGATTTCGGTCGCCCCTCGGCAGGGAATGTCAACCCCTCCTAGTGTATTTCTGAAATGAAAAACCATCAGCCGTTTGAAGGTGGCTTAGTATAAACTTTATGTCCGTCCATTTTTTGGAAGAACATTAAGGCGCAAAACCACAAATTGGAGGAGGAGCTCGGCCGAAAAACGCTTCAGCGGTATATATATATATATATATATATGTATACGATTCAAAGTTACATTTAGTCATTGACTAGAGATAATACGTGAAGAACACTGCGAAAAGTAACTCCTTTAACATTGTGAACCTTTTTCATAATTCTTTTTATTTATACGAATTAAACCCAGTAATAATAAAACTTCCTAATTTCATTTACTTGATATATGTATATTACTGGCGTATGTGTATGTGTATTACTGGCAAGCGGAACAATTTTTAACAAAAGAATAATTTATCAACTATATTATGTTTGAATACCTATGGTTCAAATATTTGGAAAAATACGTTCTTCTCATCATGCATACAAAATTTCATGGATGAAACAGATGACGACTTCTCCTCCGTTGGAAAGACCAGGTAGAAAATGATCTGGCCGCGCATCCGAGTCGGGCCAAATATCAAGAAAAAGAGGTTGTTATTGACTCGACTATAATCGCGTAGCGGTGTCTACGCTAATAAAGAAGAAGAAGAAGTATCCTTGGCACCATTTGGCATAACATTTCATAGCACCGCCACGTTCTGTTTTCCGCCTGTAGCCCATCTGATTTTCATAAGAGCTCTATCTGCCCTTCCAAAAGTGTTCCAGATTCCCGAGGCGAAACAAATTAATTAGTATAATTATAATTTAATCTCCCCTCTTCAGTCAGATTTTAGGACAATCCATAGCTGTAGTGAATATCAAGGATGACATCCGATTAAATTTGGACAATAATCAACTGCTATTGCTCTGTTAACTTCACTTCTCAAAGACGTTTCAAATGGTGAACCACGAATTATTATGTGATACGTTGAAAACTTACCCTTGGTTCAGCCTTGAAAATAGTTAACAAGATTTAAGCCTCGGATTTATTATTACCTTAAATTTAACATGCAGTGACCAAGTAAATTCTGTTGTAGACAAGGTCTATGTTACTATGAGAAACCTGAGGCAGCAATCAGCGATCTTAGTCACTTTCAAGTGAGCTCAAAAAAAAAATTTAAAACTTTCACCGAAGACATATTTAGCACGGCAACACTCTCAAGTAAATACTAACGGTTTTGCTCGAAATTTAGAGAAACGTAGCAAACAATTTAGGCAAATCGCGGTTCAGCCTAAATATGAGTGCGTAAATTCTCATTTTTTATAACATACATAGTTAAGCAGCGCCACTGACTTACTTGGATTTTTACACGATATTTCAGTACAATATTTTATTGAGAAACAATCAAATATTTAATTCTATTAAGTTTTAACATTACTATTAAAATAATTTCTTTAATAGCATAATTTAGAAACAAAAGCAATGGATTTTTATATTGACATTGCTACAAACTGACTGAATTTGAGTGAGTTTCGTAACTAGTCAACTTTATTAGAAACCTCGGTGTCAAAAGAAAAGAGTTATAGTGGGATATTTGGTATGAAGAGTGTGTTGTGTACTGTGGACCGATATCCCATCGGGAGCAGAGGTATGTGGGTATCTCAATTATACTGATGTTTGTCTACGACCTTCCTCAAGTGTTCTTCCAGGGTTTGGTTGAATCGTCCTTCGAGTTTTCCGAATACACAGGATCTACCACATCTCCTGGAATACAACCGCTTCGAAATTCCTTCCTTGGTCAAAGTGCATCTCTATAGGTGCACCGTATCTGGCAATCCAATCATGGGTGTACGCATCTGCATCAGTTCTAGCTCCCTGATTTGAAGACCTCCGGCTGTTTGCTAAAGTAGTCAATAACCTCATGGACGTACTTATTTCATAGTCTGCTCATAGAAAATGCGCCAGTACCATACGTGGCAACTCGTTCAAATGGAGCACCTGAATTATATTGCTGCATCTGTCCATTACGTCTAGATTTCGACACTTTTTGCGACCAATCCAACATAACCGCTGTTTGATCTTATCCAAGGTTTTCGTGATCCCCAGGTGGCCTACTTCAAATATTCTATTAGATTACGGGAGCACGGTCCACTCTCGTTTTCCTCACACTCTATGCAAACAACCAAATATCAAATTTAAATTTCTCCATTGCGCCCAGTACGTCTTTGAAACTTTCTGTTGAAATTTGCTCCATATTTGGCCTTCTGTCAATTTCTAGCCGGTGCTTTAGAAGTGTCAAGTCCGGATCCTCTTGCTGACTTGCCTCCTACTCTTCTGCTGATAAAATTATCATCAACCGGACATGCTATATGGTCGACCGGGCATAGCGCCAGCTTTTCCTTGGGAATTTCCTTTGCGGTGTCCAATAGTGAAGTCATAACTTTGCAGTCTTTCAATCCATCAAGCTAGCTGTCCTTCAAGATTTCCAAACTATAGTAGACAGAAGTTTGGAGGCGAGCTAAAGTGAGAAGGTGGAACCCATGCGGTCGTGCGTAGGGTTTGGCATCCAACACATGAAGAATAAACTCCAACGAAAAAAAAAATATGACTCGGATGAGAGACTCGAGCATATTTATGAGCCCTCGCCACGATGTCTAAATTTTGCTTGGCGACTTCAACGCCAAGGTGGGCAAAGAAGATAACTTCGGCTTCACTGACGGAAAATTCAGCCTCTAAATGGATTGAGGAAACGAAATCTCAAACCCTCAACGTACCGCCGCTACGGAAATATATGGTTTTCGGCAGTGCAAGAAAAAGAACTGAGGAATGTTGAACTGCAGTGGAGAGAAAACGGATTGCCTACCTGCTGCAAACTTGTGATCGACTACAACACGTGGGGTGGGATAGATACCAGAGCTGCGGAGGAAAGCAAATGCATTTGCAGAAAAAAGGTAAAGGACGAAATGCTGATTGTTCAAGCTTGCGGAAGGTTTCAAGAACAACGTTCATTTATTACGTTTATTCCACACTCTGCTTCCTGCTCTGTACTGTATTGACCCCTTCCTCAGCAATATTCGAACTCAGCGACTACTGCGATGCCGATAGCTCCACCTTGGAATCGCAAGGCGGTAGATAATTCTATTATTATTCTGCCTTTTAATTGACTACCTAATTGAGAAACGATTTCTGGAACTGAATCTGACGTTAACCTATGTGGCTTTCGAAACTCAGTTGCATTCAAATGGAAAGGATCTTCCACTTCCCGAAGCAAACTTCTATCCAATGATGACGCGTACGGTACCTCCTCATCTTGAAATAAAAGGTATGCCAAATACTAGAAAGGCATCATTGATTTTTATGTTCTTTTTCTTTTTATATTACCGAGTTATTTTACTTTATCATTAATGAAGTATCAATATTTTGTCAATGGCGCTAACAACTTCAAAATATTCCACGCTTAGTTAGCGATTTGTAGAGTAGTTTACGACAACAGCGACAGCGAGAATGATTAAAATAAATACACCGATTATTAAAATCGTTAGAATTATCGCTTAGTCTGAGCTTTCATGAGGATGCTTTTGATTCTTATTATTGCGTCGCTCTTCACGTTCACACAGAGATACTTTCTACAAGCAATTTTTTGACATTTGTTTCTTCTTCATTTTTTTCCTTCATTCCTCTTTATTTCACACTCTTAATTTTTCGTTCGCTTCGCGTTGTTTAATATTTCTGAAATAAAAACGCAATGTGTGTGTAAAGAAAGACACAGCTTTTGATTATCTATTAATTTCTTCTGCGAGGCTATATGCTTTCAGCAGCTGAAAGTCAGGACCTACAAGCGCAGTAGTAAGGCGTTACGCATGAACGCGTGAATAGTCTTCGCAGTCCCGCGCCTGAATTTCAGGAAGCTGTTTTCAGCTTCAATTTGCTACGCCCAACAAGAGATAACGAAATCGTAAAAACTACCAAGCCATTGCAGTATCTTCCAAGACGAAATTTTTGCTATTAAACCGGCGGCAGAGATACTAAATTGTGCCGAGTTTCAAATGAAAAGAATACACATCCATGTGGACTATCAGTATTGAAGAACGCTCGTCAACAAAAACGGGAAGAGCTCAACGTCGAAAAGATGAAATCACAACAGACTGCCGAACGATTTTCTACTCGGACATACTTTTGCCGACCAATTTATTCCTAGAATCTTGCTTGAAATAAATAAAACGGTAAAGCGTCAGCGCTCTTTATTAGGGTAGGGGGCGTTACTTCCCATTGCCCGTATGAAACTCAACGCAGATCGCTCCAATTTAGGTATATCAGCAAGTCATTTTTGCGATCGGAAAATCGTTATAAGGTGTGTAGAGAATAGCGAAATCGCTAAGTAATTTTAACGATCCGAAAAGCGTTGTAATAAATCAGAAATTATACCACTGATATTTCAATTTAATTTCGACGATAGAAGGGAAAATTGAGCTTTGATTAGTCTTAAACTTATAAACCAATTTTTGCGCTGTGAGAATTGTTCCATTGATTCATATCATTTTAATAACTTCACATAAGGGGAATTATTGTTATTAATATAGATATATTTATGATTGAAATTTAAGATAAAGACTGAATAGATGGATTAATTAATTAATGAAAAATAAAAAATTTGTTTGGTGTTGTTATTTAATGGCTTTTATGGCTTTTATTTTTTATCAGTTCTAACATTGTTCGTTTTATAGTGCTTTATTTGAGCGTGTATAAAAATTTCAAAACTCCTTTTTGTTATTCATATTTGGTGTTTTCGCTATAGTAAATCATAACACTACAACACTTGTATTCGGTACTATGTTAACTCGGGTTATTTAGAAACGATTTCTATTAAGTAATTACATTTTGTTGAGTGGAACGCATATAATGGTTTAAGGTCCACTTACATATACAATTATTTTGTGTGAGCCGAAGTTGAATAAATAAAATTTGGAAATTCTTTTAATGTTTCTATAAATTATTCTGTCTTGAAATAATTTATTTTATTTATAACATCACTAACAACGTGTTACGAGAAAAAAGGGTAATAATTACATAGTTGAATATGAGTGTGTGAAGAAATAAGTAAAAGTGAATTACTGAAAATGTACATACATACATACATATGTGTAAATAGGCATACATATTTCTACTAAATATGCTTAGTTTCTAATCAATTTGCAAATAAGGTAAAAACATTGATGAATTTCGATATACTTGGAATTACCATAAGAACGTGAGAAAGTGAGCTGAATATTACATATTTTTATATTACTTTTACTATGAACTCTGCAGTTGACTTTTTGTGGAGAGCATATCTAGATATTATCTATCATAGCCTATTTTACCAGGCTAGTATATATGTACATATCTACGTATTATTTATGTATTACCAGATCCACAACTATAATAAGTAAAATTTTTAGGAGTTGTGCTAACTTTGTTATTTTCCGTTTGGAAATTATTAAAAAATATATAAAGCCGTAGGAACATCTTTTAAACTGTATTCCATTTTAAAGGATTCTAAGTCGCAAATGGCCTCCTAATGCCGTTTGGCTTTTATGTTCATTTCTCTCTGATTAGTAATGCTTGATAGAGGAATATTTTTAAAATAAGTGCTTAATGCCTTAAATAACAAGGAGAAATAAAGGCATTTTAATTAAAACAAAAATTACGAAAATCATATATGCTAAATGTTGAGTAATTATAACTACAGGGACTAAACATGAATGCACATATATATTGTTTAATGTTATATATATGTTAATCCACTATACTTTTATTGAAAAGGATTGTGATACCTATAAATATAGTAGGTAGGGTGGAAACTTCTGACTCCTCTTCCAAAAAAGGTTTAGTGTATTTCTATTTTAGAACTTTGAAAAATTTTTAATTTAATTAATATTCTTTTTAGAAGTTATTACTTTCAAGCATTTAATAAACGTCCTTAAAAAATTAAAACATTTATTGACAATCATAAATTGTTACACAAAATTAAACTTAAACAGATGCCGATTGAACTTTACTTAATTTTTCAAAATAATATCGGAGGAGTAAATTCCCATCAGACTTAGTAGTTGTTCCAGTAGATAAAGGTTTAAGCGGTACTTCTTTTGTGTACTATTGCATAATAGTATGTGTTTTGCGACGCTCTGTGTAAAATCAAATCAATATTTTGGGACCTTAGTTCCTAAGTTGAGGAAGTGGTTTTTCTCAGTGCTTTATTTAACTTGGTTTAGTAACCGCAAAAATATTTCCAAATTAGTATTCAGGTCATTACAAACGTGACAGGCCCTGACCGCATACAAAATCGGATGTTGTTGTTTTTGTAAGCGCTAAAATATTCCTCAAAGTATTTTTTGCGGTATGCTGCGGGAGTAACAGTTCTTGGACGGATAAAAATCCATTACACATGTGTTACTAGCATGTTTTGCGTAAGGAGAGTGGTTTGTTTCTCCACTATCTGTAATGTTATGTCATGACTAAACTTTTTTTTTGTACAATAGCTTATAGTTTTTATTATCATTTTGTATATTCTTGTTTGCAATTGTAATTACTCAGTAATAGAAAGAAATAAAAGAAACTGTCTTTATTCTTACACAGTTCCCTTGTATATTTAGAGAAAAAATCAAAATGGCAACTGTTTACAACCCCTGAAAAGATTTTCGGTCGAAGTCCCCTCTTTAGTTGCAAAAGCCTCAAGACACATACCACAAATTGGGGAAGGAAAATCGATCTGAATATTATTACCTAAAATTGATATTATATTATAATATTTCTATTTTATCATCTTTTCAATTTTTCTTTTTAATGTACAGTTGTTTAAACGGTGTTTAATGCACTATATATAACATGGCTAAAATGGAAGTTGATGATGTTGTGGACTTAAGTGTTGGGTCTAGTCGAGACCCAGCACTTACAATAACTTCAGCTTCGATTCGAGATGTTAGATCTTTGCCCCAAAATTCTGGCCTCACGATTACACCTGCAACCTCACTGCCCTGCTCTAATATAGCTAGCAGTAACGGTAATAAAAACATACACATACTTGCGCGTACATGTATAATTTTACCATATTCATTGTTTCGTTGTAGCAGACCTAGCATTACAGGAGGAAAATAAAGTACAACGCAGAGTTCTTAGACCACGGACGGAGCCTAAGTCCTACGCAGAAGCGCCAGACATAGTTTTATTGCCTGCACGATTGAACGGACGCCAGCATAATGGAAATATAGATTCCGAAACAGATGATGAAGATTCGGCATCATACGTTCCAATTAAGGAACTCTCTCCTGCAGAAATCGAAGAGCGCGAAAAGGGACTACGTAAACTTCGAGAAGATTTGAGAAATGAGGAAACCAAATTGGTGTTACTTAAAAAACTTAAACAATCCCAACATGTAATGAAGGAAAACTTAGCACTTAATCCCGTTACTCCTTCAAGTAACCCTTTGACCATTATTCCAACTGCCCTTACTTCGAAAGGCTCATTGAGTGTGACTCCTACTACAGTTTCATCAGCGTCGAGTCACTCTAAAAGTCGTTCTACTAACGTAAATATAAAGTAAGTGCCGTTTTATATGTTTTTTTTTAGATATGTCATTTGAAATGTCATTAAAAATTTCAGCACAACAAGTAGTCGTAATACAACATCTTCTCCATCTACAATGGCAACTTCATCACCTTCGTTCAATCGTACGAGCTCTTCAGTTCTTCCACCTCCTCGCTCCTCACTTCCAGGTGGAACTACATTAACTACTCATTCCACACATAGGATTCATTCTCGTTCGAATCTTCCGAATCTAACCATTACCCCTTCAGTTACAATTACGCCGACGACGGCTCCACCGTCTGGAATAAAACAACGTAATGTGAGTAATTGTAATGTAATCGTTGCAGCAAGCGGCTTCTGAAATCGTTTGGCTTTTATGTGCATTTAATATATTTTTGTTAATATATTTTGTGGCGTCCTACGGACTGGAAGGATATCATTTATTCGGCTCTAAGAAGACTAGTATAGATTTCTAGTACTCCAGATCCGTGCAAATATTTCGACTTACGTAGATATCGAGTGCATCATACAGATTTTAAAGACAAATTCGCAAATTGAATGTTTTAATTAATGTTGGTCTTCAGCTGACTAATTTTTTTTTAATAGGAGCCGGAAGAACAATTGATTTATAGTCTTTGAAACGTGTTAAACGCTATACCAAATTTAAATATTTTCGAGCTTTTCTAATTAAATTTGTATTCTTTTAGGATTTTTGTAATTTGATTTTCACTCAATGGCTAGCACAATTCCAGAAAAGATCAATTTTATAGGTCTCATTATTTTTGTTTTTGTCGGTTCTCTTGATAGTACCGCAAAGAAAATGTTTTTCTTTTCAAATGAACTAACTTTAAGCACACAGTTAAATGCGAAGATTTTCTATTGTATGCTGTAGAATAGCGCGTTTAATTGTGTTATATTATTTCCTTAATAAAATATTTATTTTTTGTTTATACAGATTAATATTTCTGAAAATTCGAAGCTATCTGGTATGATTAATAACTCCGTTTCCATAACTCCCTCTTCCAACCTTCTACAACAAAATCAACAGCAACAAGATATGAAGGTATAAAAATAAAATTTAAATATTTGTGAGATAATATTAAACATATTTCAGAGTGATCGTACAAGTTCACGCGATGAGGTATTGACACCAGCGCAGAGGCAAGCTGCTGCAAAGTTGGCTTTGCGGAAGCAATTGGAAAAAACGCTTCTACAAGTAAGTTCTATACGATCTATAATATCTAAAGGAAGTTGGATTAGTGGTAGCCCGATTTACAAACACGAATTAGTATTTAGTGGAGCTTTTTCTACAAAAAAAGTAAATAAGGTGATTCGGCCGAGCTCGTCCTCCAATTTGTGGTATGCGTCTCGATGGTTTTCCAACAAATGGTGAGACCTACAGTTGATGACTTTTTATGAAGAGCTATTATTTCATGTCTAAAATACGCTCGAAAAATTTGACATTATCTGCCGAGGGGCGACTGTAATTAGAAATTATTTATTTCTATAATTTTGGTTGTTGGTCCAACCAGAACTCGAATTCCGAATGGCAGTACGCAATGCTAACCACACGACTATTTTTAGAGTTTTTAATGGTGGGATTGAATAAACAACCCTGCCAGAAGGCTTCCGATCATTTAAGCCATCATATGTCAGGAATGCCTGAGGTCGATAGAACGATTTTCCCATCACTTTCTTGAGACCCAAATGAAAAATATGATGCTTCTCTAAGAAAAATAAAAAAATAATATTCGAATCAGAATGCTATTAATATCTAAATACAGGTGTACCTCGCAAAGTTTTGCTGAATATTTTTATATCCGCAACTGCTGCAAGATAAGAAGCGACCATTCCAGTCAACCTCCTCCTTAAGATGAATTTTTCGTACAATATGGGATGCCCATAAACAAATAAAAAAAAGAAAAATAAATTAGCAAAATTTGTTTGTGGAAGAAAATAGCTCGTATTTGTGGACTCAAAAATTATACATTCTTTACTTACCATTCACTAAAGATTTTTTAATTTAATTCGTAGATTCCGCCCCCAAAACCTCCTCCCCCGGAGATGCACTTCATTCCAAATCCGAGTAATACAGAGTTTGTTTATTTACTGGGGTTGGAAACAGTTGTCGATTATTTAACAACCAACAATAAAAAACAAACGGCAGTGGTGCCGCCTTTCCATTGCGCACAGTGCAAAATCGATTTTACTCCTGTTTGGAAATGGGATAAACAGAGTAAGATAAAATGAAAGAATAACTATTTCACTGTAATTAATTATCAATACTATTTATTACAGTGAATAAAGAAGCAAAGGTCATATGTGAACAGTGTGTAACAACTAACGTTAAGAAGGCTTTAAAAGCCGAGCATACAAACCGATTAAAGCAAGCATTCGTTAAGGCCCTTCAACAGGTAAAATACTATATAAAATAATTAAATAAAATTTAAACATGTTTAATACATTCACTATAGGAACAAGAAATTGAACAACGGATAACTAGTCAAGGCAGTCCATCGCCTGTCGAAGCCCATAGTTCTACGCCGTCAACTGGTCAAACCCAACAGCTTCCAATGATACCATTGCATCAGCAACAACAGTCTACTACAAGCGCTCTCGCTAATTTGCCACCTTCTGTTACCGTTATTCCAACAAAATGTCATACACCCACACCTACAGTTGCTTCCCGACCGACACCGCCACCATGTATCCAACAAACACCAACTCCTCCTCCATCCACTACTCCACGTTCTTCGCGTAATCAACAAACAGCATCACAGCCCACACCAAATCCATCAAGCCAAATACAGCAACGTGAGAGAGAGCAAGTTCAACAACAACAGCAATATACAACTGCGGCGCTGGCCGCTGCTGCTGCTCAGCTTAGTGCCCTTGGCAGCTTACCTGGTTTAAATAACCTTGCCAGTTTAGGTAGTTTAGGTAATATTGGTCAATTGGGTAATTTCTCATCATTAGGAGGATTAGCGAACATACCTGCAGCTGCATCAGCAAATCCTTCGTCAAGCGGATTGGGCAATGCATCGTCGGCAGCTCAAGCCGCAGCATTCCAAGCATTTCAGCAACAACTTCTTCGAGGCATGTGTTCTTTTTTTATATACCATCATAATTATTTAAACATTTTGTTGTATTAAACTACAGCTCTGGGCCAGGGGTTAGCTGCCAATCCACAACATATGATGCAGTTCACACCGCTTCTTTACTCATACCAAATGGCAATGGCTCAAGCGGCACAAGTTGCAGGTAATGTTTTGCAAAAAAAAACAAAAAACAAAAAAAAAAATGAATTCCATATTCTTTTATGCATCTTACTAATGCTAATTCAATTATTTAGCTTTCACTAATAAGAAGAACTCGTCTTCCTCATCTTCAAAGAGTCAATCATCTAATTTGGCTGACATTCAACGTGCTGCCGAGCTTCAGAGGCAATACTTAATGGAAATGATACCACCTCCACAGGCTCCAGGATCCGGTAACAATCGTCAAAATAATTGGAAAACATAAATATCAAAATAAATATGAAATACCATTTTAAATTTCTAAAAAAAAAAAAACATTTAACAACATTGGCTCCTTAAGTTTTAGACGTTTTAAAAGGAGCATACGTTTTTTAATTTGAAATTAGTTTATACTTTAGTTTTGCCCACATTTTAGTTGAAAGTATGTAGTTTCTGATAGGACCATACATATAGTGTTCTGATTTGGTATTTCTTATAAATAGTTATTGATTTAATTGATATTTATTAAAAGAATTTGAAGTTGATTAGAAAATACAAAATTAAAGAAATGTAAGGTGAATAAATGGAACGAACGACGCTCAATACATGATTATTAAAATAAATATTGTATTTACTATTCCATCTTTAAAATAAAAATATAACATAACAATTTACATACATTTTCTCCAGTATATGAATATTTGTAAATTATTTTGAATAAAACAATCACAGATATTCATAGTTCAGCTTTGAATTAAAACTAGCGATATTCTTATCAATATTTTTTTGTGATTTTTTATTTAATAATCTAAAATTTTTAAATCAAATTTCAACTTATTAAAAAAATTTAATTTCCAAGGCCACAAATCGCAATGTTTTAAAATCAGTATAAAATAAGTTGGGAAGAAATCAATGTTAATTTCAGCAAGTTTACTGTTCTCTTGTCAAATTTTTTGTTTTGTACAAATTTCTGCGAATAAAATCACAAATTTCAAATATATATATCTTTAAGCTGTAAGGTTCCTACCACCGCGAATGCATAAAAAACTTATTGTGTCTTATAAGGGTTGGAAGATTGCTTATGCTAGATGAAGCTACCTAAACGAACTTATTTCAGGTGGAGATTAGGGCTACGCAGTGAAGGAGGTAGTGTCTTCCTTGCAGCTACGGCAAAAACCATAGCACGAACCATGGCACGATTTGAGCATGTAGGATTGGCTAAAAGTTAGTTATTTGTGCTGTGCTAACTTTCAGCCCATTGTCCTTGCACTCACTTTCTACATCATAGAAAGTAGATCACTTCAAATTTGAGCTGGTTTTCTGTTACTGTTGGGCCAATGTCGGAAGCTAGAATACACACTGCCACCAAGTTTTCCTTGGCCATAGCTGTTCAGCTGCTACGATATCCTCTTTATAGAGTTTTTGCAGTTTATGAATAATTGTGATTCCACAAGACACTTGCTTCCATCTCCTTCCATGCAATCATTGCAAGACGACGGAATTTTCGAAATATACCCTCAATCAATATTATTTTACTGTTGTCTAAACGGACGTTCTCTGTCTATGACTCCGAGTGTATAGGGCACTACGGCGACTTCGCTAAATGGTATTGCAGTTTGGGCTGCCGGCTTGTTGCTGTTGTTGTAGCGGTTCGCTAACCACCCTTAGGCACAGGTTTGATCAGTCTAAGTCGCCGAGGTCATCTAGTGGGAGGTCCAGGAAACGAGCTGTTTCGACGGGGTTGGACCAGAGGGAGAGGGGGGTTAGATAAGTTGGTTTGAGAGGGCATGTGAAGAGGTGGTTAGTGTCGTGCGGAGACTCTCCACATGCAGGGCATACGTTGGGTATGCTGGGGTCTTGTCTGGATAAGTAGAAGTTTAACCTGCTACAATATCCAGACCCCTTCTTATCAGGGCTAGTGTCGAAACCAACCTTGGTCCGACGGACTATNCCCCGCTTAGGCACAGGTTTGATCAGTCTAAGTCGCCGAGGTCATCTAGTGGGAGGTCCAGGAAACGAGCTGTTTCGACGGGGTTGGACCAGAAGAAGAGGGGGGCTAGAGGAGTTGGTTTGAGAGGGCATGTGAAGAGGTGGTTAGTGTCGTGCGGAGACTCTCCACATGCAGGGCATACGTTGGGTATCCTGTGGTCTTGTTTGGATAAGTAGAAGTTTAACCTGCTACAATATCCAGACCCCTTCTTATCAGGGCTAGTGTCGAAACCAACCCTGGTCCGACGGACTATTTCTGCTGCTTGTGTCACAAAAGACTCCACCACTCCTCCACCTAGGTTGGATGCTGCCGGCTTGTGATGGATAGTGGTTGAGCGGATTTTTTTCTTGGATCCACCATCGTTGGCATCTTACTAAAGGGTTTCTTTGGATCGCTTATCTGTGGTAGCGGCATCAGCATTTTTAACCCATTTGAGGCTGGCCTTCTCTCTTGTGGCGCCCTCCATCAGTTATGGGGCAGATATGGCGATTTAGCCAAAAAAGTTTAACTTGTCTAAAGGTATTGTCGTAGGATTTAATGGTTTTGGAACAGCACAGTCGCTGATCTTTTCTTCCGAAGACTTTGATACGCGTTGGATTTTTTTATACATAGTATAATCTGATCCGTTGGTCATTGACAAAAAAGGGACCTTTAGGTGCACGAAAGAGAGGAAAACAGATAGCAAACGGTGTACTGTGTTAGTGCACATTTGGTAATAAAACATTCTCAAATAAATTATTGGACTGTAATTCTTCATGAGTATTTGACCCACCCTTCTCTGACCGATAGTTAGTGTAACCTAAACCATTTTGATAAAACAGCTTCTTCTTGACTGCCGGAGATACCACTTATGCGATTATAGCCGAGTTGACAATGTTGTCATTTATTTTTTGTTTCATAGTTTGGCGCCAATTGGAAATACCAAGTACAGAAAGGTCCCTCTACTGCATTGAAAACCTTCAAAGCTGAAGTATTCCTCTCCATCCGGACCTAGCCAGCGCAGCCGATGTTACCAGACCTACATCTCTCACTTCCTTATCAAGTCTGGAGGAAGTAGAACTGACTTCTTATAGAAGAATATGCCTTCTCTTTTCATATCTGCAGCTCGTACTTTTTGCTCCAGCGGTAATCCTAACACAGCTTTTGATATTGCTTAACGTAAGTTTACACAGCCGTATGAGTTTTGCAGAGATACCGAATTCATACACAGCTAGTAAAAGCAGCACCTTTTCGTGCTGTTTAAGGCTCCTTTAAAATCGACGGAGATGTGATATGTGTCGAACCTTTTTTTCACAGTTCTTTTCCAAGATTTGGCGCATGGCGAATGTCTGGTCAATGGCTAATGAGCCATACTGATAAATTTTAATCAAATTGTTAACGATAGGATCTTATGTGCGATATTGACGAGGCTTCTCCCACGGTAATTGGCCGGTTTTTGTGGATTGGGCTGAGCACAATCAGGTTCCAATCTTCGGACATGCTTTCATCCGACCATATTTTGCAAAGTAACTGATGCATTTGCTCCATTGTTATCGATTGGGGAATAAAGCTCGTCATCTTCCGTCATTCAGCGTGCTGAAGAAATGTTTTCACCATAAATTTAGTATCATCTGCACCAGTTACTAGATCACTTCTTTGTATCTTACTAGAGTTTTCCCTGGTCTTGAAACCTCTTGTAAATCGCCGCATTTTTTCGCAGAATTTTCGAGCAGAACCTGCAAATGCGTCTTGTTTCCCTCTTCGCCAGATTGCAAGAAAGGCAGATTTTCCTCCACTGCGACATGTTAGTCCTCATCGTATCAGCTGTTTTTGCGACCTTTCCTTAATCCAATAGTTGCGTTTGCAGCGTAGGGAGTTTGAAATGTAACCCCACAGTTCCCTTATATCGAGTTGTTGGTGAGTGCTGTCAGAGAGCAGAAGTGCAAGTCGTGTGGTTACAGCTTTCTGACGACAAGCCCTCCTTGTGTGACGAGCGTTGATACACAGAGGCGAGTGAGTATTTTCGCTGCAACAAGATAGTTGTAGGCACGTCAAGAGCACTGGATACTTTTCTTCATAAAAGGTAATCCTTAGTCAATTAAGGGACCTGACATTCCAGATACATGCCCTCAAATCGTGATACTTACTTCGCTTGTGGCCGTCATCAAAAGGGGGTTTCTCATCCGAAGCGTTATATCGCTATGCGAGTACTTTTTGCACGAGTCGTTTGACCAACCTCTGGTAAACAGACGCTGCATTTAGACTTTAGCAAACATCTTTACCGAATAAGTCGGAGTGGCTTAACTGAAGCTTCCGTGATTCAAGTCTCCACATGGTTTGTTACCGCATCTTGCACAAGGGTTGCTAACGTTTTCAGAGTAGGAATGGAGTATAGTCCTGTGACTGTAACTGCATACGCATAAGCTTGACTACACCCCATACATATATATATTGGTCCTTATTATGAGCGGCATTCGTTCTTCGACTAAGAAGACATCGACTGGCGTTCGCTGACAGCCTTAGTTTTGCGTCAGAAAGTCTTGCTTTTTGCTTATACAACTTTCTTATAAATAAAATTTAATAAACTTTTGATGCATAATTGGTAAAGTAGTGAGCAAATATGGTTTCCTATAACGAGCGACCCTGGTATTGAGAAGATAATTTTTGTCGAAGATTATTTGGAAGGCTCTTTCCGCTCCCATTGTGCATTGGCACAAAAAAAACGGTATCATAAATTGTATGCAAAATTCAAATATTTATTAAAAGTCCTTTACAATGTTCATTTATTAAGTTCAACAAAATTACTGAGCGCACTCAGAGATCAATCTGGATTGATCATGTAAATATTTCTTACGACATTCCATATCATCTGCTGGGCGATTATAAGGTAGCCAAATGGGTTCTCCTACGAAATAGCGTTTCGCCTTGATGTAGTTCTGCAAAATGATTTTAGATGGTATACTCACATATATACCTTTAAAAAAATTATATTCATACTCATAAGGTGTATCCTATTCGAAATCAAAACCCAAAAAAAACCTCGAGAAAACACAATTTTGACATTTCTTTACGGCCAATTCTTATCGATATTTCTTACAGAACAGAGTTAATTTTAGAAAGTAAAATTATTCGTTGTAAATAATAATATTAAAAGGACAAGTGATTTTTTGAAAATATTAGCAAGCTGATATCACAGAGTTAAAACATTTAAAAATCTGATCCTTTAAGCAGAATAGGAAACACCTTTTGAAATAGTCACATTACCTTCATGTCCAATGTAAAACGGTGATAGATTCCCGCTGGTATAATTATTAAGTCGTTTTTATCAACTTCAATTCGAATCCATTTATCTGCTTCACTGAAAATAAAATGTATCCAAAAGCTTTTAAACTAATGTTTTTGATACCTGAACTAAAAACTTTATAAAAGGTATAACTTATAAAAAATTTAGATAAAATGAATTTTATATCAACCGAGCAGGCTTAAACAAACAGGAATTTGCTTTATTATAAAGATAAGGGTTTGGTTTATGATTTAAAAATGATTGGCCTCAATAAATTCGAAGACGTCAATCGCATTGGACTTATCTGCGTGGACAAGCGACTTCGCATAACCCACGATCTTAAAGACCAAACCACATACCCACCACGCGAGATAAAGCGCTCTCCAAAAGTGTAAAGCAATAATTCCCTCTGATCATGATCTTCTTTGGCATCTCAGCCAAAAGTGAGTTTTAACACTGAAAAATTTATTTTTGAAAATTGAGAATAGTTTTCAATCTCGTTTTGGGCCTATTCACCGAACATGCGACCCGCCTGTTAGTCATTCGGCTTTGGATTCTGTACCGAAACTTTTTTTGATAAAAAATTTCCGCAATTTGCAAACGTCGTTTCGGAGTAAGTCTGTACTTTATGAAATGGCAAAGGAAATTGAGAAGAAATGAAGTAACAGATTTCATAAAGACCAGCTCGGGAAAAAGTAGTTCCTCATTGAAAACGTCTTAAAAAACCTTTAACAATCAACAAAAAGAAAAAATAATAAAAAGTATTTCAGTTAGAATATATATATTACATATTTTTATTGTTAGAGGAGTTCTTAATTTATAAGAAATTCTCTAGGGAAAACTAAGAATATATATCTGTTAGTATCAAACTGAGCTTTGCGCAATTCGGTGGGTGTCAGCAATAATATATAATAATTTAATTGTTTTGAGAAAGTCTATAAAAGATCGATATATAATATATATTCAGTTAGAGAGAGAGTTTGAACTACTTTAAATGTCTCTGAGATTATAGAACAGGCTACAATTTTACTTGCAAAGTTTTAATCATGCTCCGAAGAACTGATATTTAACAACTGCTTGACTTACTCTCTGACGTCGAAATATCCCGAACCATCCAAAACCAATCGTATTTCTTCATCCGTGTGTAAATGCTCAGTGTAGAATGTTTTGAGCTTAGCTTCAAAATCAGGTAAAGTGTCTTTAGCGATAGTTACCTACACAAAAGGAAACAGAAGTGAAGTGAAAACATTTTATTTTATTAATTATTAATTATTATTATATTAAGTGGTAAAATAATTATTGAGGGGGAAGTTAAGTTAAGTTATGAAAGCGATAGATAATGAGGAAAAATAATTTTGAACCTTAGATCTTGACATATAAATAAGTAATTTCTTTCTCCGTGACCTTCTCTAATCCATCTCAGCATCAGGGCAATCACTGGCATTCGGTTCAACGGTCATAATAATAAAACCGATCGGTGATGTTAGACAGTGGAGGTACGCCCCCAAGATATCGAGAGTTGAAGAGGAAAGGCACATTTGCAGGTAGAAAGAAAAGAAGCTGGCCGACCGCGGTAATGCTTGGTGATTTTATGGGAAGATGCAATGGCATACATAACATGAAATCGGAGGACCCAAAGTGGTCAACTAATGCTCAGGGTATACTGAACCTGGTAAATGCCAGTAAAAATGAGACACATATATATTCACATAAAATCACCGATTCTTCACACACACATATGTATATATATATAGACGACATCGACATATGACGAAGTCCACAAAGCTATCGTCCGCCTGAAAAATAGCAATGAGGTGGGATAGAGAGGGAAGCAAGACGCACTTACAGGCAAAATAAAAAATCGAGGAACACTTCTACAGCCTTCTGATTGGCAATGAAAGTGCAACATCAGGAAATGGCAAACTCGATTCCCCACGATGACGACGGAGCAAATGTATCATTGTCCGACTATGACGAAGTTGGAATAGCAATAGTCCGCTTGAAAAAGAACTGTTAATTTAAATATATATATAATTAGCGCTTTGTAACCGCTGAAGCAATTTTCCACCGAGCTCCTCCTCCAATTTGAGAGGCCTTTATTTCATGTCCGAAATACACTCGGAGGGGTGCAATCCCACAGTCTGTGCCAATTACCGTGGGATAAGCCTGCTAAATATCGCACATGAGTGCCTATCGAGCGTTTTGTATGAAAGACTAAGGCCCACCGTAAACAATTGTCGTGTGGTTACAGCTTTCTGACGAAAAGTCATCCTTGTGTGACGAGCGTTGATACACAGAGACGAGTGAGTATCTTCGCTGCAACAAGATATTTGTACGCACGGCAAGAGCACTGGATACTTTTCTTCATAAAAGGTAATCCTTTGTCAATTAAGGTTATTGAGGAGATCATTTTTGTCGAAGATTATTTGGAAGGCTCTTTCCGCTCCCATTGTGCATTGGCACAAAAAAAACGGTATCATAAATTGTATGCAAAATTCAAATATTTATTAAAAGTCCTTTACAATGTTCATTTATTAAGTTCAACAAAATTACTGAGCGCACTCAGAGATCAATCTGGATTGATCATGTAAATATTTCTTACGACATTCCATATCATCTGCTGGGCGATTATAAGGTAGCCAAATGGGTTCTCCTACGAAATAGCGTTTCGCCTTGATGTAGTTCTGCAAAATGATTTTAGATGGTATACTCACATATATACCTTTAAAAAAATTATATTCATACTCATAAGGTGTATCCTATTCGAAATCAAAACCCAAAAAAAACCTCGAGAAAACACAATTTTGACATTTCTTTACGGCCAATTCTTATCGATATTTCTTACAGAACAGAGTTAATTTTAGAAAGTAAAATTATTCGTTGTAAATAATAATATTAAAAGGACAAGTGATTTTTTGAAAATATTAGCAAGCTGATATCACAGAGTTAAAACATTTAAAAATCTGATCCTTTAAGCAGAATAGGAAACACCTTTTGAAATAGTCACATTACCTTCATGTCCAATGTAAAACGGTGATAGATTCCCGCTGGTATAATTATTAAGTCGTTTTTATCAACTTCAATTCGAATCCATTTATCTGCTTCACTGAAAATAAAATGTATCCAAAAGCTTTTAAACTAATGTTTTTGATACCTGAACTAAAAACTTTATAAAAGGTATAACTTATAAAAAATTTAGATAAAATGAATTTTATATCAACCGAGCAGGCTTAAACAAACAGGAATTTGCTTTATTATAAAGATAAGGGTTTGGTTTATGATTTAAAAATGATTGGCCTCAATAAATTCGAAGACGTCAATCGCATTGGACTTATCTGCGTGGACAAGCGACTTCGCATAACCCACAATCTTAAAGACCAAACCACATGCCCACCACGCGAGATGAAGCGCCCACCAAAAGTGTAAGGCAATAATTCCCTCTGACGGATCTTTTGTGAATGTAAAGGCATCTCAGCCAAAAGTAAGTTTTAACACTGAGAAATTTTTTTTTGAAAATCGGGAATAATTTTCAATCTCGTTTTGGGCCTATTCACCGAACATGCGACCCGCCTGTTAGTCATTCGGCTTTGGATTCTGTACCGAAACTTTTTTTGATAAAAAATTTCCGCAATTTGCAAACGTCGTTTCGGAGTAAGTCTGTACTTTATGAAATGGCAAAGGAAATTGAGAAGAAATGAAGTAACAGATTTCATAAAGACCAGCTCGGGAAAAAGTAGTTCCTCATTGAAAACGTCTTAAAAAACCTTTAACAATCAACAAAAAGAAAAAATAATAAAAAATATTTCAGTTAAAACATATATATTACATTTTTTTATTGTAAGAGGAGCTCTTAATTTGTAAAGAATTCTCTAGGGAAAACTAAGAATTTATATCTGTTAGTATCAAACTGAGCTTTGCGCAATTCGGTGGGTGTCAGCAATAATATATAATAATTTAATCGTTTTGAGAAAGTCTATAAAAGATCGATATATATATAATATCTATTCAGTTAGAGAGAGAGTTTGAACTACTTTAAATGTCTCTGAGATTATAGAACAGGCTACAATTTTACTTGCAAAGTTTTAATCATGCTCCGAAGAACTGATATTTAACAACTGCTTGACTTACTCTCTGACGTCGAAATATCCCGAACCATCCAAAACCAATCGTATTTCTTCATCCGTGTGTAAATGCTCAGTGTAGAATGTTTTGAGCTTAGCTTCAAAATCAGGTAAAGTGTCTTTAGCGATAGTTACCTACACAAAAGAAAACAAAAGAGAAGTGAAAACATTTTATTTTATTAATTATTAATTATTATTATATTAAGTGGTAAAATAATTATTGAGGGGGAAGTTAAGTTAAGTTATGAAAGCGATAGATAATGAGGAAAAATAATTTTGAACCTTAGATCTTGACATATAAATAAGTAATTTCTTTCTCCGTGACCTTCTCTAATCCATCTCAGCATCAGGGCAATCACTGGCATTCGGTTCAACGGTCATAATAATAAAACCGATCGGTGATGTTAGACAGTGGAGGTACGCCCCCAAGATATCGAGAGTTGAAGAGGAAAGGCACATTTGCAGGTAGAAAGAAAAGAAGCTGGCCGACCGCGGTAATGCTTGGTGATTTTATGGGAAGATGCAATGGCATACATAACATGAAATCGGAGGACCCAAAGTGGTCAACTAATGCTCAGGGTATACTGAACCTGGTAAATGCCAGTAAAAATGAGACACATATATATTCACATAAAATCACCGATTCTTCACACACACATATGTATATATATATAGACGACATCGACATATGACGAAGTCCACAAAGCTATCGTCCGCCTGAAAAATAGCAATGAGGTGGGATAGAGAGGGAAGCAAGACGCACTTACAGGCAAAATAAAAAATCGAGGAACACTTCTACAGCCTNTCGGTTCAACGGTCATAATAATAAAACCGATCGGTGATGTTAGACAGTGGGGATACGCCTCCAAGATGTTGAGAGTTGAAGAGGAAAGGCGCATTTGCAGGTAGAAAGAAAAAAAATCGTGAGTGTGAAGAGCTTGAGAAGCTGGCCGACCGCGGTAATGTTTGGTGATTTTGTGGGAAGATGCAATGACATACATAATATGAAATCGGGGTATTCTGAACCTGGAAAATGCCAGTAAAAATGAGACATATATTCCACATAAAATCACCGATTCTTCATACACACACACATATATATATATATATATATATATACATAGACGACATCGACGACGAAGTCCAATTAACTATCGTCCACTTGAAAAATAGCAATGAGGTGGGATATCAGTGCTGAAGAGGGAAGCAAGACGCACTTACAGGCAAAAAAAATCGGGGAACACTTCTACAGCCTTCTGAATGGCAATGAAAGTGCAACATCAGGAAATGGCAAACTCGATTTTCCATGATGACGACGGAACAAATGTATCATTGTCCAACTATGACAAAGTTCGAATAGCAATCGTCAGCTTGAAAAAGCACTAAGAGGCGGGAGCCGTTGGTTTACTGGCCGAGCTATTTAAATATATATATAATTAGCGCTTTGTAACCGCTGAAGCAATTTTCCGCCAAGCTCCTCCTCCAATTTGAGAGGCCTTTATTTCATGTCCGAAATACACTCGGAGGGGTCCAATCCCACAGTCTGCGCCAATTACCGTGGGATAAGCCTGCTAAATATCGCACATGAGTGCCTATCGAGCGTTTTGTATGAAAGACTAAGGCCCACCGTAAACAATTTGATTGGACCTTATCAGTGTGGCTGTAGACTTGTTGCTCCAAATCTTGGAAAAGATCCATGAAAGGAGAATCGACACACTTCGCCTCTCCGTTGATTTTAAAACAGCTTCGGAAAAAGAGTTCTGCTTTCTCCAGAGTTATCCAGAGAATTAAAGACACGGAGGATATGGGTCTGGGAGTGAAAGAGGGCTCCTGTTGACAGTCACAACTTAAAAGTCGCAGATAATGTCAGCCTTAAATTCCAACGCAGAATCATTCATGCAAACAGGTGCTACTTTGGACTGAGTAGGCAATAGAAAAGTAAAGTCCACTTTCAAAAAAACAAAGACCAAACTCTACAAGTCACTTATCATTTCTGTCTTGCTATATGGTGCGAAGGCACGGACGATGACAATATCTGATGAGTTGATGCTGGCAGTTTTCGTAAGAAAGGTTTTGCGAAAGATTTCTGGTGGTCTACGTGTTGGAAACGACGAATATCGCAGTAGATGGAACGATGAGATAACAGTACCCGTCGGTGGACAGACCTCTACTCAATCAGAAAGATAAGATAGAGAAGGATCTGGATGTACTTGGTACTTCCAATTGGCGCCAAGCTCGGCTGTGAACGCGTAGGTGGCCGCGTAACCAGTACAGAAGACAAAGAATTTCCGAATGTAAAACGTAAATTTTTAATAATTATTTATATAAAACTCACCTCATCTTCATAGCTGTAATTCCTGTCTTCACGTATTTGTTTCAGCAATGCATCATTTCGGAAATTGTCTGCGTCTATCTGAGAATAACGGAAAATTAACTTTAATTACATAAATCATTAAAAAAGATATTATACGATTAGATTTACGATGACTTTCATTAACCCTAGTAAGATAATTTTCGTCGAAATGACGTACTCAATATCCTTTTAACGCTCTCCGATTATTGTGTATCCGGACCAAGCTTGCTAGATTTTTGGTGAGTTTGGTCAATACGTACGTCAAAATGACGAAGCGTTATCTCTATCTATTGCGTGACATTTTCTTTCCCCTTTGAATATATTTCCTATTAGCACTATTGATTAGAGTCCAACATTAGGAAAATTAGTAACTGAATTTTGTTTCTTTTTTTACTTGGAAGTAAGGTATTATCTGACTCACAAATAGCTGCTGTGTTAAACAAGCGTTGTGAAACTTAATTTTATTTTTTATAAAAGCGAAACAAAAAATAGCTTATAGCAAGATGGTCTGATGTTTTCATCAGAAACAGCTAAAAATAGCACATAAAAAAACGTAATTTACTTAATAAATTATAAAAAACACCAATTGAATTGAAATAATAGTTTTTCTTAAGGCTGATACATCAAATTTTGCGAATATTTCAATGTGGTATATTTTGTGTTTTTTTTTGATGATTTTAAAAGTGTTTTAAACTAAAAGTCGTGAACGCGATCGGGAACATGAATGGCGTAGAGTCATGTGATCTGAAGCGCGAATCATCCCATTTCTCTATGGCATTTCATATGTCTTCATATCTGAAAGCTTGGACAACGCTTAGGCCATCTTTGTAAGCGTCAGCAAAGCACACATCACCTGCTTCGTGAATATGATCTTTTAAGTTTTGCCATGAGTCCGACGAAGATAGCCTTGTTACCAATACAAGGTACCGTGAGCGTATTATGAGTGTACGACCACCATTGTTTCGGAAACGATCGTTACGATTACCTCTGGAACTGGTGGCCCGCCACCTATTCGAATTATAACACGAAGCCCATATACATCGTAGTCATAACTATCACGGGCTTTTACAAATGCAAATGTCGGACGATGCGTGTTTTTGAAGTAGGAGGTTAACCTCCAACAAAAATGCGACTTTCACTGCGAGACATTAAAAATAAACTGGTATAATTTGGTAGCGAACGGCTCCGAGAGGTCCTTCGCAATCCTGACGGAGCTTTTAGTGTTGCTTATAGTCAATTTACATAACCGTATAAGTTTTGCGGGGATACAAAGCTTAGAGCGGAGTAAAGGCAGCTCCTTTTCGTGCTGTCGAAGGCGGCTTTAAGATCGACGAAGAGGCAGAGGTTGATTTACTACTTGATAAGGTCCAATTAGTATTGGAGTTTTGAGCTCGCCATCTCCCGGTTGATAGATCACCCCTTTGTGTCCTACAGGAGTCTGCTCCAGGCTTCAAACCTTCTGTAAGCGGTCGTATCTTCTCATAGAATTTTCGAGCTTTACCCTTGTAGGCCAGATTCTTAAGCTTTTCATACTTTTTGACTACAGATTTGTTCGCTTTACTCTTCAACTCTCGATATCTTTCCCATCCCGCATGTGTTGTGGTCGATCGTTACGAGGTAAGCAGTGTGCTTTTTCTACACTGCTACACGGCAGTCCTCATAGTACCAGCTCTGTTTGCGACCTTTACGAAATCCAATAGTTTCCAGCAGTACGTACTATACTGTTTGAAATACCGTCCCACAGTTCCCGTATACCGAGTTGCTGATGAATGCTCTCACAAAGCAGGAGTGAAAGTCGAGTGGGAAACCGCTCGGCAGTCTTTTGTGATTTCAGCTTTTCGGCGTCGAACTTTCCTTGTTTTTTGATAGGCGTTTTTTGATACACAAAAGTGCGTGCGTATCTTCGCTGCAACAAGATAGTGGCCCGAGTCGATGTTGGGTCCTCAGTGTGTACACACGTCAATAACACTGGATACATGTCTTCCGTCAAAATTTCGCTTTGAAGCGGATTGTGAGCAAACGCTCATCCACCGGGGTGAATGTCACACTGGTGAAAAAACGCAAATGCAATCAGACTTCAGCGGACCCTTAAATTTAATAAGTCGGCATGGCTGCATTGAAACTTCCTTTCCCACTATCCGTGACCCAAGGCTCCAAACGGGTTGGTTACGTGTCAGCGATTTTTTGATTATATTTCTTATTCCTTGGTGTATAAGCTGTATTAGGTTTCATTACCAATGTCATAGTTCCATGGCCAGCTTAATGGCCCGCCTTTATTGGGTCATATTGTTATCTAATTTTGTTTTCAGAAAACTTCTTGGTAAAATTTTAGATAGCTTGATAAGACTTGATATTGTATATGGACAGATTCGAACTATGGCCATCTTAAATTCAATATTCGGTGTGAATTTTTAATTTTAGGTAAAAGGTATTTAGGAAAATACTAAATATTATACGAGAGAAATATAAAACGTTAGGGATAGTTCAGCAACAAAAAATGTAAAAATCACAAGGACGTTGTCCTGAGTTTGTTTTTGGAAGCTCAGTGAAAATTTACTAACATTTATTTCACTCATTTACATAAATATATGTGTTTGTCAAAGGTACATAATCCCCTACTTTCAAAGTGTAACAGATACCTTAAAGTATTTATTGTTCGATATCAATTTTTGTTGTTTCAATACCTCAGTTGTTTGTATTTCTTCAAATGCTGAGAGTAAATAAATGTGTAAAAAGAATAAAAAATTAAATAACGAAAGGGTTTTTTGACAGCTGAATCGTTCCTTTTATTTTTCAGAACAGAGCAGATAAAATGAAATAGTTGTTTAGCTGAGATTTGTCCGATTTAGGGAATTAATACAAATTTAATTACCTGTTCTCTTTTAAAAGCAATATAATAATAATCGCCCCTATGAAGTTTTCGAGTCCATCATTTCAGGAAATGTTACTGCCAATGCTGGAAATCTCCATCAAAAGATTTCTTTTCTCAAAACTTTGCTAATTGATTTTTCTAAATACTTAATAGGTTTTAAAAGATGCTTTGTAAGTTTTTTATTTTTTATTTTCCTAATGTTAAGTTTCTGACACATACAACTTTTTTGAATTTTTTATTATTATCTTATTATTTTCTAATAGTAATGCTTTTTATATTTTATATGAATAACCCTGTTACGTATCAATCCAATTATAGCAACGGGTTAATAATATTCTATAGCGAGTGAGCCGGTGGTCCAACCTGTCGTACAAATCTTTAGAACATGTGAAACGCCCTTTATATTTACATATATATGGTGAAATCGTTCATATCATGAATTTAATAGAAACATTATTGTAGCATATATTTTATCAATATTTTCATTCTGTGTTGCTTCTTCACATGAAATTCTTTACATTTCACTCCAATCTATTAATTGTTCCTGCAGTAAACTTTCACATACAAGTATGCATGTACAATTCACGTATGGATGTAGGATAACTAAACAAAATAAAATCATACATACATACATATGTTTTTAGTACAGCTCATATTCCGATTAAAAAAAAAAAAAAACAAATTATTTAATTTTTCTTTCTAAGAAGATTCAATATTTTTTTCTTAGGGCCAGTGTTAAAATTGTCCGGTTATAATTGCTATGCTTCGCTGTTAAGTTCAATATCAATATTTACTTACGTGAAAGTATTCAACTCCCGTTTTTTTGTACAAATCTTCCATTGACACATTCTCAGAAGGAGTTTTTTTATGATCCAATCGTGGATCAGTTTGTTCTTCATCCATATACCAGACTCGTACCATCTTGAAATATCACGTAGGGAAAACTTGATTTTGTTTATTTTGCGATCGCACCACTAATCAGTAAAATCTTATTATCAACTGTGTGCACAAGCGATGAATATTATTGCTTTAAGCAAATTTGAAACTATATTAAGCGATAGATATACTAGGTACATACTTAGGTATATGTAACAAGTTACAGTATCATCCAGTTAATTGAAATTTACATTCGATCTTTACTTACACTTAATATGTTAAGTAGTAAAAATGGAAAAAAAGAAATAACAAATAAAAATTACAAGCAAATATGATTCAATAACAAAAATACGTGCTCCAGTTAACTAATAAAAGTTATGTTGTTTTCATGTATTGTTGTTTTTTCTTTTCTGAGAACACTGAACGGATTTCTCATTTTAGAGGATCAAATGATCAGAGGGGTGTTTATAGGATATAAAATGTATAAAATCGTAGGAAAATTTATAATAACGGCGCTTTGTAATCACTGAAGCGTTTTTCGGCTGAGCTCCTCTAATTTGTGGTATGCGTCTTGTGTTTTTTCCAACAAATGGATGGACATACAGTACGACGGCTGCTGATTTTTATAAGGAGCTTTGATTTTCATGTTAGAAATATAGTCCCCCGTCTTGACAATCACTGCCGAGGAGCGACTACAATACTACTTTACTTTCTGAAAGAACTGTGACGCACAAATGTCTAATGTGCGGAAATGAAGGATAAAATCATGGCATAATTAATTTACGCTCATGCATTTAAAAATTCTTCTACATGTTTTACGGATGATCTAGATCAGACAAGTGCATTGAATACTTGCGAAATGGATAGAGCTGATTGATAACCATAAAATCTTGTACTCATGCATAAGCGGTCGAGCCACCGACATTGATGATGAATAGATCCAGATTGTCGTTCCTATCCAAAATACTTTGCAAATATATTGAATCAAACAGTTCTGTGAAATGGGTCTTAGCGGTTACAACTCATACAAATAAATCCAACATCGTTGTGAGTATGGGTGGATAGAAGTAGTGGAGTAGAAATTGTATGAATGACTGTGAAAAATAGTTTGGCTTTTTGTAGGTTTGATACCCGACGATTCCATGAGTTCTATGACTGGTTTGCGATGGAGTTGGGATTGGGCGAAATGGCTAATGCCCCGTATTATTAGCTGTAAGTCTCTATATAATTTTTTTGGACCCATAACACTAGCTTTAGTAAGGACCTATTACTTAGTTCTTGTTCCTTCTTAATTCGTTTTATTGCTTTCCATTAAATATTCCCATCTGTTCTGAACTTTTCGTCCAAATTGTGTATAAATCTCTCTCAAAGCCCTGGCTCTCTGTGTATATAGTTTCTTTCTGTGCCCTGTAGGCTCCACAGGCCTTGTCCCTGCCTCGTTGGATTATAGACCCCAGTCTATTTTGGACTCGTCGGTATGTACTTATTCTTCTCCCTCTACTAAATCGTCTACTTATACGCGTCTTACTTGGAGAAGGTTATATTCTGATTTATTTAAAGTGTTATGAGTAAAGCTGTAGATACCCTGGTGCCGAGCACTGTGAGTAGCTCGATACTCGTTCGTTGTTCAACTGCCCAAATGATAGGTTGAAATTTTTTAAATTTCAATTTTGTTTGTCAAATTCTTTTTAATATTTCAACGAGCTTTACACTATACATAGATAAAATTAAAATTATAGAAGTAAGTTCAGCGAAGAAGGTTAACATTTTTTTTTCAATGTGCTAAAAAATGCTCGAATTACTCGAGCTTGTGTTCGAACAATTTTGAGTAGTGAACCCATAACTCTTCTGGTTCCAACCACCGAATTCCTGAAATGCCATTATGAGGATAATCCGATCCACAAAGCGGTTGGTTTAAATGGTTAGAAGCTGTTAATAGCGATAGAAATTTTCTTCTTGATGATTATGAGACCGGATATGTCCTACGTATTGGCCAGTTGTTCTGGTTGAACCTCAATTAACGCAGTTTGTTGACTTGAAACGACTTAGTAAGAATTTAATTGAGACCGGCGAAGTTGTACCTCTTCTTGCCTACCTACGAGATATACTACTAAAATTCATTTTTTTGTACACAGAATACAAGGAGGTAGAATGGGTTGTGCAGAAGTCAATCAAAGAACGCAAGTGTGTAAAGTTTTTGACAGTCATTCATTGGTTGTTGATGTAAATGATCTCGTACATATAGCTTAAAAAACCCGGGTTTTTAGGTCTAGAACCAAGTATCCTCTGAATGCTAGGATGCGAACTAAGCTGAAATCCTTGTGGGCTGCGAGTGGAGTCTTCTCTCTTTTTTTGTAAAATGTGGCAGGTCCCAATCCTGGTTCACAACGCTTCATGGAGCACGTACCATTACAAGCCGAAATTAAGTAATATTTCCATGCTGTTAAGTTTAGGCCTCAATAAGATATGCTTTTATGTCATTAGCATAACAAAATTAGACCCTTTCATTCATCGTAATACAACAAGAGCAAACAGAATCCTTGCATAGTTACTGCAGCAGAAAGAGACATTCGTACTAAGAATATTGCCTCGGAACACTAAGAAGTCGATGATCTGAACCAGCTTCCTTCTTCCGCTTCATCAAAATTATTGTTTTAAAGTCTGTATCAAAACCTATTTACTGAGTGCTTTAAATCATTAAGTAAATTCCTTCTCCTTTTTCCCATGTAATTGTATAGTAGCTGATGCACAAATCTGTAGCTATTTAGCCGTAGGCGAAAAAATGAGTCAACCCATATAAACGAACGCAGCACTCCATCATAACGTGTCAGGCGCATAACTCAACGGATACCTTTAGGTCCCACAGGGATTTAACCTATACCCTCCTAACAATTTTGTGATAACTATAGAAATTGGTACAATATGTTCTATTTATCCTTTTCAGACTCCTTTTATTATATTCTCCGTTTGAAGTTCAATTTCAAACTCCATTTGGTGTCGAACAGCTTGGAGAGTGAATGAAAAAATTTTGGTGGTATTTCTACTGCGGTTCAGGGTGAGCTCATATTCTCGTATTTTTTTCGCTTCTTCACGAGATATACATGATTGAAATAAACTGTCGGAGCTGCCTTATATTCGGTTGTTGACGAAAGCTCTCGAAAAGTAGGATAACTAGGCGGGCGGAAACCGCTTAGTCAATTGTTATTGTAGAAGGCGAGGTGGATTTAAAAAAAAAAAAATAATGTGATAATAACAACACACACAACGATGTTATGCAATAAAAAAGATACAAAAATTTGGTGACAAAAAATTACCTAAGGACAAAGATTTGACGACACGTATGTTGTTTAGGATATACAAAAAAAAGATATATTCTTCCGACATTTGTTACAATGGTTATGTAAAGGAGTGCGGACGTGTTGATTTGTGGTGGGGAAGATTATCGCACCGTGAAAGGAAGGGAAGGACGCTGAGGCTTGTGCGCTTCTCCCGCCACTGCATCAAAATCGTACATAGTGATTTAGCGCCGAGTGAGCAATAAAGATTTATTTGGCGTAATAGTCGGAGAATACAAATGAACTACTTCAACCAGTAGCTGATCCACTTGACCAGAATCACGAAAGCTAATTGTAGGGTACTATGTCGACATAACAAAACACTACCTTCTGGTTCGAAGAGCTCTTAACCATTATGTTGGAGTCAAATGATTTCTGCTCCATTTGTACTATAAGAGATGGCATTTCAAGCATCCTACGTACGTCATGGGGTGTAATAAAGTTTCTAGGTATACATTTATAGTTGCCAATTCCTACTCTTGGGTCCACCTCGCACTTGAACAACGATCCTTTTTCATGATGACCCTTTCAAATGTATTATGGACCATTATTCCGTTGCATGTACCTGGAATGTCCGATCTCTTAAAAATAAAGGTTTACATCATCGCTGTTGAAGTAGTGCGATAGACGGGACAAGTTCGAAGGCGAGTAGGTTCTTGTGACATTTACTACAGCAGCCATATAATGGAGAGCAAATTAGGTGTCTTATTCGTGGTTGGAGAGAAATTTGGCCGCCGAGTACTAGCACTCGCGCCGATGGATGAACGGCTTGCCACAATCTGAATTAAAGTCAAATTTTTAACATATTGTTAATTTGCGATCACGCCCCGACGAAAGAGAAGAAGTGACCAAGGACGCTTTTTATGAGCCCCTTTTCTTGGCGTCCATAAGGCCAAGGCAGGCAAAGGAGGTATTTTCAGCATAACTGTCAGAAAATTCAGCATCATGGTTTGAGTCTGATCGACTTCGCCGTAGCCCAAAATATAGCTGTCTGTGGTACTAGATTGCAGTATAAGAACATTCATCAAGCTATTTGGCTGTCTCCAGATCGATCATGTTGCGATAGCTACATGACATGTACCCAGTGATTTTGTTACAAGGACGGTTCGAAGTCTAAAAGCTGCAATCACAACAGACAGCCGAACGAGAATTGAAGAGGGGAGCATAACAAATGTGAAGAGAAGAAAAGAAGAGCTCGAAAAGCTGGACGACAAGAGCAATTCTCGAAAATTCTACGCATATATACGGTGACTTACAGAAGGCTTAAATACCGGAACAAACTGTTTTAGAACCCAGCGACTCATGCCCGGAGTATACTGAATTTATGGATGGAACACTTACTCAGCCAGATGAATGGCTGTAAAAGTGCAACACCTGGAGATGGCGAATCCGATTCCCCAATCGATTACGATAGAACAGTATCATTGCCCGACTATGAAAAAGAACGAAGGTCATCTATAAGAGTGTACCGCTGCTGACATTCGCCGATGATATTGACATCATTGTCTATCATCAAACAAACAGTCATCGCATTCGCGATTCGGATTCTAAGTCAAACCAGTATTAACACAAATAACAATGCCAATATTAAAATCCAACTCTGAATCACTCTCACTAATAGGTTGTACTTGGGACTGAGTAGGCAAGTGAAAAGCAAAATTCTTTCTCGACGAACGAAGGCCAAACTCTACAAGTCGCTCATCGTTCCACTGCTGCTATATGGTTCGGAATCATAGACGATGACAACATCTGACGAGACTGCGTCAGGAGTTTTGTGCAAGATTTTTGTTCTTTTGTGTGTTGCAAACGATGGGACGACGATTGTAACAAAAATACTGTCTATCTCGAAACATTATGATCTGTAATAAAGATTTTGAGCAGATAAAAATAAGAGAAAGGTCAAATGTGTGAGGATGAAGTGGTAGAAAAGCTGACCAAAAGGAATATTGTTTGAAAATTCTATGAAATATCCAAGGATTGATTGATCACTTGAAAGATCCTATATGTAACGTCCTGTGTGGAATAATAAAACCCAACATTAATAACCTGATGAGTCAGCTATTTCGGGAGAACGATTTCGAAGAAATTTTATGATATTTCGCGTCGCCTATGAAAGTATTCAGCAGTCGGATGGAAAAGGACTTGGCTTCATTTGGTGAAGAGAATAAGAACCATTTTGCGACGCGAATCATGCTTCCGATTTCTTTGACTATATACCATAACTATCAGTACTTCCAATTTGTAGAAAAATATATATTTAACAAAACAAAAAAACGTCTAGTGGGTTAAATATATTTATATATATAGTTGTCTCAAATTTTCAGTCTCTCAATCATCCCATCAATGTTAAAAATCCAATTATATTGTGAAGAAAAAGACAACGGCGTTCAAAAATTATCTTGAAAGTTTGACAAACTTTTAATATAAAACAAAATTTCCGAACCAAGACGTTGCAATTTAGTTAATTATACGGTCACGAAATGATTATCACCGTAAAAACTATGAAGAGGGAGAAATTCGCAATCGAATTCGATCCACAAAAGACGGTAAGCGGTTGTTTACATGAGCGAAATCAATGTACTCGTTTCCTGAATTTCATATTAAATTAATAATAATTTTCCTGTTAATGTTTTGAATTCGCTAAGAGTGGGTGGTTATGGATGGTGGTTATCCGTAAATGTCTCAAAACGCCAAGGATTTATAAAATAACGAGTAAAAATAAAATTATTCAATTAGACAGAGCAAGTTATGTCCTCCTGCCTAGGGTTTCGAAGAGAAAAGGATATCCAATTTTCCAGTGGAAGTTGAAAATCCATAAAAGTATGAGTTCAAACTTTTTCCTTATTATTACGCATCATTCCTGCATCAATCCCTATTTCGATGGTTGATGCCAAGTTTCTGGATCAAATTTTAAATCTAATCAAGAGGCTTCTTGATATTCACTCTCAATACTTGGTTAGGCTCTTGAAAAGATTTTCTTTTAATATTTTAGGTGATACTCAAAGAGTTTATTCTCAGTTTCGTTCGTGCTTCATTGAACAGAACATAAATATTCCATATTACCATTCGAAGTTAAATTTATAGATATTGACTGAATTTTATTGTTGGACACAGCCGTGACTTTTCGTCTATTGGGTTTAAAACACCCACATATTATTATAATATATTAAGTGAGCAACAACAATAAAAAATTCATTTATTTACGTTTTAGGTATTTCAATTGAAGGAAAAAATCTTTTCAGAACGTGGAGCGAACTACGTTGTAGAAAATCAAAAACTGATATACGATGGTTTGTTCCAAATATATTCATTGGCAATTTTTTAACAAAATAATTTTTTAGGTATGACACTCAAGGATGAGCACAATATCAATTCCTACAATATAGAGGAAAAGAAGGCTGTTATGCTAATACTCAAACGCGATTTCGAGAATTATATTCAAAAACCAGAAAAAGCTGATTTTTCAGTAGGAATCTCTTCGCAAATATCTGATGGAGCTAATAATAATATAGATCATGGTTCCAAAACAGTGTACAACACATTGATACAAAAACCAGATGAACTGACCCTGGATGTTGAAGCGGTTTCAAGTAGTAGTGATAATGATTTAGATGAGGGCAATAAGTCTGAAAAGAGTGTTGCCAATGATGGAGTGGCCACTGATTACTCTACTCGGAGTAATAATAGTATATTATCCAGTACATCTGGCGAGCAGCCTTTTTCCAAAAGCAGTAATAGATCTGGAGGTTCCGAAAACAGCAACAGCACTTACTCAAGTGGTGATCTCGCAGGCGTTTTTTCTAATATTTCGCTGCAATCATTAGTTGAATCAAGTTTACCAAAAAGTAAAGAGCACAGCCACACTATTGAGTCTATAGTCGAAATGGGGTTTAGTAGAGAAATCGTAGAACAAGCAATGTCACTTAATTTCAATAATCCTGAGCGTGCAGTAGAATCTTTAATTAGCGGACAAATCGAATCATTAATTCGGCTTAGTGCAGGTAAAGCAGCTGAGAACTGCGTTACTAAAAATGATGATGATAAACTTGGTGATTTTGAAATAGAACATGCTAAGTTTTGTAATAAGGGATTGGATGACAATGGTAATTGAAAAATAAATCATTGAATTTCAACAACTACTTCACTTCTCACAATTTATCTTTCTAAATTAAAAATAGATGAACTAATGCCCACTGATGATGGCACTACAAAGGGGAAAGCTAAGAATGCTAATACAGTGACGCGAGGTAAATCCAAGCCTGCAACTTCAAGAAAAGCTTGGTTTGTAGGAAGCGACTGTATGGAAGATAACGGTATTGGAGCTGTTCTAGGTCCTGTGGAAAGCAATACAAGTATAATATCTAGTGGGTCTAGTTCATTTCGCCTTTCCGAAAGAAGTACTAGATCTGGTGATTCTGAAACTAGTCATAGTACATTCTCAAGTGGTGACCTTGTTGGAGTATTTTCAAATACTTCACTACAGTCACGATCCGATGCCAATATGCCCACAAATGAAGAGTACAATCGCGCTGTAGACTCAATGATGGAAATGGGCTTTAGTAGGGATACGGCTGTGCGTGCTATGGCAGCTAGTTTTAACAGTTTCGAACGTGCCTTGGAGTACTTGATTAGTGGAATGTCCGAAAATTCAGATAGTATTAATACTAATACAATTAGTGAGGACAACAATTATATCAATAACTGCGAAAGACGTCATATCAGCAGCAATGAAGGAGGTGGTGATGGAGTAGAAAATTCCGATCATAGAAATGAACAGCAAGACGACGAGCAAAGGTCCTTAGAGGGTAACCAAGCAACATTGCGTTATCTTGTTGGCCCTGAACGAGGAGGTATTTTCATCAAAATTCAAAACTAATCTTCTGTGTTGTTGATACTCCGCCTTTTATAGTCGCCTTCGAAATGTTTCGTAATCAGCCGCAGTTTCTACTGATGCGTTCCTTGATGTATCAGAATCCTGATGTCTTACATGAAGTGCTTCAACAGGTAATTAAAAAAAAACTATCTTCTAAATGTGAAATATCATTTGGCCGATTATAGATCGGTCAAACAAATCCAGCCCTCTTGCAACTTATATCGGAAAATCAAGATGCATTTTTAAGTATGCTTGGCGAAAACATGGAAGAGCAAACTAATAATGATGCAAGCCAGGAATACCCTCGTCGGATGACCGCGGGAAGACGTGCACAGCTTGCAGCCGCTGTTCGTGCTGCAGCTGGTGGAGATGGATTGCATGTACGATCTGTGGACATAGCACCTGGTGCGGGAGGTGATGGACTGCTTACACATCAGCGTCCTGGAGAAAGCGGCGATGCAGGTGCCGATACAGTACCTCATAGCATTACACTACCTCGACTAAATAGAGTGGCAGAGCGACGCGCTGCCGCTGTGGATGCCTTCTTGAGGGAAAGAGCTGCAGCTGCAGCGACGGTGGCTGCATTGACTGCAGATACTTCTGGCATAGTTCAAAGTAATACAGATGAATGCCGAAATGATATTAGCGCTACATGTATAGATTCAGAGAGATATACGGATGTGGATGATAATGCACCGTTCCTAACTGGCTGTGATGAGGAAGCAATTCAGCGTGTAAGTTATAATATAAAAATAGTTATACGGGCATTTTTTAATAAATCTTTATATCTGCAGCTGAAAGCTCTCGGATTTGCAGAAAACTTAGTATTAGAGGCATATCTAGCTTGCCAAAAGGATGAAGAATCGGCAGCAAATCTTTTGATATCTTCATCAAATGAAAATTTGGAAGAAGTTTAATGACACTATTTTTCTTAAAGATTGATTAACATTTTAGTTTTTTAAGTTTAGTCTTCTTATTATACAACTTTGTAAGCTTCATTTTGAAGTTTTTATAATTTCACAGCAATATACTATGTTCACTCTACTTTGATAACTGTTTATAGATACATCACTGCAAGAAGGCTTCCGATCATTTGAACCAATACGAGGTGTGTTCAAAAAGTATAGCTAATTTTGAATTTTCGCGGGTTGTGTATAATCGAATTTCGAATTTTTTGTGGCGTTATGTTGGTACTCATGTCTGTCACTTATGTCGACAAGCTCGGCCATTTTGAATGTTCACTTAATTGTTGACAGCTGCTTTGCTTGCACGTGTTTTGGATGGTCTTCAACATTTACCTATTCAAAAAAAAAAAATGGATCAAAGAACTTGTATCAAATTTTGTGTGAAAAACGAAATTAAGTGCGCGGATGCATTCCGAATGTTGACTGCGACATACGGAGAAGCTACCTTGGACCAAAGCAACGTTTATCGGTGGTACAAAATGTTCTCAGAAGGCTGAGAAGATGTGAATAACGAAGAGCGTACCGGACGCCCGAGCACTTCATCAACAGACGAAAAAATTAATTGCAGGGGCGTGGTGCATCATGAGTTCTGGCCACAGGGTAGAACGGTCAGTAAGGAATATTACCTGCAAGTTATGCCCAATTTGCGCCAAGCAATCCTCCAGAAACGCCCGGATTTGTGGAAGACCAAAAATTGGTTTTTGAACCACGACAACGTCCCTGCTTGTGCGCGACTTTTTGACCAAAAACAACACTAATGATGCCGCAGCCACCGTATTCCCCAGATCTGGCCGCCTGTGACTTTTATTGTTCCCTAAACTGAAGAGGCCCATGAAAGGACGACGTTACGCTACGATTGACGAGATAAAGACGGCATCGAAGGGGGAGCTGAACAAGATAAAAAAAAAATGATTTTTTGAAGTGCTTCGAAGATTGAAAAAACCGTTGGCACAAGTGTATAATATCTCATGGGGATTACTTTGAAGGGGAAAAAATAGATATTCATATATAAATAAATAATTTTTGAAAAAACACAAAATTCGCGATATTTTTTGAACACACCTCGTATATGTCAGGAAAGCATGAAGGCAAATCCCGTCAGCTCGTAGAACGAAACCCATCACTTTCTTAAGGCCGAAATGACAAACGTGATGTTTACATTTGTATACGTGTACGGCATTCTCTCTTTTCATTTCCTTGTGCATCTTTTTATTCTTGTCTGACAAATCGAATACAGCTGTGCGACATCATTGATTCCGAAGGAAATCAGCTTTGACAAAAATTTTCCCTATATATACATATACAACATTATTAAGATTCAGTCTTCATTTCAATATTTTTACGTAGATCATAATACATTTCCATAATACAGCAATAAATTCATTTTCTAAAATCTGCAAAATATTGTAAGCAAAACCACATATACAAATGTCTCTAATAGTGTCGTGCGTTGGGGACGCAGCTCCTAATCTCCACTAACAGCTCCGTCATTATCGCAGCTCCTTTGAAGTATAAAGACATCTAAAAAATTAAAAAATAATTTTTGAATCATAATGTTATTAATACCTAAATGCAATTGTACCTCAACGCAAAGTTTTGTCGAATATTTTTAAATCTGCTACTGCTAGATCAGAAGCGTCCATTCCAGTCAAACTGCTCTATTAGCAGATCTTTTCGTACGATGTGGAGTGCCCCTAAATAAACAAATGTGAAAAGCAATGAAAAATGGAGTAACTATTTAATCCAAAATATATTATTACCACAGCTTGTAAGGGATCCTCATCATGTAATTATCACTTTCATCCACTGCAGAGAAAACGATACAAAATGGCGTTCTACTCGAAATAAGAACAAAGAAAATCAGATAATCCGTTCAACTGCATTCTTTTTCAATACTCGGAGCAGAAAGATAAACCAAAAAATGTGCATATGTGTTAGTGCTGCCCGAAATCGTGTGAGTGCATTAGTAAACGCATCAGCACGTTCCTGCAGGGATTATACACTGCGCGACAACCGATTAGGACACTCTCTAACCTATCAGTTTAAAGGAGAATAACTCTCTACTCTGAATATGTTTCATGCGCATTCTATTTTTTCTTTTATTCTGTATCATTTTCGCTCATTCTAAGTATAACTGTAAGCTCTGGTAGTGTACCGTTATTTTGCTTTGCTTTTTTCTTTGAAAAATGCATGCATGTTTCTTGCGACAGCCGATTAGCACACTTTCGCTTCCATGTCACTTTTTGCGTGTAAGTTGCCTTGATTGAGTGTTTAAGTTTATTATTTATTTATTGGGACTAATTATCAATAAAATAAAGTAATAATGGGCAAAGGAAAACCGTTGGACGAGTCTGAAAAAGTCAAAATAAAGGCTTACAGGGAGTGCGGGCACTCTATTCTTCGAATATCAAAAAATATTAAGCGCAGCCGTAAAGTTATTACCGCATATTTAAGCAATGAGGATACATTTGGGAAAAACATGAAAGGTCGGCCATCGTCAGTTATAACAGCAGCTGACAAGCGAATCATACTACGACACGCATCTAATTCCCACGACTCAGCCGCCAAAATAAAGGAAAAAACTGGTGTTAAAGCGTGCGTTCGGACTGTGCAAAGAGTTATTTCGAATGCTTAACATATGAAGCATCTAAAATTAAAAAAAAAAAAAACACCCTGAACCAACTTAGAAAGATGCAACGACTCAATTTATGTCGATCAAATATGACCTGGACTAAGGAGTGGGAGCGTGTAGTCTTTTCAGATGAAAAAAAGTTCAATTTGGAGGGTCCTGACGGCCATCCCTACTACTTTCATGATCTCAGAAAGGAAGAGCATACTTTAGATCGATTGCACAGCCGTGCGGATGATGTCATGGTTTGGGGAGCTTTAACATAATTTGGCACTATGGAACTGCAGTTTCTTACCAGCTGCATGAATGCCATTGTGTACAAAGGTGTACTGAATTTGGTTTTCCCTGCAATCAAGGATATTTTTGGACCCTTGAAATGGAAGTTCCAGCAGGACAACGCACCTATCCAAACAGCCAGGATTGTAAAGTCCTGGATTGATGGTCAAAACGTGGAAACGGCCAAGTCAGCCGCCATACTCTCCCGACCTAAACATTATAGAAAATGTTTGGGGATGGCAGGCACGAAAGGTGCACGAGTCCGGCAGGCAGTATTCAACTGAAGCAGAACTCATTGAAGGAATAAAAAGGTCCTTTAAGACTGTTTCTCTCAATTATATAAAAAAATTATATGACTCCTTACCTCAGCGGATGTACGAAGTCATATTTAACCGTGGAGCCTCAACACATTATTAATTTGTTTTCAAAAAATGTTAAAAATATATAAATTAGTATTAAAAAATAATTTGATTGAAGTTTGTACCCATTTTCTTTTGTTATTTTAAGTTTTCAAGTGACTGTGCTAATCGGCTGTCGCAAAAATAATAGTGAATTTTGTATGTTATGTTCGTTTACATTAATTTTAAAATGTTATTAATAAAGTTAGTATCCTATCTTCTATTAATTTTCGTGTGGAATTATATATTCTTATAAGGGGAACAAATTTCTTTGAAAAGCTTTTTTAGTTTTCCTGATATTAAGTTTCTAAGACGAGGAGCATAGGGTGTGCTAATCGGTTGTCGCGCAGTGTACATATATGTATATGAATTATACATTTTAACTTCAAATATATGTTATAGAACTTCGTTTACATACAAAAACAAGTAAGAAATGCTAAAATTGACCGGATGTAACAAAAAACTGAGGGATGGTGAGCTCATGTCAAATGCCTTTTTTGATTATCCTTTGAACACATTAGGACTTTTCAAATTTAATAGAACTTGTTTTTATTTTTTATATATTTTTAAGAGGTGGACTAGATTTTGCAACTAAGTAGAATCGACAGTTTCATTCGATTTACAAGTAAAAATACATATCACAATGTTGGAACTGTATGAAACTCTCAGGCTTTTAAACCCATTTTTTTTCAGGGAGAAATTTAAGGTTAAACTCTATGTTCATCTGGCATATTACTATTATTGTGCAATACAAAGAAGACTCATTTCATTATTTATTACAGGGGTCAATATACAATTGCGGATTTGAATACAGTGCGTTGATCAATTGGACGTGACGAAATGACGAAGATGTCTTGGCGCTTTTTCATTGCTTTCCTCATTTGTTTACCAAAGAATAGTAAACTATTGACGGTTCTACGACCGATCTACATAGTCTTCCAAGGTTAAAGACCTTCCGTTGTTTGTTACAGACTCGTTCGTTTCCATATACATATGCAGAAAAATCTATAATAATTTTGCCAATAGTTGCTTCTTCTGACACATCCTACGATGGGCGAAGACGATGGAACTATGAGCTGTACGAGATGTATAGTTTGCAGTTTTTTCTAAAAATTTATGCGAATACAATTATTTTAAGTGAGTCAGTATTTTTCGTAAATTTAGAGATAAAAAAATTTATGAACGATATTAAAAGTTCCTTATTCTCAATAGCGAAAATTATGAAATTCTATAGTCATTTTGCTAATACAAAAATAATTAATTTTTTAATAAAAAGTAACAGGGTAAAATTCATTTCATATTATAAATAAATCATGGACTTCAGCATTTGCGAACTAAACCAAGAACAGCCAATATATGTTGGATTGTTTGGAACTAACTAATGAATGATTTTTAGAATTTTGGCTATCTCAAGATTGTTTTAATTTACAGTATGATAAATAATGGAATTTTATCTAGAGCTTCGAAGTGTTTTAAGGGTTAAAATAAGTAACAAAATGTTACGTTAAACTATTACTTATGCCCGTGTTAAAAGCTTTTAAAAGCTCTAAATTTTACGAGTCTGCGTAGAAGTTTCTAACTCCTTAGAACGAGTCCTAAAGAAATTCGAGTAAGTTATTATTGAAACTGGTGTGTTTTTTATCGTGCTATTTAAAGAAATAACGATTCAGTGAAAATAAAGAATAATAAACGGTATCAGTGAAGAGGTGAATTATACTTTAGAAGTAAGTAAAAGTGGAATATGAATGCAAACTACTCAAATTTGAAAATTTTATCTTTGCTACACTACCAGTTAACAGTGTATTTGCACAGTAAAGCTATTGATTTCTGCTTAATGTGTATATTTTATTGGACAAAATAGATATAACTAGTTGCATAATGACCAAAGTGAAACTGTATGAATTTTTACAGCATTTAACAATCCAACGAATATATTATATAAATATGGAATACACTAACATGCATTTCAAAATTTTGTTCACTGAAAAAATCCATTGATATCCTTACAAATATATTAATGTGTGTATATGCATATGTATATGTAATTTTGTATATATAATTATAAGTATGGTATAGGATAGGCAGACGATAACTTTGTTAGAGCTTATGCATGTATGTATGACCTGTTTGCATTTTTATCATGGTGTAAAGTGCATGCATACACACATACATGCATATAAGCAAACGTGTAACATATATGTAAATGTTACGTAGACTTCAGATAATGCAATCAGAGCGCAAAAGAAAAGTATAATGTCGCCAAAACTGAAACGTTACATTTCGATCTGACGATTACTTTCAAATTTTCAATTTTATACCGAGGTATGTGTGTATGTGTGCATCTTAAACAAAATCTATACGATTTATAAAGAAATTCCTAGCAAATGGGTTTCAAAAAGTCTTTGCTCAGTGTTTCGTAGGATAATGTATGATTAAACTTGTTGACATTGCTACACTCATCAAGGGAAATGAGTTCAAATAACTTTAATAATAAAGCAAAAATCATTTGTGTGTGTGTACTATAGTGAGCTTGGTTAATTAAGTTAATTACTCTAATTGCGGTCGCCCCTTTGGTACGGAAAGCCATTCCCTCCGCGTGTCTTTCCGACATGAGAAAAGTTTCTCATAAAAATGGAGGAAATGCCAGGCCGAAAATTGTTTCGGCGGTTAAACTCCACTTACGAGGGCCGGCTGACTTTTTCTCGCTTTAACGTAATAAGACATGACACATCAACTCGTTACTGATGACACTAATTTCGGGACTCATTATTAGTATAAGTAACACAACTTTTTTTATTAGGTCCATTAACATTTCGTTCCTGGAACAAACAAAAACACTATATCTATGTATGTAAGGAAAGTAGATCGAAAGAAATGTTTAAAGAACTCTGCACCTTCATATACGATGGTGAAAACATGGTCTCGGCTGGTTCAGCATGCAAGAGAGACCTATAAAGATGACTCCCGCCCGGAGCATCCAGTGACGATTGTAAACAAAGAAAACTTTCAGAAAGCCGAAAAATTAGTAAAAGCTGATCGAAGAATTAAATTGTGGTAAATAGCAGAAGGGTTACAGATTAGCAAAAAACGAGCTGCAGAGATTTTCAGGAGCATTTCAGTATGAAAAAATTAGGGCGCGTTGGATACCGCGAATGCTAACGTAGCACGACAAGCAGCGTCGATTGGACAGTAGTGAAGACTTTGTGGAGTTTGCTGATTTGAAATGATCCCGAGTCCAAACGGGAGACAATGCAGTGAATAAAAAATGGGGAAAGGCCACCAAAAAATTATGGTTACCATTCTATAGGATAGCGCGGGAATTTTTTTAATTCATTACTTGCCAAAGGGTCAGCGTGAGGCATTCGTTCAACAGAGACGTGGCAAGTTAACGCTGGTTGCGAGAAATGACTTAAAAGTTACTGGCCTTACAGGCCTTTTTCCTTTTTTTTCAAATTTAAAAAGAAGTTACGGGGACGAATACTTTCAGGCGACAATGAGATGAACGTGAACCGTAGTAAAGCATTTTGAAGAGAAATCTAAGGAATATTTTTTTCAGTGGTATAAAGACACTGTTTTCACTATGCGAAAAGTGTATTTCACTTGAGGGAGACTATATATAAGGAAATAAAAAACATAAAACTATTAGCATTAGCATTAAGAAATTTAGGCCGCGAACTTAGCAGCCGCTCTTCGTATGTGCTATCAAATCTAAAAACAACAACCTTGTAATCATTTTGAACGGGAGTCGCCCGCTGTGCTTTCCTACAGTCTTAATTTTTCTAAACGTTCTTCGGTCTAATTACCTGGAACTATGCTCACAATTTCTGAGTCTCTCTTTAAATATTACCACATAAACCGGGAGACTTACAGGTTCAAATTATCTCACAATTTTATCAGCGGAGGGTCAATAGTATTTTAGTGAAAACATTTTCATAGATTGTTTTTGTCTTCGTTTTACCTTGGCTTCAATAGACATCTTTCCGGAAGTATCACTCATTGTTTTCATTTTTCTTAGTTGCAGTTTTTTCCAAAGTTTTCAGAATCTATTTGTATGTAAAGTGCATCATTCCTTAAATTTGAATTTTTTACTTGTCTCAAACCGAAAGTTAAAGGTTAAGGGATACTATTTTGAACTCTACATAAATTTAATATTTTGAGCTGTTTAAATAAAGTTGTTATTACAGTACCATAAGTTATTGGTTAAAACATTTAATTTAATAAAAGCCGTGAAAATGAATTTTTCTTTCAGTACAATAAATATTTTGTTAACTGTATAACTTAAAGAAAATTATTTAATTACAGATGGAATGCATTTCCAATATGTGTCAGCGCTTTACATGGAGTATGCTTTTTTTGCTAGCAATTATTTTTCACATAAAAACCACAGGTAAGCTGTCTTAAAGAGTGATTAAAGTAATTATGACTGTTGATTAATTTTGTGCATTAACTTTCGACTTATTCACATCAGATTCGAAAAATTGTTATAGTAAAATAGATTCGATAAGTTCGATTGACGTTTTAGCTAAAGTCCTATATATCGCTACTAAGCAGAGCAATACCTAAAATTATAGAAGTTAATTTCTAAATGTGGCTATCGTTCAGCAGGGAATGCCAATAAAAACCTTTAACTGACTTTATTATAAGGAAGCAATGTCTTTTACGGAATATATCGTTATACACACTTCCCTCTTTCTTGAAGATCACTTGAGCAATAAGACGCAGACGCTAAAAGATTTTTTGACAATATATTCTATTTTCAGTATATTTTGCCAAAAAAAAAAAAAATACGAAAAATAAGCCGCTTGAAAATATTTTTATTTCCGTTAGATTCCAGATAATAAAATGCAATTCTTTTCAACTTTTGTGACAAAGTATAATAAATAATTTTTATAAATGAAATTGGTAGCACAAAATTGAAGGAAAAATCAAAAAATTGAATTCCGGCATATAGTTATTATTAAAAAAAGGAAGACTACCTTGGTTTTGTATACCTGTTTACGAAAAAATCAACAAGGGAAAGGTAAAAAAAAATATTGGGTAACAGAAATCAGTATTTCATGATTAAATACCAAAATAAACATTAAATAAATAAATAAAAGTTTATATATCATAAACATACATACGTATGTACATACATATAAAGTTAGCGGTTGAAGGAGTTTTCTGCCGAGCTCGAGGCGTGCATCTTGATGTTATTCGCAACAAATAGTTAGATTAACCGGCCTATTCTGTCGAAGTAACAAAATTTACTTTGGTATTAAAATTTACCATTCAGTAAATTTTGTTACTATTTCGTATTCTGAGTTCACTGTCACCCTGTAAATTTTGTTACTATTTCGTATTCTGAGTTCACTGTCACCCTGTAAATTTTGTTACCAGCGAAAAAGGAGGTAACAAAAAAATCTGATGTTTGATTTTGTGTTTTTAGTTTGGTAAAAAAATAAAAACCAAAATAGGTAGGCCTATTTTAGGCCTGAAATTCATTGAAGATGAAGAAAAGTCTGTTAAATGGCGTATGCCATGAAGTTCGCTAGAAAAAATGGTCCTTAATTTGGAAGATAGCCTTTTCATTCAGATTTTTTTTTTGTCGTATAGTATGATTTAATAAACACATAATAAAATTTATTTATTTTGAAGTGCACCGTCTTCTGTGATGTGAATATTATTCTTTTTACTATAGCAAATGGCAAATGTAATTTGACAATGACGAAAAAATCAGTGCTGGCCAAGTTTTTGCAAACATTGTAATCAGTTCGCCAGAATATCAAATTCAATTTCGGGTGTTAAAAAAAAACTAACAAAATTCACTTTACCGGTAACAGTGAGAATAGGCCTGTAAATAGAAGAGATGCAAATAAATTTTTTAACTAGACACTCACATGAGACTCTTTCATTCCTAAACTGAAATTTTTAAAATTTTCGAGGATTTGAAAGGTCTATAGATAGAAAAAGATAGCTATGGTCAACAGATTAAAAAAAATCCAAAAGCTGCATTAAAAGCTTATGATTTTTATTTTTGGGAAGCATTTTTACTAAATATATTTAAATTGAAAGTACATATATTAGATTAATAGTAAATTTGTTTTCATTTTAGTGTCACATTCTGATGGACTTTTTACAATGCCAGACCATGATTCGCCTACAGTATCGCCAAAATTTTTATCACGCGGACATTTGTATAAAGTTATAGTTGGCGAAACTATAGAGCTACCTTGTAAAGTGCAAAATCTTGGATCTTTTGTATTATTATGGCGGAAAGGTTCTTCCGTTTTAACCGCTGGTCACTTGAAGATTACGAGAGATCAAAGGTTTAAAATTGTGGGAGATTATAATTTGCAAATAGCAAGTGTTAAAACGCAGGATGCTGGCGACTATATCTGTCAACTTGGTGATCAAGAAAATCGAGATCAAGTACATACAGTTGAAATTTTAGGTAAGTGTGGGTAAATACCTGCATTACACTACATTACAACATAAGGTTATCTATCCTAATTAATCAATAAATGTTTATCATATTTATTTTTAAGTACCTCCAACACTTCGTGCATTGCCTCACAATGGCCAGGTAACCGCGCGTAAGGGCAGCACCGTGACTTTGGAATGTAAAGCTTCAGGAAATCCGGTGCCCACAATTTATTGGTTTAAAAAAGACGTTTTTGCGGGACCAACTCATTTATCAGATAGTTCAACATTAATACTAGAGAATGTAGACAGACATCATGCCGGAATATACCAGTGTTCGGCCGATAATGGAGTTAAAGAGCGCGTTTCAATGGATATACAACTAACTATTTTATGTAAGTTTACAAATATCAAAGCTATTTTCCGAGAAAACTATGATAAACGAAATGATGCTCCTATTGTAGTTATTATTATACAATTTAAATATTTCCAATATGGCCTATGGATTTTTAATTTTTAAATTTTGAATTTTTGGAAAATTGAATGAGGAATCAAAGGATAATAGTTTCATAATAATCATCTAGACGAATTCACTTAAGGTGACAACTTTTGCTGAACACTTTGTTACTGGCAATTTCTTACAGACATTTTTCTCCATACAGAGCTAATACAACTTACGGTATCCAAAAACACATTATACAGTTGAATAGATGGGTATATATAGGTTATAAAGCAGCCTCTATATGTGTTTTCTTCTTGTTTTTTATTTACATAATTAATTATGTATTATGTTAAATTATGATGAGTTAAATATAAATTTAATTTTATCTTTATTTATATCCTTTGAAGCACCACCGGAAATAACTGTCGAGAAATCCTGGGTACATGCAGCTGAAGGTCATGATGTGGAGCTTGCTTGTATAGTTCACGGCGATGTGAATTCAGAGGTAAATAATTGTCATACATAATTAATTAGGTGAAATGGCAAAATGTTTTAGTAAGGCAAAAAAAAAATATACTAACTTTTACTCATTTTTTTATATATAGAAAAAAAAATAAAGTAAACTATCTTACGAAATAAATTAATCGCCATCATAAATAAATTTTAAATGAATATACCGGTTTGTTTATTAGGACTAAAAATAGAGTAGAGCAGCTCAAGTTCGATCAGAACAGAGTGGCTGCCAAAAAGACAATAGAGCAAGTTAGAGCAACTCGGAGCAAAAAACTGATGAAACATTTTTCGGTCAACCGTTTTCAAATGCGAATGTTTGACTTTTCTGTTGTAAACAAAATAGAAAATATTTGCAATTTTCACCTATATTTCGCTATAAGCGCTTTGTACCGCTGAAACGATATTTTTGGCCGACCTCGTCCTCCAATTTGTGGTTTCGGGTCTTGATGTTTTTGCAACAAATGAAGGGACCTACAGTTTATACTAAGCCGCCTTCGAACGGTTGATGGTTTCTCATAAGGTGATTTATTTCATGTCCGAAATACACTCGTAGGGGTGGAAATTCCCTGCCGAGGGACGATCGCAATTAGAAAATTTAATTTTTATTTAAATTAATTTTTCGATCCTTCCGAATGTCAGTACACACTGCAAACCACTCGGCTACCGCGGCCGCCAAGTTACTCTACCAAAATAATAAGAACAGAAAATCTTAATCTGAATTGCTCTATTTCTGCTTGTAGTAGTCTCATGAAACAATAAATGGAGCAAATAAGGATAAAAAAGTTTTTATGAAACATAATTTTTTGAAATAGAGTAACATGGCGCCAGCTAGACTAGCTTGATAAACAAACCTTGCACTCTCATTCTGTAGGAGTTCATTGCACTTCCATTTAAATAGAAATTCTTTATAATCGGCTTACAAAATTTCATGACAATTATAAATGATTGGATACTTTTGAATCTTGAAGCTGCCCTAATGTAAATTGCTGTTATGTATAATTTTGTATGTCTAATTTGAAAGCGATGCGAAGAATAATCATATATAATCCCAAAGAACATTCCTCTTGCAGACCGTATCTTAACTTGAGTCTTTCTTGTCAATCGTGAAAAAATTTTTTATGAAGTATACATCTTACCAGTGTCTTACATGAATAGTAATATTTTGTAATATTGATTTTGTTTTAATTTTCGCAGATGCTGTGGTATCAAAACTCTTTTCTATTAGATCCTACCGATAGGAGATCAATGCAGTCAAATGATGATAAATATACTTTAATAATAAGGAAATTCCAGCCCTCTGATTTTGGAAATTACAGTTGCGTCGCCGATAATGCTCTGGGTAGAACTAAAAAGTATATTGAAGTATCTGGCCGTCCGGGTCCAGCAAATTTTATATCTCCTGCTCTAAGTGGATATCTCGATCATTATAACTTAACATGGACCATAGAATCAATTCCAGCACTTGATGAAATTAAACTTTTATACAGACGACTATTGGTAAGACACATTCGTAACACACTTCGTAAAAACACACCAATCTTAATACTTTATTCGTCAAATGCGTTAAGTAGTAAAATTTTATTAAATACATACCTCTAAAGACGTTTAAAGTATTATATTAATATGTGTGTTTGAAATAGTGCATGCGAAAATTTAATTTACCTAACTTTAAATTACAGATGAATGAAACCTATCAGCATCCAGGAAAGTGGCATGAAAATCATATAAACCCAACTTTAATTCGATTCGATAATACCCATTTTATCATGTCACACGTGATAAAAAACTTGGAACATAATGCTGTGTACGAGGCAATTGTTCAAGCTAAAAATAAATATGGTTGGAACGAGGTAATATATGTTTGCATGTAAATGTGTATATTTATATATAATAAGCGTTTTTAAGCTAAATGATTTGTTTACATTGGCAATTGAAGACGGCATTTAAATGGGGAATGTGAGAATGCTACATTTATTAATAAATGGCCACCATCCGATTCCCACCCGATCAGATTGTAAAAGTACGGATCTAAAAGTGTCTTGAAAACAATAAGCAGTTTAGCCATATCACTTTACTTACCACTTGGTAATTGCATTCATGCATGCATAAAATTACCTACAAATCAGGAACTGCTCTTGAAAAACAAATTCTTGCTGGTACTGTGAAACTCAATGGTGGTGGAATTATGGTGTGGGGTTGTCTTGAATTTATTAAATACAAATTGGGCAGATTAGAATATTTAAATATTTAAAAAAATTATATGAAACGAATCTCGGAGAATCTTGGCTTATCTTCGGTTCCAACAGTATAAAGACCCGACGCATACTGTTAAAACAGTCAGCCTTTGGCTTTTGTACAATTACACTGGACGGCTTAAAACGTGCTCTAAGCCACCATATCTCAATCACATTGAACAGTTTGGGGATTAAATGGGAAAAAAGAATTATTCGCTAGATAAATAGAAATAAAGAGACTTTGCGTAGTTGTTATGCAGGCAGAATAGTGCCAGATTATAGCTGAGGAAACATAAAGTTGGAAATTCAATGCCAAACTGAATGAATGAGGTTTTAAAGCAATGTGGATATCCAAAAAAGTATTAAATTTTATTAGTCTTTATGATCTTAATGATTTTGTAATTAAATTTAAGCCTGAACGCAAATTATGCACAGTGGGCCAGGCTGCCCAGCTAGCGGAACTTTAGTAATAACTCAAATAAACAAAAACTGATTTGAGCGAAAATTTATATTTTAGACTTTTGAAAAATTAATAATACATTTCTTACCAAAAATCAATCGGAATCGGATGAATCGGACGAATCTGATTTATTTGAATTTTTTTTTTCGAAATTAATCAAAAGCCCAGGCATGGCTTTATTCAAATTGAATTCTTTGTAACTAATTTTAGAAGCTTCCTTAATAGTCGTGAAACAAGTAAGCCCTTCATAACATCCACCATTGTATTCCTCCTCTTATCCTTACGAGAATGGCTTAGTCGTATGTTTCTGAAATCTTTGTTCCTGGCTTCAAGTGCTTCTTCGAACTGTTGATGATGTCTGATGTCTGCTCCGTGTATTTAAACTTTGTTGAGTTGAATGAATCTGTATTGACTTTGTATGCGCTAGCCATCACACTTAAGATCACACTAAACCGGTATATGAGTTCTTCATTCGGGATTACTGCCTCAAAACTCGGTTGACTAAAAAATCGTCTACAGTGTTAACATTGTTGGTATTTCTACTGGCCGCCATAGGAATGTCAACCAATTGTCCCATCTGATTTCAAATTTTTTGACTTCTACCTTGTCCTTGTCTTAATTACAAACTTGCCATTTCTTTAATGGTAGTCTCTAGGCAATGTGTAATGCTGCAACTACCCATCTTATATACCTTCTATCCATAGCTCTCCTATCTTTGGAGAGCGCCATGTAAATACAAAGTTGTCACCGCTTGCCCATGCCGTTACTGAGTGTTACCCCGCAGAAAATACTCGTGTTTATATATCCTATTACAGTGGGGTGTTATGGCAGTGCGGAATGGAGGATGGGTAGTGGCAGCATAAGATACACTCAAAAAGTCGTATACGTGCATGCAGAGTTGATAGCCCATATTTTAAGAGATCTACATCAATTGGATGACTTTCTACCAATCTGAGATTCCGCATGTCTGAGTAGGTGCTTCAGCAATGGCGCTATATGTTTTGCCATCTAGCATGGTCATACTCTTACTCTGGAAGAGGTCAATGCACTTTCATTAAAATAGAAATTCTTTATAATTTCAAGACAATTATAAATGAGCGGATACTTTTGAATCTTGAAGCCGCCCTAATAAACAGCTGATATACTACGACATGGTTAATTTGTGTCCGTGTCCTGTTCGGTGAAAACTTAGTAAATTTCTCTCTTTAGGGAGAACAAGAAATATTAGTCCTTCAATGTTGTTACTGGCTAATTCTTGCAGAAATCTTTGCTTTTAGGATTTGTTATGATCTTTCCTTTTCCATATACCACGTGGTCACATTTTTGGCATTTCGAGGCTCCTTCCTCCCTTCCTCCCCAACTTTCAATATTTCTTTTCTTTCAATACATCTTAGCATTTAATTAGCTACGCCAACTTCCAAAATATTTATGTATAATTATGTAAGTCTAATATGAAAGCGATGCGAGGAATAATCATATATAATCCCAAAGAACATTCCTCTTGCAGACCGTATCTTAACTTGAGTCTTTTGTAAATAGAAGAGATGCAAATAAATTTTTTAACTAGACACTCACATGAGACTCTTTCATTCCTAAACTGAAATTTTTAAAATTTTCGAGGATTTGAAAAGTGTATAGATAGAAAAAGATAGCTATGGTCAATAGATTAAAAAAAATCCAAAAGCTGCATAAAAATCTTATGATTTTTCTTACTTTTGAGAAGCACTTTTACTAAATAAATATATATTGCAAGTACATATATTAGATTAATAGTAAATTTGTTTTCATTTTAGTGTCACATTCTGATGGACTTTTTACAATGCCAGACCATGATTCGCCTACAGTATCGCCAAAATTTTTATCACGCGGACATTTGTATAAAGTTATAGTTGGCGAAACTATAGAGCTACCTTGTAAAGTGCAAAATCTTGGATCTTTTGTATTATTATGGCGGAAAGGTTCTTCCGTTTTAACCGCTGGTCACTTGAAGATTACGAGAGATCAAAGGTTTAAAATTGTGGGAGATTATAATTTGCAAATAGCAAGTGTTAAAACCCAGGATGCTGGCGACTATATCTGTCAACTTGGTGATCAAGAAAATCGAGATCAAGTACATACAGTTGAAATTTTAGGTAAGTGTGGGTAAATACCTGCATTACACTACATTACAACATAAGGTTATCTATCCTAATTAATCAATAAATGTTTATCATATTTATTTTTAAGTACCTCCAACACTTCGTGCATTGCCTCACAATGGCCAGGTAACCGCGCGTAAGGGCAGCACCGTGACTTTGGAATGTAAAGCTTCAGGAAATCCGGTGCCCACAATTTATTGGTTTAAAAAAGACGTTTTTGCGGGACCAACTCATTTATCAGATAGTTCAACATTAATACTAGAGAATGTAGACAGACATCATGCCGGAATATACCAGTGTTCGGCCGATAATGGAGTTAAAGAGCGCGTTTCAATGGATATACAACTAACTATTTTATGTAAGTTTACAAATATCAAAGCTATTTTCCGAGAAAACTATGATAAACGAAATGATGCTCCTATTGTAGTTATTATTATACAATTTAAATATTTCCAATATGGCCTATGGATTTTTAATTTTTAAATTTTGAATTTTTGGAAAATTGAATGAGGAATCAAAGGATAATAGTTTCATAATAATCATCTAGACGAATTCACTTAAGGTGACAACTTTTGCTGAACACTTCGTTACTGGCAATTTCTTACAGACATTTTTCTCCATACAGAGCTAATACAACTTACGGTATCCAAAAACACATTATACAGTTGAATAGATGGGTATATATAGGTTATAAAGCAGCCTCTATATGTGTTTTCTTCTTCTTTTTTATTTATATAATTAATTATGTGTTGTGGTAGATTATGATGAGTTAAATATAAATTTAATTTTATCTTTATTTATATCCTTTGAAGCACCACCGGAAATAACTGTCGAGAAATCCTGGGTACATGCAGCTGAAGGTCATGATGTGGAGCTTGCTTGTATAGTTCACGGCGATGTGAATTCAGAGGTAAATAATTGTCATACATAATTAATTAGGTGAAATGGCAAAATGTTTTAGTAAGGCAAAAAAATTATACTAACTTTTACTAATTTTTTTATATATAGAAAAAACATAAAATATACTATCTTACGAAATAAATTAATCGCCATCATAAATAAATTTTAAATGAATATACCGGTTTGTTTATTAGGACTAAAAATAGAGTAGAGCAGCTCAAGTTCGATCAGAACAGAGTGGCTGCCAAAAAGACAATAGAGCAAGTTAGAGCAACTCGGAGCAAAAAACTGATGAAACATTTTTCGGTCAACCGTTTTCAAATGCGAATGTTTGACTTTTCTGTTGTAAACAAAATAGAAAATATTTGCAATTTTCACCTATATTTCGCTATAAGCGCTTTGTACCGCTGAAACGATATTTTTGGCCGACCTCGTCCTCCAATTTGTGGTTTCGGGTCTTGATGTTTTTGCAACAAATGAAGGGACCTACAGTTTATACTAAGCCGCCTTCGAACGGTTGATGGTTTCTCATAAGGTGATTTATTTAATTTCCGAAATACACTCGTAGGGGTGGGCATTCCCTGCCGAGGGGCGACCGCAATTAGAAAATTTAATTTTAATTTAAATTAATTTTTTCAATAACTTTTTGGATCCGTCCGAATATCAGTACACAATGCAAACCACTCGGCTACCGCGGCCGCCAAGTTACTCTACCAAAATAATAAGAACAGAAAATCTTAATCTGAGTTGCTCTATTTCTGCTTGTAGTAGTCTCATGAAACAATAAATGGAGCAAATAAGGATAAAAAAGTTTTTATGAAACACAATTTTTTGAAATAGATTAACCTGGCGCCACCTAGACTAGCCCGATACACAAACTTGCACTCTTACTCTGGAAGAGGTCAATGCACTTTCATTAAAATAGAAATTCTTTATAATTTCAAGACAATTATAAATGAGCGGATACTTTTGAATCTTGAAGCCGCCCTAATAAACAGCTGATATACTACGACATGGTTAATTTGTGTCCGTGTCCTGTTCGGTGAAAACTTAGTAAATTTCTCTCTTTAGGGAGAACAAGAAATATTAGTCCTTCAATGTTGTTACTGGCTAATTCTTGCAGAAATCTTTGCTTTTAGGATTTGTTATGATCTTTCCTTTTCCATATACCACGTGGTCACATTTTTGGCATTTCGAGGCTCCTTCCTCCCTTCCTCCCCAACTTTCAATATTTCTTTTCTTTCAATACATCTTAGCATTTAATTAGCTACGCCAACTTCCAAAATATTTATGTATAATTATGTAAGTCTAATATGAAAGCGATGCGAGGAATAATCATATATAATCCCAAAGAACATTCCTCTTGCAGACCGTATCTTAACTTGAGTCTTTCTTGTCAATCGTGAAAAAATTTTTTATGAAGTATACATCTTACCAGTGTCTTACATGAATAGTAATATTTTGTAATATTGATTTTGTTTTAATTTTCGCAGATGCTGTGGTATCAAAACTCTTTTCTATTAGATCCTACCGATAGGAGATCAATGCAGTCAAATGATGATAAATATACTTTAATAATAAGGAAATTCCAGCCCTCTGATTTTGGAAATTACAGTTGCGTCGCCGATAATGCTCTGGGTAGAACTAAAAAGTATATTGAAGTATCTGGCCGTCCGGGTCCAGCAAATTTTATATCTCCTGCTCTAAGTGGATATCTCGATCATTATAACTTAACATGGACCATAGAATCAATTCCAGCACTTGATGAGATTAAACTTTTATACAGACGACTATTGGTAAGACATATTCTTAATACTTTATTCGTCAAATGCGTTAAGAAGTAAGATTTTATTAAATACATACCTCTAAAGACGTTTAAAGTATTATATTAATATGTGTGTTTGAAATGGTGCATGCGAAAATTTAATTTACCTAACTTTAAATTACAGATGAATGAAACCTATCAGCATCCAGGAAAGTGGCATGAAAATCATATAAACCCAACTTTAATTCGATTCGATAATACCCATTTTATCATGTCACACGTGATAAAAAACTTGGAACATAATGCTGTGTACGAGGCAATTGTTCAAGCTAAAAATAAATATGGTTGGAACGAGGTAATATATGTTTGCATGTAAATGTGTATATTTATATATAATAAGCGTTTTTAAGCTAAATGATTTGTTTACATTGGCAATTGAAGACGGCATTTAAATGGGGAATGTGAGAATGCTACATTTATTAATAAATGGCCACCATCCGATTCCCACCCGATCAGATTGTAAAATACTTGGTACCACTTGGTAATTGCATTCATGCATGCATGAAAATACTTACAAATCAGGAACTGCTCTTGAAAAACAAATTCTTGCTGGTACTGTGAAACTCAATGGTGGCGGAATTATGGTGTGGGCTTGTATGGCCGTTGGCGGTGGAGATGACCCATATCTTGAATTTATTAAATATACAATGGGCAGATTTGAACATTTAAATATTTTAAAAAATTTCATGAAACGAATTTCGGAGAATCTTGGCTTATCTTTGACATTTTGGTTCCAACAGTATAAAGACCCGACGCATACTGTATAAACAGTCATAAAGACATAAGAGACTTTGCGTAGTTGTTATGCAGGCAGAATAGTGCCAGATTATAGCTGAGGAAACATAAAGTTGGAAATTCAATGCCAAACTGAATGAATGAGGTTTTAAAGCAATGTGGATATCCAAAAAAGTATTAAATTTTATTAGTCTTTATGATCTTAATGATTTTGTAATTAAATAGTCGTTATACGAGTATATAGATCCAATGAAACAAGTAAGCCCTTCATAACATCCACCATTGTATTCCTCCTCTTATCCTTACGGGAATGGTTTAGTCGTATGTTCCTGAAATCTTTGTTCCTGACTTAAAGTGCTTCTTCGGACATTATACCAATAGGAAGTGCAACACTGCTGATTATGTCTGATGTCTGCTCCGTGTATTTAAACTTTGTTGAGTTGAATGAATCTGTATTGACTTGGTATGCGCTAGCCATAACACTTAGCTGCCATTGGATTTCAAATTATTTTGCTTCTACCTTGTCCATGTCTTAATTACGAACTTGCCATTGGTAGTCTCTAGGCAATGTGTAATGCTGCAACTACCCACCTTATATATCTTCCATCCAAAGCAACCTATCTTATGAGAGCGCCATGTAAATGAAAAGTTGTCACCGCTTGCCCATGCCGTTACTGAGGGTTACCCCGCAGAAAATACTCCTGTTTATATATCCTATTACAGTGGGGTGTTATGGCAGTGCGGAATGTAAGATGGGTAGTGGCAGCATAAGATACACTCAAAAAGTCGTATACGTGCATGCAGAGTTGATAGCCCATATTTTAAGAGATCTACATCAATTGGATAACTTTCTACCAATTCGTGGAAAATTGTAGATAAGGGTGTAATTGTTAGTTGAATTTCCAATATTTGGCTTGTTACTATATCAGACTTTTATCGAATCAATTCTATGATTTACTTTTCGCAAATCAGTTCCAAATGCCTACAATAGCGTGTTGAAAAAGGTCGTGGTTTTTTCCACAAAATATTTAGTCCAAGCTGAACTATTAATGGTACAAGACAAACTGCAAAAAGATGTAGATCTAGCATTTTAGTTTCACCAGTTTGTACTCGGTGCCACCATTAATTAATCACATGTGGTTCCCTTCACAAGATTATACACTTTTCTGGCCTGCATTTTGTGACACAGGCCACCAAAATCCTTCTCAGGCCGACCCATGTCTGAATTTGATGATATAATGGCTCATCAAGCCATTTTTGTTTTTTTTCCTCGAAATAAGGTCTGTTGAAATGACGTGATTTCCATTTGTCTGTCAGGCTGCTCATAAAACTAGTTAATTTCTAAGCAATTCCTTCAGATTCCATTTCAGAAAGCTGATGGTTCTTTAATATTGTATTAAAAACAAATTCTTTTGAACGAGAGCTTTCTTTGTGGGAATATTTTCGGTAAATCAAGTGGAATAGAGCACGCGCTTTGGGACTGACATTTCATCTAAAAAGTACTAAAGACTTAACAGTTGGTCATAGTAGGCTATCATTTTAAAAAAGTTGGCCCCACAAAGACTCACACAAGTAATAGCATCAAGCATGATGCCATACCTGTTATAATAACAAACTTCATGCACATTTTTTAAAATACAAGTATCAAATATAAATTTTCTATTTAGGGCATACCTTTTCTTAAAGTGAGCAAAAGGTACACAGGCATGTCATACCGCGGGTAAATTCTTGAGCCCCTAACCCGAAGGGAGTAGTTTCTTTCTCTCTTCGCAGTCGGCTTCATATCCAGCTGACATTAAACGTGTCTCGTTTTTTTCGTGTTACCAGAAAAAATCCACCTTCTTCGCATAGAAAAATACGCAAAAGACGTAATTTTAAAAGAAAGAAATGAGTTCAATAAATATAAAATAAGATTTTTGCATTTTATTTAGTACTAGAATTCGCCCGCGTTTCGTACGCATGGAATTTAAAAATGATTCTAGTAAGATGTTTTGTTGAATTAGCTTTATTTATCTGCTTAGAACCTTAGGACCGTTGTCAAGATGTGCATATAAAGATATTGTTACGATTTTACTAAATCAACCTCGATTATTTTCTAAATCCTTCGGGTACGATCTCTGGATTGTCAAATAAAAACTCGCCAATTCAATTTGCAGTATCTTTCGTTATAAAGAATTAATCTAATGTCCTTTATTTACTCCGTAATTCACAATTCAATTACCATACACTTAATTATTTACAATCACTATCATCAACTTTCACAATTTACTCTACTTAAATGTAATCCCAACACGTTTACTTTACGACTTTACTGATGTTAACGCCAACGAGTTTACTTTATCACTAACTTGACTTGCAGCTGAGTGTCGCCTTTATATAGCAGTCGGCTGCTCGCAGACGAAAGCGTAGAAGCATCGAATTGTTCGCTATGGAAGGTTCTTGTTTTATCGTTTCTAGAACGTACTAGTTATCGGCTTCTCTCTTTCATCTGACATTCGCCTCGCATTTTCGCAACAATATTATATATAAATTATATGTAATAAAAGAATGAAAATAAAATGCTCAAGAAAAATGCTGAAAAGTGTGGCAACACCATATTTCTGTGTCAAAATTTTTGAAATGGAGCTAACTTTAAATTTTTTGTATCATGGTGATGGCTATGTTTACATGTTGTTACGTTTAGATACCTTTACCACGAAAATGAAAATCGGAATTTAGATTTTTGTTTATGAATTTTGTTCTTAAAATAATAAAGATGAAAGACATATAAACATTTTTAACTAAATTACCTAATTCTCATTGTGCTGTTACTTCACTTAAAAAATGTGTCAGGTAAACGCAGACTTTATTGGATATGTGAGCATAATATGCAAGAAACACTGGAATAAATTATTTTTTTAGTGGTATCGATTCTTCTATTGTTGTTTTTTATAGAGAAAAGAACTCTGCGCGAAGGTAAAAATATATTTCACAAACCCATTTTTTCTTAAAAGGCCGCATGCCGCCATTTCCCGCGAGTCTTTCATAATTTAATATTCATGTATTTTATAAAATAATATCTCATAATTAATTTTTTATATGATTTTATGCCGATATACGAGAAGCGGCTGATAAGTTTGCGGCTTAAAGTACTTAATGTTAATGTTAATAGTTTTAAGTTTTTTCATTTCTCAATATAGTCTCTCAGGTGGAATACACATTTCACATCGTGAATACAATGCCTTCATACCACTGAAAAAAAATATTCCTTAGATCTCTCTTCAAAATGCTTTACTACGGCCACTTTCATCTCATTGTCGTCTGAAAATCTTCGTCCTCGTAACTCCTTTTATAAATTTGAAAAAAGGAAAAAATCAATGGGAGCCAAGTCCGCACAGCTGGGTGGATGTTATACTTCTATAAATTCTCGTAGTCCGAGCGATGTGAAAAGATGCTTTGTTTAAAAAAAAAAAAATAGCACTACGCGCGATAATTTGCCACGTCTTTTCTCTATGACTGCCTCACACGCCTGACTCTACAAATTACCGTAATACTGGCCGTGGCCCCAGAAAATGGTAGCCATAATCTTCGACACCGACATTTCCACTTTGAATTTTTTTTGGTGACCTTTTCCCCAATTTTTTATTCATTTCATAGACTCCTGTTTGGACTGGGGATCATATTGGCGAATTCAAGTTTCAGTAACTGTTACAATGCGGATGCAAATTTCATTCAAATTATCAAACTCCAAAAAGTCTTCACTACTCTCCATTCAGCGCTGCTTGTCGTTCTGCGTAAATGCGCGCACTAAATTTTTCATACTGAAATGCTCATGAAAATCTCTGCAGCTTGTTCATCCTCTAAAAAAATTTTTCCGGATATATTTTCTTTTTTACAAGGAATTTAAACACAGCGCGGTGCTCCAACTTGTGATAATTCCAACTTTCCGTGTTAGTTGTGTTTCTTGTTCCAAGAACGAAATATTAATTGACCTAATAGAAAAAAGTCACGCAATTAATATTATCAGTAACGAGATGATGTATCATCTCTAACTACCTTAGGACGAGAGAAATTCAGCCGACCTTCGTATTTTGTAATATTTAACTGACGCTTTGTAGCCGCTGAAGTGATTTTCACCCGAGCTCCTCCTCCACTTTGCGGATTTGCGTCTTGATGTTTTAACCACAAATGGAGGGCCCTACAGTTAAAACTAATCCATCTACGAACGGCTGATGGTTTTCATCCTGCGAGGGGCGACCGCAATTAGAAAATTTGACTTAATTTTTTATAACTTTTGGATGTTGGTTGATCCAGGACTCGAACCCTGACCTTCCGTATGACAATTCTAACCACTCGGATAAATAGTTACAAAATCTCGAAGTTAAGAAAAGGCATGCGGAGGGTCATGGTTTCGAAACATAGCAAAAAAAAAACATTAGCAGGTCAGAAGTGTATATAATAAATCCAGGGATCTTCTTATAGTTGGAAAAACTATTGCGACGCACACTAGAAGTTGGAGAAGAAGCTCGGACAAAATGATCTACAGTGGTTATCAAAGTTAATTTTTAGGTTATACGAAATGTATCGACTATTACTGCGAAGTACAAAAGCGAACTATATTTAACAAAAAAAATTGCTTTGAGTGTAAGAAAAACTGAAATTTATACTCAAAAATCATGTTGACCGATGTTATGTACGAGTATATATATTATAGTTATATACTCTCTCGTTGAAAACTTTTTACCTAATATTCGTATATTTTGCAGATTAGCGACATTCACCAGTTCTACACCAGAAACCATGATCTACTCCTCGACATAGATATGGAATATAAAATGGGAATTTCCAATGGAGCAGGAGCATTATTTACATTATATTTGCTAAATGGAGAGGCCGCTTGCGCAATATTTCTTTTGTTGAAAGTTTGTATTTAAGAACTTAATTACTTTAATATTCATTAAGAAAATGTGCCTTATATTTTAGTTAAAAACTTCATTAAATTTGTAAAGCTTTTTATTATGTAACCCGTTGATTTAGCTGTGCGATAGATACTTTAAGAAAAAGCCATTTTATATTATTCATTTATGAATTTGATTCGAGATAAAGCATTTTTGTGTCTTTGTGTTGATATTCATTTGTCAGTGAGATGAGCAGTGTTGACTTTTTTCTCCGACTAAAAAAAAATGAATGGAAAATTGGCTGAATTGACCAATCGAATAGACCAAAGCCAAGTTGTGTAGAAAATAAAATAATTGTGCTTTTTTGTAAGTTATATATTTGCAGAAAAAGTATTAAAGTGTATCACATGTACATAAAACAACAAAAACTAAGTAAGTAAAATTAATAAAATAAGTAAAATTTTAGCGAAACTTTTTCCCTTAAAAATATTTAAACTTCGGCAAACTTCAAATCGTTTCACTTTTTTTCTTTCTAAACATTCCTGAAATAAATTTTAATTAACTTCAATATTAAAGATGATACATGAATGTAGGGAAAGAATTACAGATTTTTTAAAAGCTTTAAGGGACTAACTTTACCCTACATTTCTGACTATTTAGCGTTTGGATGAAATCGACACCCAGAAGAATTAGCTCTCATATTTGAGATTTGAGGACACTACTTGCCAAGGCATGTCTACAGTGATTAGGGTATTCGCAGTAATTATGTTCATTAAGTGTTATTAGATGAATTAAAGTAGATGAATTTTATGTAATTAATCTTAAATATTTGTGCGTAGACGTGTGCCGTGGGCAGTCACTAGTCAGTTTTATATTGAGTTTTTAATGTAGAACAACCTACGTCTAGAAACGCATACGTTGAGTTAATGGAAATAGAGCTGAGAGTAAAATGTTATGCATTAAAACATATCATTCTATTTATAATATGATACACATATGTGTAGTATTTTAATTATGTAAGCACTAAAAATGACTTGCGGTTCTTCGATAAAGGCTAGAAAATTGAAAAGCGTTAGAAATTTCGTAACTGGCTGAGTCCACTTGACGGTAGCTTCATGATTTAATTATTAATATTCTAATTACTTTGGATTTCAATGTAAGAACAGTAAATGCCCAATTTGTTTTAGTTTTGTGCATTGCAGTGCATCGGTTAATTTTTTTTTTTTTTTAATTTTACACTTTCATATTGCGCCACAGAGAAGAACATTCCGGAATTCTTTTTTTAAGACTACTTGATTTTGCGGCGTATAAGTTTGATAATATCAGTAATATTATTTTGCGATTTTAGGATTGGAAATAAATTTTTTTGTTGGATTATCATTAAAAATCGTATAAGCATTTCTTTTAAGAAAAGGAAAGTTTTAGATGTTCTAATTTTGAAGTTAATGTCAACAGTCAATTTTATTGAAAAATGTTAGTAATAGCCTCATCTCACCTTTGTTATATATTATTGTTTTTTTTTTACAAAATATTAGATTATGAACTGTTATATGTAAATTAAAGCGTTATAAGTACAATTTTAGGAATTTATTTTCACTTCTAATGAATGCCGGCCACAATAGCATTGCGCACTTCGGAAGGCCTTTGCTCTAATTTTCTAATTGCGGTGTCTGGAAATGTCAAGCGTGCATTTCTGATATGAAATGTTCACATTTCTCAATATTTTTCCTCAACAAAATTCAATTAGTCTAATAAATTCAATTATGCTTCTAATTTACATTGAATTTTAATTTTGGCGATGTAACACATTTGATTGGGATATTAGTCGAAAAAGGCTTGCGATTACACCGAAAATCGGTTGTTTCCGGTTATTTTGTATCAATTTTAAGACTTATGTTAATTGATCATTCTATTTATATTTACTTTGAAATCAATCTACATATACAAAAGTAATTTTTTTATTGAATACTTCTTGACATTCATAATTCTAAAAATATTTTTTTTTTGATTAACGTTAGTACTTAAATACTTTGAAATATTGATTTATTTAATACAGCATAAATTCAATTTACAATTACAAAATAGATTCAACTTATAATATTATATAAAACAAAATCATTGCAGTAAGCATAAATACATAATTTATTTCCCAATACGAATGTGCTTTTATAGTCCCCCATTTATGGTGGACGTCTTTGTGATTTTACTCAAAGGCATTTCGGTATTATTATTTTATTTTAAAAGCCAAACGCGAGTTTTTCAGCTATGAGATGGTCAAATTCATAAAGGCATAATATTAATAATTATATTCCCACACTGCCAGCAACTCTGTTACGACAGTGAACCTAAGTAAATATGTATTGTACATCCGTATATTAGAAGATGATATTATATTTTTAAAGAATTAGTTTTTATAATTTTATTAAAATTTCATATAATCGTTTTGATTCAAATAATAGTAGTTTCACGTTTATTTAATAAGAGTAGCAGGACGTCTGCATATCATGATATTTCTAAATTTCACTTCTTGAGAAGTTAATACAGATACTTTTGATGAGTTATATGAAGGTGCTTCCATGGGTGCGATATTAAAAAATTGGACAGTTGTACTTGCCATCCACCTCGATTTTAATTCACATACATACATACATATTATTTTCGAAATAATAAACAATTAACTTTTATATTTTAGTTTTTCTAATTCTCTTTTATAATAAACATATTTTATGGTCAGAAAATCATTTTACTCAGTGAATGCTCGAGTCTGAGCTCGAAATGCCGGAATGTTTGTTATTATTAATATATGTACGTTTTTGATAAAACCCAAAATAAACGATTATTATCAAGCTGTAGTTTAAATAATAAATAGTTTCTTTGTGAATAATATTTATAAATCAAATAGTAGATGTAGTTTAATTGTATTTAGCTCATAAGAAATTAATTGTTTATTGTAGAACAAAAGCAAAACTAAAATATTGTGGGTAATCTGTAAAGGTATAAATGCCGCGAAAATATCCTATATATACCCTCCCAAAAAACCGGGTTTCCATATGTATGAAAAAAAAAATTATAATTGCATAAAATTTCAAGTATTACCGCGACATTTGCACATTTAGAAGATCACTCATAATACTTTGAAATTTGTAAATACGTACACATATAAATCCAATTAAAGAAATCCATGCCATCGATAAGAACTTCTTCATATTGTATTACCATAGGAAAGTGTAAAGTGAATATATTTCTAAGAATAAATACTTATGTAAGTAGTTATAATTTGGCAATGCCTATTCCTACAAAGCATAAATACATACATATTTTATGTAGGATTAGAGTAAACGAAAAAAATATTAATTAATTTAAGTATTATATCGTAAACTGCAGCTATTTTAAGAAATCACAAGCATGTCATATTGTAACACATATTTATTCGAATGTATGTATATCTGTACAATAGGTGTAAGTCCACACATACATACATGCATACATATATACATATATATATATATATATGTATGAATTAATTGAAAATATGAAATGGATTGTTATATTAAGTAGATGTAAAGTTAAAACTAATATAAATTAAATGTTGTAATTAGCACATAAAAAATCCATTTGAGCTATAAGAATAAATAAATTTAAATAGAAGAACTTATGATTAAGACAAGGATTCAATTGTCGATATTAAGTAGTAGTACATTGAATAACGAAAAAGCAGCACAACTTTTCTTCTATATACGAAATATAATGACATTGGAGTAAGGTATACATAAGTAATACAATTAGAAATGCATGTACTTTAAATTTAGAAAAACAAGTACATACATATGTTCAGACATATGTACATAGGTAATCGATATTTCAGCTGCTATTATTATAAAAAAAAAATATTTTCAAATAAAAGTACCATATCAAATTAAGATGATGTGCTTAAAGATTTAATAAGAGAGCCTTTGATAAAGGATTCACTAATTTTTAGACATGTGTTTGCGGTCGCTATCTCGAATAGATGCTTCAAAAAATTTACTTTTTTATTGGCTAAAAATATTCTTTGAACTTTCTAGAATAAGGAACAGAAGGTCTTGTTGTGTTGGACAATGATTCAATTGAAATTCGGTATGTATTTTGTATGTTTCAAAACTTTAAATGCTCAAACATATTGCAATATTTTCAATTTTTTTTTTCTTACATCTTTTAAATGTTGTTTGAAAGAGAATGATGCACTCTTCCAAATTTCACAAAAATAATTATTTTTTAAAATCGTTACATCATTTTCAAGCTCTTCTCAAGTAGATAAACAAATTTGTGCTGCAAGTCACAGAACTTCTGGAAGATATATCACTTTACAGAAACGTGCATAGTTTCGCCTATTTAAAATACTTTTTTGTTGTAAATTAAATTGTGCTCTATTTAAAAATGAAATTAAAAAGATATCAAAACATTATAATGGTATTGCCTTTCTTTCCACATAAAAAACTCTTTAAAAACAGTAGTGTTTGGCGTTTACAGCGGCGTTACCCCTTAAATTCCGTTCTTTCTTTCCTCTTTCCCTATTTTTGCGCAGTCTGCTATTTTTCATGTGTGGCATGATACAAAAAACGTGGTAGTTTCAGTCAAAATTTTTTTCAAAAATTTTTAGTCGCATGACATAAAACTATTTTTTGACTTTGGCTTTATTTTTGTGCTACGAATTTAAATTTTGCAAAATAAATTTTCGACTTTGTAAAATTAAAAAATATATTACAAAAAATTCAAAACCTTTCACTATGAACTATAAATAAAGAGAAATAAACCGTAGTCACAAAGAACTCAAAGTCTTTGCTTAGTATTTAAAAATAAGTTAAAATGACAATAAGATATAATGTCAAAGACCTTTTTCTGTCAACTTTATCTTGAGGGAAACTACCTTCCTTTTTTGTATCAAGATCTGAAGCATCAACAAAGCATTTTCAAAAATAAATAACTTGCAAAAATCCATACAAAAACATGAGCACGTCAGGTACACGCGCAAGTGCTAGATCAAAAAGATGGAAAAGAATTTTAAATAATCCTTATAAAATGTGTCGCTCAACTAGTACTGAAAATTCTTACAATATAACCGCATGCTCCAGCTCACAGCATGAAGAACTTTTGAAACTATTCCTAAAGCAGTGTTTCAAGGCATATATATGTAGAAAATAATATCCCAACGATATATAATATAATATTTCCTTTGAAAGCAAGTTTGTTATAGATTATATTAGTTTGTACTGGACATTTGTATTGCGACCTAATATCTTATTCAACTGAGGCAGCAACTCTTCAAGGTATTTCAACCTTGCTTTTGCAACTGTTTCCCACTATATTAACAGATGCCCTGGGTTTTCACGATAACCTAATAAAAATCGAATGGCTGCTTTCCTTGTATCCCTCTGTGTCCTGGAGCCCATAATAGCCCAACTTTTTTAGATTAGATCAGCAGATTTAGGTATATTGAGAACTTAGCTCTAAAACCTGTAATGGCTGCTCGGGCCTTAATAATATAATATTATCCTTCTATCCATCATTCCAAAATTATTTTTCTCGCATAAAAGCATTGTATTTCTTTTCGAAATTGATGTTCTAAGGCGTGACATCTCTATCTTAGAGAAAGATATATTATTTAATTTTATACCATGCTCTTTCCCTTATCATATATATATATATATATATATATATTGGCACTTAGTAACCGCTGAAGCGATTTTCCGCCGAGCTCCTCCAATTTGTGGGTTTTGCGTCTTGATGTTTTTCCAACAAATGGAGGGAACTACAGTTCATACTAAGCCGTCCTTATCTTAGTCAACAGATATTTCTTTACTATTCGTTCTATGAGATAGTGTATTGGTAAGTTCAAGTATGCTACTGCTGTCAGACAGTCAAATGCTAGTCTCGGGAGATTGAATAGTACGGCCTTTGTAGAGTTGAGATTAACTCGTTCTAACCACGCTACTGCTTCATACGGTTGGTTTGGTTTAATTATCATTTTGTACATCCTAACTTAGTTACTGTACATGTATTCTAACTTACTTACTTTATTTGGCGACAATTGGAAATACCAAGTACAGCCAGATCCTCCGCTTCCACCAACGGATACTACATCGACAACTTTCAAAGCTGGAGTATTTGTATTCATCCTGAATTTATGGCCTAGCAATCGTTGCCGCTGCTTCTTGATTCGCTGAACTATATCAATGACGCCGTATTACTCGTACTGCTCATCCTTCCAACGTCTGCGATATTCGCCGTTGCCATTGCGCAAAACTCCATAAATCGTTCGCAAAACCTTTCTCTCGAATCTATATAGCAGGACGGGAATGATAAGGAACTTGTTTGGTTTTTCTTTGTCGAGAAATGGCTTTACTTTTCTATTGCCTACTCAGTCTAAAGTAGCACCTGTTAGCAAGGTTGATTTTGCGCTGGATTTCAAGGCTGACATTATTATTGCTGTTGATACTGGTTCCTAATGCTCGTAGTATTTTCTCCAACAATAAGTTAAAAAAGTCACACGATAGAAACTCACCCTGTCTGAAACCTCGGTTGGTATCGAACGGCTTGGATATGTCCTTCCCGATCCTGATGAAGCTTTTAGTGTTGCTTAACTTCAGTTTACATGACCGTATAAATTTTGTGCTGATACCAAATTAGGAAATGGCGGCGATAAGGCAGCTCCTATTCGTTCTGTCGAATATCTTGTAAATGTTTGACTTACCATGTCTGAAGCCACACTGATAAGGTCCAATCAGTTTGTTGACGGTATATGTTCGACAGGACCTTATATGCGATATTAAGGAGGTGCAGAATGTGAGGTCACATTTTTTATGGATTGGGCAGAGCACACTCAAATTCCAATCGTCGTGCATGCTTTCCTCCGACCATATTCTGCAAAGTAGTTGATGCATGCACCTTATCACCTTTTACCGCCATATTTAAATAGTTCTGCCCGTAGGCTGTCAGCTCCAGCCGCTTTGTTGTTTTTTTAAGCGGAAAATTGCTATTCGAACTTCTTCATGGTCATGTAATGGAACGTCTTTTTCATCGTCATCGATTGGGGTTTCGTGTTCACCATCTCCGGATACTCCATTTTCACTGCTATTTAGCAGGCTGGAGAAGTGTTCCCTCATAAATTCAATATACTATGGGCATCGGTAGCTAGATCACCTCTTTGTGTCCTACAGGAGTCTGCTCCGGCCTTGAAACTTTGCGTAAGTCATCGTATCTTTTCATATAATTTTCGAGCATTACCCTTGTCGGCCAGCTTATCAAACTCTACTTCTGCCTCATTATTTTTTTGTCTGCAGATGCGGCTTGCTTCCCTCTTCAGTCCTCGGTATCTATCTCGCCCCGCGCGTATTGTGGTCAATTGCAACGTTGCGAGGTAGGTAGTCTATTTTATCTCCACTGCGCCACGCTGTTTTTGCGACCTTTGCGAGCTCCAATGGTTTTGTTTATAGCTGAACGTTAAGAGCTTGAAATGCCGTCGCAAAGGTTCGTATATCGAGTTGCTGATGAGTGCTCTCCTCGGAGTGTACGCATGTCGTCTCGTTTTGTATTTTTCGATCAATGGATGGCCAATAGTAATACAGACAACCATATTTCGGGCCCCCGCGATCACCCTTAACCCATTAAGGGGTGTATAGTTTTTCACCTCATGTCGGGCAGTAAGTATACTCTAGGCGCTCATAAAAAGCACGTTTGGCCAAATTGTCCTTCTTTTCCAGCGTTGCATGGGGGCAAATCACGATGTATTGAAAAACTTCGCTTCGATGCGGATTGTGGCTAGACGATTATCCACCGGGGGGGAATACCAGAACTCGACGGAGTCTCTCTCCCAACCGAAATCCCACACCACTACAAAGAACCTACTCGTTTTTGTCCTTGTCCCGTCCATCGCACTTCTTTGACGGCGGTGATATCAGTCTTTACTCTTACGAAGACATAAACCAGCTGGGCAGCGGTACCTTCCCAATTAAGGGATCGCTCATCCCACGGTCATGCCCTCAAATCGTGATCCATAATTCGTTTGCAGGGGTCGTCAACAGAAGAATCAACAGAAGATAGCCACTCATCAGAGGCGTTGTTAAATTTTTCATTCGAACTGGCTTCAAACGCGGCTGGTCCTAACCCCAGCACACAACCTTGCCAAGCGAGTATGTTTAAAGTTTTTACACATTTATATAGCGAACAGCTTGTTTTACGACCGACGCCCGCTCCTAGCCGCACCTCTGGTGAACAGGCGCTACAATTAGACTTCTGCAGATTCTTAAACCGAATAAGTCGGAGTGGCTCCACTGAAGTTTTCTCTCTCGTTAGCCGTGACCTAAGGCTCCACACCGGATGGTTACCGTATCTCGCACTAGGGTTGCTCATGTTTCCAAGAGTAGGAATTGAGTATACCCTCGCGAATGTAATGGCATACCCAGAAGCTGGACTACATCCCATTACACCCCTTTGGTTAGTTCATCCAGTGAAGGATATTTGGCTTGCAACTGCAAATGTTTACCGCGAGTGTTGCCTTGTTTATCATGAAGTCTAGGTACTCTCTTTATGTAACTCTGGAGTCAAAGTTTGTTCTAAAGTATACGGTTTCAAAGCATAGCTCTATCATGATTCCATCCATTATATTTTCTTCTCTTAGTAAAGGTGATTATGTCCCTTTTGCCATGGTTTAGTAAAAGCGATCTCTGTATTATATCTCAGAGCGTATTTTGATATTCACCTAGAGCTGATTTATGATAAGAAACAAAAATAAAATCTCCTACTTCGACCACCATTTTCTGACAAAATAGAGTAATAAAAACTTATTTTTGTTATAAGTGGTAAGTAAACTAAAGGCCTGGTTTGTTTGTATGAACTGAATATTTTGTTATACAACAAAGAAAAATAGTAGAAGTGACAGTTGTTTCGGAGAGCACCACATCTCCTTATCAGACTTTTTATGGCAGGGATAGAACCAACGGATCCTGACTTAACAAGCGAGTGCTCTACCACTGCGCCAACGTCAGCCAAATAATCTGTTGTTGTATTATTCAATTCATTATTAATCAACAACTATGAATTTAATCTAATTTAGCCGCTATATTCTTAATAGCTTGGTTAGTGAGTTGTTTTGGAATCCTCTATACTTTCAGTTAATTGATATATAAGTTGAACCTCATACTCATATCTAAATAATTATTGTATAGCATGGCCGCAAAAACAATTATGGAAAATTTATTTTATTAGTCCCTTTTTACTGTGAGCAAACACCACGTTCCAAATCACCAGGGAAACCAACATCAGGGGCTTTTGAATGAGAAGCACCCTTCTTCTCAGGTCCACAAGGAGCACGTATGTATGTAGGAGATGTGCGCCGAAAGCTGATGAATTGATGGACGTGTCACCGATGTTACCGATACAATTTCAGAAGGCAAGTGCAAGTAAGAGCAAAAGGCTACGAAGTTTTGATCTATAATGTCTAAGCTGGTGGGAGAAAATGCTAAAAGTATTCAGTTAAGTACCTAGCTCGTATCGAAAATTTGGCGGAACCCTCTGGTTTTGCTCTTATGCTAAAACTCGGGAAATAGTTCTTGAAAAGTGAGCTACATCCCCATGATACTTTCCATCTTCAGAAGTGATGATATTATATATACGCATAACTTAAAAGCCATTCACATTAATTCAACTCATTAGCACTAACCATCTCAAACAAAGAGTTCGAGCGTCTTGAGTAGATATGCGTAGTTTTAACCTCAAGAAAGCGCAATTTTGACGTCTAGCTTAGAGGGAAAATGGCAAATTCGTGCGGGGAGAATTTTAGCAAGTAACTGAGTAAGTATGAAAAACGACTGATTTGATATGTGGATGTTCGAGAGAAGAATGCCTTGAGAAAGTGCAAAATCAAATTTTTTTTAAATATTTAATTTAATTTGCAACTGGCAAAAAAAGCACAAAGAATCGAAAAAACTATCTGGTGTTACTTTGTTAGTCGGTAAAACGATAATCTGGTAATTTTACGAAAAAAAAGAAAAAAGAATTCTGGTACCTAAGATAGCAAAACGAAATTATCTACCACATCGATGGCTGCCAACAGTGAAGTGAGTGCCGCATCGTGAACGAACGAACAGTAATCGCGTTTGATAGGTTGGGGAAAGCAGAACCAACGGGGCGATTGTTAAGGCCTTTGATATTAATATCATAGGTATACGCCGCTATGGTGAATATCTGAATATCTGACAAGGTCCAATTAGTTTGTTGACGGTGTAACTTATTAAACCTTATATACGATATTTAAGAGGTTAATCCCGCTTTTATTGGCGGAGCCCTTGGATTGGACAGAGTACACTTAGATTCCAATCTTCGGGCAATCTTTACTTCGACCATATTCTGCAAAGTAGCTGACAGTTCTTCATCGTCTTGTTTGAGTAGCTGACAGTTCTTCACCGTCTTGTTTGAATAGTTCTGCCGATAGACCGTCAGCTCCCACCGCTTGGATGGTATTTAAGAGGGCAATAGCTATTCGAACCACGACATAGTTGGGTAATAGAACGTCTTTTCCATCATTATCAATTGAGGTTTTGGGTTCAAGTAAAATTATTACGGCATTCGAGTTCCAAGAGTATTGCTGTGCAATATTTATTGATACAGCGCAAGCCTTCGACAAGTTTGGCAGAAGGTCTATTACACAAAATTTATAAAACTTTGCCTATCCAATTCATATTTGTCTTATCTGTCTAGTAGAAAGTTTTCCGAAAAATCATTACAATTTATCGCTGAGGAGTTTTCAGTTAAAGCTGGTGTTACTCAAGAAAGCGTTCATTAGCCTGTATATCATATTATATACATATGTACATTTTTACTTTCAGTATCGATATTTGGGGAGGAACGAGCAAACGGAAGATGCTCAGGTCTTGCAATATTTGTAACCAATCCGGTCTTTTCAAATTCCTTTAAAATATTACTAATGGCTTGAGTAGTTGAACGATTATGCACACTTTAATCCAGACTTGAGGTTTGCATTATAACCGAAACAAAACATTTTTGGTTGGGCAATTAAGTTTGATGTTTATTATAATTCTTTAGACTTACTGATTCACGCGTCTCGTTTCAAAAGACCGATCATAAGTGTAAACCGACTATAATGCGGTTGTTGAAGATTCTCGATTAAAGCTACGTTATCATTCTTGTTATCATAAGCATTAACCGATAGTCCTTTGTTATTATAATCGCTGGCATTGTTTTGCAAACCCATTTGTATTAATCACATTGATAAAATATTTTTTTTATATATTTATAATATGGAAATTGAAGGAGATTGTACTGCAAGTGGCCCAATGAGTGCTGGAGCTCCCCGTGATTCAATTAGTAGTACAGGCTCCTCAACTAGCAGCACATCAATATCTACAAAAACTGCTCTGAATGATTGCTCCTTGGCCTGGATTAGTTATCTTAATGCACTGAATAATTTGTGTAGTGCGGGTTGTAAGCTGGGAAGTACGATGACGGTAAGCATAAGAACTTAAAACGTTGCATTCGGCCGCAGTAGCCGAGTGGTTAGAATCACGCATTCGGAACATCAGGGTTCAAACCCTGGTACGACTAACTTCAAAGAGATATACAAAATTAATTTAAAAAAAATTAAATTAAATTTTCTAATTGCGGTCGCCTCTCGTCGTCTTAAGTTTTATGAAAGCCGGTATTAAGTAAACTAGACCCGTATAGTTATAATAGTAAAAATTGTAATATTTCTTTTGATAAAGATACACAATGTATTTATTTACTTTGAACACAATTTTAGAGTTATATATTAACTTGAAAGGTAACCAATGAATCGATATTAAATTTTCTCTGGGGTGTATATTTTCCTGTAATTATTGGATGCGATGCTAACACGAACAATACGAAAAGGATATGGTGTACAAGATAGTAACCGGAATTCTCTGACATAGATGAAGTGAAAGTAAATCGAAAAACATAATATGTGGACTATATGTATAAATAATTTTTTTCTCTCTTTTCCAGATGACAATATCAGGCATAAGATTAAAAAAATATTAACTTCGACTTGTGTAACGACAGACATATATTATTCATAAAAATCAAAGCAGGAGGCAAAATTAGTTAGTGATACTAACGTTGTTGCCAATGAGCAAAAGACCGTACATCTTTAGCAAAACTTCTAAAACTATTAGTGGTGATTCTTTAGATGAACGGGAATGATGAGCGATCTTATTTTCCTGTTGTAAACTTTGTACTGGTACTACAGTTGGCAACAGAGAGTCGGCTGACATTATTATTAGTGTTTATGCTGATTCCAAGATCGACAATATTATTTATCACTGGACAGTTATGATTGTCAACAGTGACGCGGGAGCCAAGACGGAAATGCACTGGAGCTAATGAACATAAAATTATAAACTATAAAAAATGTTCAAAAAGGAAGTATTTCGTTTGCTTCACATCAACAACAAAATTAAAATTAAGCAAAACCAATTGGTTTACGGCTAAAAGGTTGAAGTGATTAATTGATAAATTTTTAAATGAACGCACTTTCATATTGAATGTATGATCTTTTGTCAATTGAGAAACTATAATAGATGTCTGTTTTGCTTAAGACTTTTGTGTGCGCTCTTTCTTTAAAACTTTTACAATTAATAGAATTACCGTTATAATTTTTTAGGTATTGGAACAGAGTGGATTGTTTGTAGAAAAGTCTGGGAAAGGCTATACCGAAAAGAATTTCTTCCACAATCTTCCATCTTCTTATTTAACACACTATTGGAATGATTTAGCCAGGTGAGTTCTCCGCACTTTATGTCAATTATAAACATTCCTCTACATATTAAAAAAAAAATCCAAATTTTTATCAAGTTTTTGTAGAATCGAAATGACTTAAGGTCAAACAATGTTCATATTTTTCTTAACTATTCTCTTATTTTCAGAGCGACTGCTGTAGCTACAAGCACTGTGAAAGCACATATCACAGCACTTCTGCAGGAATTTGTTGTATTACCAACGGTTGATCCGACATCTATATGTGAAATGGAGCAAAAACGCATACGAGATCATAACGAACTTATTATTATGGAAAATGCACAGGCAATGATAAATGTTCAGCATCAATTCTGCGCCGCTAGTTATGATGCCTTCTCATCTTTAACGTGTTGTTTTGTTTGCCAGTCTCCTGTTGGCTTTCCACATGAGCCGGATTGTATAATGATAAAGCAAAAGTAAGTATACATACATACGTTTTGTTAAATTTATATACTTCGAACATCGAAGCAAATTCTTCAGACTAGCAAACAGATTTTTTAAATTACATCTGACTCAACTCAACACTTAATTTGAGTAAGCTGTTTAACTATGTATTAGCATCGCATTTCAAATTATACTTTTCCACGGACATTTGTTGTTTTTGGATCTAAAGCATCCGAAACGTAACTTCCTACTCTGTACTTCTCAGCGCAGGCCCATATCAATACAGCATGATTTTTAACCAGTCAAATGGAGTTGTATGTTCTAAAAACATTATTTTTTTATCTTTATCTATCTATATCTTTATTATTCCCTCTACTGTCGGCTTACCATTTGAGGATATTTTACGGCTGCCTTTGTTAACCTAAAAATCCTTTTATTGGCGATATCATTCACAATTCATCTATTCAAAGTCTGCTCTCTCTTTTATGCTTACCTAAAAAAAATTAAATATATGCCCCCACTATTTAATAATCTGTATTTAAATGTTTCGTTTGCAGATCAAATACAGACCCACGTTCCCAAACACCTTCACCAAACTTCGGTGGAACTTACAAAACAGATTCATCCAGAGGCAGCTGCGTAACAGATCAGCGCACACATCTACAAGGTTCTTTAATTGGTCAGCAACTGGAGCAGACTGCAAGTGAGCTAAATATTTTAAAATATTTGGAATAAATTTTGGGTTTTATTACATGATTAAATATTAAAAGGTTAAAAACAAAGTTGTCTCTGAAATATTTAGTGGCTTAAGTTAATATTTTGGCACAACAAATTTAGTAGGCATCAAATTATCTTATGCCTTATAATGTGCCATGATTTCTTGCCATTTCAATTTCCGATCATATGATCTCTGCAAATTTTACTGGCCATTCGCCCCGTCGGTTTGAGAAAATATTGGTAACAATACTTACCAGCACTAAACTTTTCATTATTTGCCAATATAAAGAAATTAAAAAAATTATCGAGTTTAATTAAAATACGAGAGGAAAGGACTATAGAATTAACTGTAACTAATTTAAATATATGTAATTTAGAAATATTGTGTTTGTATTTTTTTTAGATCCTCTCGATCAAACTCGTGGACCTTCACCACTTCAGGCTATATTTGAGAATACGAAAGGACCATTACCAAATCCCGGGCACTTACTTGCAATGAAAGGTCCGTTTGGTAGAGGAGTGAGATCTCCATTGAACATACCTTTATTTCCTTTAAATGGACAACGTAGATGGTCTGAAGCTGCTGCAGGAGAAGTAAATGACGTAAATTCAACTGATGTCGAAAGTCAAATGCGACGATGGTCTATGCCTTGGGAGGCAGTTAAAACTGATCAAAACACAGTTACTTGGTATCAAACTAGAATAATGCCAATAAATAATGTCAATTCACTACATCACAAAACTCCTTGCTCTGATAGAAGTGTTTCGAATACACCAGGTAAGTCACATGTTGTTTAAACAACAAAGAACAACTTTTTATGCCGGAAATCTTGTTATCATTTTAATTAGATTCGGTTTTCATTTGAACAAGACTCTGCGTTATACGCAAATAGGCATTATTTTACAATTTAATGTTAAATTAAATTTAGATATGTGTGTATGTATTTCATGAAGAGAAAAAGGATTATTGTTTTTAATTTCCATAGATTTTCGACTTCTCTGTTTACTACCAAATGGCTATTGCTACAATAGTATCCTCAATTTGCAAGCATACGAGTAATTCTAAAAAACTGAGATTATAACTTGAGTAATAGTAACATAAAAATGGTTTTAGAGTAAATTTGTTAGTGTTACTTCTTCTTTGCGTAATACCATCGTTTCTAAACAAAAACAAAAATAAATACATTGTTTTCACGAGGTTTTAGTGTAAAGTGAATCAAAAACTAATTCACAAAATTGGAAGCGGAAAGATAACGCTTTGCCCACAAAGGAGATAATAAAATTTTTGTGTTCTTTTTTTATATAATATATACATATATATTACGCAGCACTGTCTACTAAAGCATGAAAATGCACCAATTAATGGCCCGTTCTCAAAAACTTGTATATTCCCTTTTATTTTAGACATTAATTGGCAATCTTGTGCTAGTCATGATGGGTTAACGGAAGCTATTCAACTCTTGTCCTGCCGGCCATCAAAAGTTCAATCTCAGCATTTACAAGGATACACCGCACAACATAGTGAAATACCAAATATTGACTAATTCTTGTGTAATCGAATATTTTACATATAAATTAAACATTAAAAATCTCAACAACTGAATAATTTAATATGTTGAAAATCTTAAAAACCTAACATCTATAAAAAAAAAACTATGTACGTGAGTATATTACCTGTGCCCACCTAATGATAAGCAAATATATGCCTGGCGGTCAGAAAAGAAAGGGTAGAAAGCCTTTAGCGAGCAGTCGCCGGGATTTAAAAACGGAGAATCTCCGTCGGATCTGAAAGGAGTTTTGAAATGTAAATATCAAGGCAGTTCTCATGTAGACGATTTTGCTTGAGATTTTAGGATATCAGCATCAGCATGCATATTTTATACATCATCTTTTGCCCATAATCGATAATAATTTTGAGAAATTATTGTTGTTACTTCTGTCGATGCCATATATCATTTGCAAAACCAAACCGAACCAATATATGATCGTCATGGTAAACTTTCGAGCAATTTAGGAACTAACTGGAGCCCTATAAATTGCTACTCAACCAAGCTGGATTATATTTTATTCGCTTTCTTGATTGACTAGCAGTCGCTTTCACCATCATACTCACAAAATGAAGTCAACAAATCACATCTTTCCCAAATTTAGCCCACTAATTAGTTATAATAAATAATATAAATTATTATTACGATCAAGCTTTCTCTAAAATGTGTATATGTATGTGTAGAAAGTAAAACTTACAACATATATTAATAAATATTGCATTTAAAAAATATAACTGATAAATTGTATAAAATTAATAGCAATACTTTTTAAAAGCAATCGTTTTAAGTAGATTCGACTATATACAAATAAGTTTCAAGTCCTTTATTCAAATAATTAGTTTAGTTTAATTAACGTTTACTTCATGTCTCATTGAATAAGGGAGTAACCGCACGCAAAAAGTTGACTTCGAATTCCTCCTCCGAAAATCTTTCCACCGATGATCTAAAAGTAGATATATGAGCATATATAACGAATCAGAATTTCGATAAAAATTTATTAACTATTTAAATAGCTATACACATATGCATACAAATATGAATTCCAAATATCTATTAAAATTTTGTATGAATACCACCAGGAAAAAAACTCGTATCAGAAGTATATATAATATTTCTAGGTAGTATAATAAGTAAAGTGGTAAAAGGAGTGTTCCAAATAATTCTTGTGGCTTAACTGAAACCTTGGCATTAATTTCAAGTTATTTCCCCTTAACGCCTGATATACATATAGCCCCAATTGATCATAACTACTAATTCCAGCATTATCGAAGCGAGATTTTTAAAGCTACATACATAGAATTTTTCGTATAATATTGTAGGAAACCTTTTATAAAATCACTCACCTTGCTGCATTGCGAATTGTGTCGTTTAATTCTTTTGAATTATATATAATACTTAATATACAATTAGCATATTCAAGAGCAGATGTTGCCAAATATCCGTTTTGACTTCCTTCGGACGTCTCGATTATATCCAATAAAGGACCTCCAGACCGATGTGCAATCATTATCATGCCAGCAGCCATGCATTCGACAATTCCAATTCCAAAATGTTCATTCCACATGGTATGAATACCAATGCTTGATTTTTGGTATAACTGCAGCAACTCTTGAAAATGCACATTAACTTTGAATTCTACGGAATTTTCTAGTGACAGATGTTTTGATAAGTCTTGCATATTCTTAAGACGTTCATAATCACTGTCATTACGACATGATCCAACAATTACAAGCTGTACTTTATCCCATAACTCCTCTTTTCGTGACAATAAAGTTCGTAGTTCATACAAAGCTTGCAGTTGTAAAGGGTGATCTTTTTCCGGTCGGAATTGTCCAATAGATAAAATTATAATCTTGTCTGAATTTTCATTACGTTTCAGCTCCTTAAGATGTTTTACTTCACAAGGTGGATATACACGATGAGTTTTAAATGGCACACCCCATAAATCACGAATGTGGTTTTCTGTCCAAGTAGAGTTGACCATAATCGTATCGGAGCATTGACCAACCCAGCTGTAAATCTGTTTAAGAAACATTTTGTTATAAACTTTTTGATAGTAGAACAATGAGTAATAATTTCCCTAAGGAGTTATGTATGATAAAAAATTCATATTCAGTTCAAAGATTCATCTTAATCGTTTAATAAGCTCAATTTAAATATATTCATTATAATATCTTAATGTAACTCATTGAATTCAATGACGACTGGCTAGGTCAGGTTAGTATTAAAATGGAAGAGAGCTAGAGTTTCGCACTGAAGACCTTGCCATATGAACTGAAAGCTTTTTTAGGTGCTTGATAATAAATTATTTGGTTCAAAAAAATCAAAGTAGATATCATTGGTACGTATGAGTATGTAAATAATACAAACCTTTGCGAAAATCCGATAGTATACAACTTTCATCCATGTGACGAATGGGTTTCTGACAACATATGTCTGGTTGTTGTGACAATATTCGCGTTGCTGAACTCGACGTAGCATATCGATACTTATTGTGGGGTAGTGTACATAACATCCAACTTTGCAGTCTCCAATGTAACGAAATAATGGTAAAGTAAAAGCATATCCGGTCGTATCTATATATATATCTGGTGGAAATCTACAAAGTGCTTCCAGCCCTAATATAATGGATCCAAGACTTTGCCCCAATAAAGTAAAATACGGATATAATTTCGCTTCAACCAACATTCGTCGCTTTAAGTATACAAAACTGGTGTTTTGCTTGTCTACATTTATATTGAAAGTACCCTGTACTTTTTCAAGAATGCTGTTTGGTGAGCTGTCAATATCTCCCGTGTATATAACGATTTTAATATTATCGTATTTAGCCTAAAATGATATATTAAAACCATAATATAAATATGAAAGATTTGATATAATAAAAAATGTATATGTACATGACGAATCCTTATAATCTTAAGGATACAGTCTTTATAAATGCCACAAAAATAATTTTCCTTTTTAAAATAAATAAATAACGTTTGAGCAAGTGGATATAGTCATTCGAAATTTCTAAACGGTTTTCGCGACTACACTTTAAATACGTACTTTATTTGTATACTTCAAAATATGCAAACAACATTAACCCGTTCCATTGAATTGTTAGCGCACTACATACATATTTGTAAAAGTTAATTTAACATTTTTCTAATTTACGGCATATTCGCAATACGTGACGTAGTATCATTTCAGTTGGGCGTCGCTACAGTGACATCAACTCGACAACTCATCATCGCCAACCAACATATTTCTTCTTTAAGAAAAATCTACATTTATTTTCACACACAAATATACCATTATCACACAATGATTACTATTCTTTAAACCTAAATATGTATATATGGTTTACCTGCAAAGCTCGAACTGCACACCACAGCACCCTCTCCCCACCTCCTCCAGCATTGCAATATGGGTGAAAAATTCCTATATTAACAGTACCATCGAAAGATCCCTTAAGTTTCCTTTTGCAGCTCCGAAGCCAGTTCCGGAGACTCAACAAGGATACGGCCAACACTGCCAAAATCGACACGAGTATACCAAATCTATCCACGTCATGTAAAATATATCAATAAATGATCTAATCTTGTATTTTGGCCACCTACCTACATTATAGTAAACATAGTAATCTAGAATTTTGTGGAGAAAAACACGTCAATCGTCGAAAAAACATAAAAGTGCTTTTGCACAAATTTTATCAGACGATTCCACTCTGCGTTCTATACATATCGATATTTTAACGACTTTTTGGTAGAACGATATTAGAAAATTTATCTCTCCTAAAGCTACTTTCACATTAACAAGCTTATAACATTATTTGAATCCTTTCGCCCAAAGCATGAAACAGTCGCAAATTGGTTTCGATTATCTGAATTTGAAAACATTTCAGGGTGCATTCAAAACTCACTAAAGATGTGAATTTTTTTCAAAAATAGGTGCCTACCATATGTGATATACTCGGACTTAATTAATGGATGAACGAGGTTATCAAAGTTTAGGAAATCTAGAGCCAGAGACTACGATGGTTTTGCCAGTTTCAACAGTATTCTATTCAGTGTGTACTGGTAGGGAAACTCACAATACAGGATCTTCACTATTCCGATATCATTTGATTAAAAAACGCGACATCTGTAGTCAAATTCAGTTACTATCGATTTCATACATTTATTGAAACATCGATGAATCGATATAACATCGATATGCCTTCCTGCCTAAATAAAATTGTTCCATTGTTAGCAGTAAATACGTAAAATTTATAAAATGGATTATTTGCGTCCTGTTTGGAATTGCTTAAGTGCGTTTTGTGGGTGTATTCACTGCTCTGAAGATATTGGCAATCAGGTTCGTTTACGTTTGTTAATGGTTTAAATAATATTTTAGAAATTCGTTATAGTATAACTATGAACCCAGCGAGAGAACTTACCTATTGGCTGATCCTGCAATCCACAACAGTCCGGCCTTAAGACAAACGAATTCAGAAAATCTTAGCAGTGACTTTCCTCAATCGTTACCTAAAAAGGATGAAAACGCGTTGTGTCGCTTGGTGCAAAGCACTGCTATGTAAGTTAAAAATTTAATAGGCGTAGAATTTTATGGTACTTATTGACGAGACCAGACTGGCATAATGAAAGAACCGATATTACTAACTTCAACATATCAACTTCGTGTGGTGAATTAATTCAATTCCAAATACGTCTAAGAGGATTTTGCAAATATATTAATCATCGAGTGATTAAAGAGTAATTGAAAATGTGTTGGTTTTATCTCGTTGAAACAAAAACATGTTTTCATTCAGTGAAAAAATCATTAAAATGTTTAAACGTTATATATTGTTAGTATTCTATTTTTATAGGAATATGATTGATGTAGGCGCTATGGATTTGCATAATCTTGAAAACGAGGAGTACAATGATAGAATAAAACTATATTCTCAACGCCTGCAGCAACAGTGGAACAATATCCAACATCCAGGAAAGGGAGCATCAGGTACATAATACAGGCCATATTTGTTGCATACGTTAGTTAAAGCAAAACGTAATAAATATAATTTGCAATAAGTTATAAAGCTGATATTCGTTTACAACTATTCATATTGTTTCTGAGTTTTAGCTTCTCGCATATCTTTATTACTTGTGAAATCATAATGTAATGATATAATTAACTCCATTGATATTTGATTATTTTTAAAAGTGCACCTCAATCTCAAAAGAAGTTTGCTAGTTAAAATATTCATTTTCGTTTGAATCGCTTTTATTTTGTTTTCATATGTTTACTACCTTTTAAGCAAATTTTACATATTTTCCCATTTCTAACCAGGATTCCTGCGAGATATTCCAAATGCAATCGATCAATTGTGTATGATGAATTCGCCAGACGATTTTGCGCAGGTAAATTACTTCATTCATAATTCAAAAATTACAATTTTCTGTACATATACATAAAAATATAGCAAGTTTTAAAAATATCAATATGATAGATCATATCTATGAAATTTTGTTACTTGTATCCATACTCATACTCTATCAAACCTTTATGCGATGGGTAATGTGCTAGCTCTTACCGAAATAAACGACTTAATGAACCAAATTTGTGGGATTGAAAAGAATTTAACATGAATGTCAATAAAGTGCTCTACGTTATAAAACATTTTGTATTTTATGTCCCACTGTCTGATTTCAGAAATGCGTTTACCTTAGAAACAGGGATAAGATATCCCTCCTGTAACGGTATTATCTGACAAAGTTTGGTATACACATTTATATGTAAGCATGACTAAGCTGCCACTAAGCTGCCACTAAGCCTTCATTCATCATAAGGGAAATTTGATCCGACTCAACATAACTATCTACCAAAATGAGCTGTCATATGTTCAATTTCCTTGACGATGGATTTTTTTTGTGTCGAACTAAGCCCCATGACTTTATAGGCACCAATTTCGACTCTGATGACAGGCGGTCGTGTGCTGTTGGTTGCCTTAGTCTACTCAGTCTTACGAAATTTCGAATTAACCAACTTATTTCACAAGCTACTTTTTCTGGACTTAGTTAGGGCAGCCAAAAAAAATCATGTTAAAAAATTTGCATATCAAATTTTATTAATCTCCAGTAAACCTATATATGTACTTTATATTTTGGTATGAAAAGTATTAAACCTACTAAAGTTAAATAAAAAAGTATTCCGAACTTATTCAGAATTTTCCTGCTCTTTGGAAAAAAAATAAAAAATAAGATTTCTTTTTAACAATTAGACTGTTAAAAAACATTTATTAATGAAATACTAAAAAACAATTTTCTTTTTCAGATGACAAACTTTTTAAGTAAAAGCCATGCAGCATTATTGGATTTGCGAATTGATCATAAGGAAGCAATTGTTGTACCATTTAGAATACCATAAAATTAATAATTTCTGTTGAAAGTTAATTACTTGTAAATTTGTATTAAAAAATAATAAAAACTTATTATCAATTCGTTTAAAAGCCTTATATCGGCCGAAAATCGTTAGAGCGATCATAAAGTGCCAATTATATATATACCTACGTACATATATATATATATTGCATTCATTTGTTTAATATTAAAAAGAATGTAATATGTCTTTGAAGTGTTTTTCTTTTAATTTGGTTATAATTTGCAAAGATTTCTTTTAAAAAGAAAGAATTTCCGAAATTTCTATGGCTCTAATAGCTATTGCACGTTTAAAAGACAATGAAGAATTGGAAGCTGCTGGATTCTCAGCAGATATGGTGATAAAAAAAACTTATAAAGTTCCCCACGCAAGTTGAGAAAGATTTTGACTGTCAATCAACTGAGAGTGGCATATCGCCAAAGAACATCCGTCTTGAGGCGAGCTTGCGTGGGGCCACTCCGATGTAATCGGTGTAAGAGACTATTTTCTGCAAAGGCGGTGAAAAAAGTTTGGAAACAGGTAGTACTTCTAAGCGCTATTAAATAGAAACACCGACGGTGATTTAGAGAAAGAAGAACCCCGATCAATGTACACGAGCAATGTCAACATTCCACCTTTAGACCAAGGTGAGGTTAGATAAACTTGCGGGAGCATGTGTTAGCTCTTAAGCGCGCTTTGGTCTGATGAATATTAGCCCAATTCTAAATATTCTCGCGGAAATTCTACCTTGCGTATTTTGAAATCACTTAATGAAAAATCCTCTATTTCTAAATGCACAGGGAGAAGGTTTTTTTTGGAAAAGCATTTTTCCTTTCGAAATGAGCTGCTTACTATTATTGACATTTGATAGTTTGCTGAAATAAACAATGGCAACGAATTCTTCAACGTAGATAAATTATAGATCAGGGCAAATATCCACGTCGTTTGCCAACGTCTCTTGCTCCTGCAATCCAAACTGCCTCACAGGTAACCAATCCACCGACTCTTTCATCCCTTCGGGAGAGCACAGTTTTCGCTATCTATTACGTCCTATCGTTTTCATTGGCATTTAAGTTCTGAGCCGCATGTATTTAAAAAATAGAAATTTCACCTTCCATTTCACAATATTTTTTACAAGTAGTCCGCGGTATTTACACGCTGTTTTTGACCTAAAGAAACCATTAATACGATTATTTTGTGTTATATTTATTATCTATCGTTGCACTTAACCCTCAGCTCTGTCCAAATTAGAAAGCACCTCGAAACCAAACGAGGTTTCAGACAGGAAGGAGGAAGCTATAACTTCGAAGTTGTAAAGGATTTTGTCTATTTAGGATTCGGCATCGAACACCAGCAATAGCGTCAGAATGGACACCAAACGAAGAATACATAACTCTTGCTAACAGGTGATGCAGAGCCCTCTCTCGATTAACTAAAATTACGTTCTCTAAACCTCTCGTCATTTCCATCCTTTTGAATGATGGAAGAGTATTCGAGAGCTCTATTCTACGCAAGGTCTTTGGCTCGGCTCGCGCATGGAAAGAGTATTAAAAAAGATGGAACTACGTACTGTATGAGATATGGTATGATATGATATGAACATAGTAAAACGCATGGAAATGCCGTTCGTATGAATGTAGTTGTTCCAATGAAAATATCATTCGACTTCTCACCTTTACCAAACAACAAACGGTTGTAGACCCATAGAGGAAGAAGATATATGCCTGACTCTTAGAATATTTTTGTGCTCTGCTTAATATGTTAGCTAAGGTATAATTTGGAGCTATCGTAAAGAGATATGTACGTAAGTGTTCTGAGCTGCAGCTAAGCAATAGTAGTAGCTCAGACATAGTCCTCTCCGAGCCAGGCGCTGCCATCCTCAGATTTCTCTAACTTAGATTTCGCGACTAAGTTCGATCTCTAAGTCTGCTTAGGAGACGGTGATTGGATTCCCAGGTCACCATTCAAATAAATAGCTATTGAAGGTGTCCACCCTAAAATTTCGCTGTTTGCAGCGAAGTAGCGGAAACGGTCGGAAAAGTGTCAGCTTATAATTGAACAAGGTTCATCAGTATTCTATCTAGCCGCCAATATAGAGTAAACATTGGAATATAAAATCGGGAATACAAATAATGTATGGATCACCTCTTCAACCTATGAGTTTCGTGGGTGTTTATGGCGTTAATTGAATTGGTGTTGCACATTGAAACATTCTCTTAAAAGTCTCTTGACTTTGGAACGAAGAGCTTCATTTTGTTGAATAGGACAGTTGGGGAAAGATCTGATTTTTTTTGTATCTACAGTCGGCATCAAATGGAAAAAACAAGAAACGATTGTGGTTCCTGCAGACACACACCGGAATTGGAGGATTTTATATTTAAACATACATATGTATGCAGAACACTTGTACGTTTGCTTCTTTCATTTCTACATTTAAATGCTTCTAAAGGAAATTCATAGTAGACTGGATGGACTTGATCCCAGACATAGGACTTCAACGTCACAGAACTTGGCGTGACTTACATATATAATATGATTTTGCGGTTTGTAAGAAACACAGTAGGAGAAATGTTATACTTTTTATCACTGACTTGGGGTTTTATTTAGTGAAACTTCAGCTCAGCAACTATTACTGAAATTTTCAGTATTTCCTCAAAATTTGTTGTGTATTTTCATTTTCAAAATGTCGTTTGATTTTAATTACAAATTTTGGATTGGAACAAAAAAGGATATTGATGATCTTATAAAAAGGCAAAATGTTTTGAAAAAGAAGGATCCAATATCCAATCCATTGGTTACGTATAGAATATTTTCTGAGCTTTACGTATTGTACGTAGAGCTTGTCAATAAGTTGAGTTATGTGTATAATTATACATTTCAAGTTCAGAAGCGAGCAGTAGTGAGAACACTAGTAGAATCTGCTGCGCGACGATTGATGGAACTGAAAAATGAGCTAAAGAACTTGGAGCTAAGCGAATATGTTTACACCGACAAAGCTTTAATCGCACGAAAGCTCAATCCTTATGATTTAGTCATATGGCGTTCGCCACAATTTTTGTGCCGCCGTCCACCTGAAATACAAAATATTGTATATGAAAATAGAATATTCATGACTGAAGATGGGAAAGTTGTGTCAGAAAAGCAAGACAAAGAAGTTCTGAGTAATGCTGTTAAGTTGATACAAGCTCATGAAAGAGCTAGAAGTGCTAGAGTTTACAGATCCGCTATTAAATATGATAAGAAAAATCTCAAAGTGTTTCAACGAAGGAAATTCCATTACAGTTTCGCACATAAAGCGGACCAGCCAATGAGTATACCGGTGAAAAGAACAATGTTCAATGCAAACTTTGTAAAACAAAACGAGCACTGCCAATACTTACTAGGAGCGGACAATTTTGAGCGCAAATCAATCGATCGTATGCTTTTGGTATTATCTAAAATTTTTTAACCCTTTTCGAAAATATTTATCTTTAGAAATCGACGAAGACGAACTTAATAAGATTCGCAACGAAGCGGCCTTGAAGATTCAGTTGGCCTGGAGAGCGCATAAAAGCAAAAAAATTCTTAAGAAGAGAAATATCTTTAAGCAAACATTGTATGGCATGAGAACTAAAAGAAAGTTGATAAAGCCCAATCAGTATATGGACTCAGTTATCGAAACATACAGAAATGAGAAATTTAAGCAGCAGCTCGATGAAGACTTTATTCGATTAATGACTGATGAGCGAACCAGATTACTGCAAGAAAGATCGCCATGGATAATGGAGGACATATCGGATCATATACGGGGGTGGTTTCAGGAATTGTAAGAAGACCAATTATATCAATGAATATTGTGCATACATGTTGGCATAACTGCATACTATTTTATTGCAGTTACGATAAAGTTGGTGATTTTCATCCATATCCGGATGCTCTAAAATCTGGTACCGTTTTGGTATTGATTGATGAAACATTTAGTCCCGAGGAGTTTCGTGAAAAGTTAAACGAAATGAATTTGTCGAAGGAAGAAAAGAAAAAGAGAGCAGAGAAAGCGAAACAGAAAAGGCAAAAGGAGAAGGAGAGAATTCGAAAAGAAAAAATCAAAGAAGCTAAACGAAGGAAGAAAATGAAAGAGCAAGGAATTTATGATATAGCAGATGATATTAAGAGAAATGAAAACATAAGTAAGATTAACACCTTTTTATTTTGCAATCACAGCCTTTGTGTCTCATTCAAGCAAATATTTCGTAATGTGGCAAAAGTATAAGAAATAATGCAAGCAAAAATTCATTGCATTTATTGAGTAAAAATTAATACCCAGCAACGAATAGGACCTACAGTTTATCGACTCTAACGACAGCCGGTTCTACGCACCGGAGTTGTCCCGGATTTCATCCGGCCAAGGGCTGTCACCCTTTCGGCGACCTAACCATGTTTAGAGGACATTAGGACATTAGTCTAAGTTCGCCAATGGAGCAACACCTTGCAGCTGGGTTGCTCCAAATCTTTCTGATCAGGGCTGATGTCGAAACCAACCCTGGTCCGACGGACTATTTCTGTTGCGTTTGTCACAAAAGACTCCACCACTCCTCCAGCTCGGTTAGATGCAACCAGTGCAATGGTTGGAGTCACCTTAAGACCTGCTCAGGCCTTAAGACTAACAGGGAATGGACCACGAGTTATGAGGCCCCATGCTGCCAGCGTCCAGCCGCACCCCCAGCCTCCACGGCAGTGCCTTCAGCACCTTTACCCACTCAGGGTAATTAACAGACCGCCACGGTCTCCCGGAGTTCTCCGCAGCATGATTCCCTCCAATTGCTGGACAGGACGGCGTACAGACAAGCACTGAACGCCATTCACCAGGAGTCAGTCAACACCTTCAAGGACTCCCTTCCAGTGAATGGCATACTCGGAGAAAAACCAACACCCATAGCAGACAACGAGCTCGAGTTACCTTGAGAGACCCACGTGACTCTGACATAACTTAGGTCTGGATATTGTAGCAGGTTAAACTCTTACTTATCCAGACTAGACCCCAGCATACCCAACGTATGCCCTGCATGTGGAGAGTCTCCGCACGACACTAACCACCTTTTCACATGATAACCTCGGCGACTTAGACTGATCAAACCTGTGCCTAAGCGGGGTTAGCAAGCCGCTACAACAACAACGACAAAATACAGTTTTTACTAAGCCGCCTCCGAACGAAAACAAAAAATATTTGTATATTTATTTTATTTCAGTAAATATTGAAAAAACTATAAAGCAGTATTCAATTGATTGGAGATTAATTGACGAATATCTAAATAAAAATCATGAAGCAATCAAAGAGTGGGTCACAGAAGGCGAGCTCGCCATTATTCATCGGGAGCTAAGGGCTTTGGTTGATGAATACATGCGGTTAGTACTTAGGCGTATTGTTTTGCATAAGACCTGTAAACGTCCAGCTTGACTTCTTATTATTATGAAGAACAACAATCTATGTTATTCGTCAACCTACCTAATGTTCTTTTGTAGGTCGGATGAAAAAGGAAACACCTTCCGTTACTTACTATTTTCATTTATTTCTAACATTTCAACATGAGATATCTATTCCATATCAAGTGTTCTTAATTATATGCTAAGTATAAAATGATAATGTGATGTCAGTTTTATTATTTAATCTACATTTGTTTATCACTTATTTATTTGCACTTAAGACGAAATCAGTTTATAGAGGAATTTTCAATAAGAAGTGTTATTTTGAATAGACTGCTATTCCGAAAGATGCCACTTCTAAAGCCGCATTTTTTTTTACATTTAACAAGCAAAAACTACGCCAGTAATGAAAATCCAACGAGAGATAAACGATTTTTTACGTCCAGAATTGGTTGGTATTGATCTGGACAACGTTTACTTTCAATAAGACAGCGCTTCGTGGCCCTCAAGCAACGAAACCAAAAGAAAAGTTTCCGGACCGTGATATCTCGAAGAGCTTTTCCCAAATGGCTGCCGAGATCTTGTGATTTGACACTTTGCGGCTTTTTCCTTTGAAGCTACGTGAAAGATAAAGCCTACGCCAACAAGCCGACATCGATTCAAGACCTCAAAGATGGAATTCGTGAAGCCATTGAGGGCGTACAGCAGCCATTTTGCTATTTGGGGATGGAAACTTTCATAGAAAGGATACGGTCCTGTAAGTGTAGGCGTAGCGTGAAATTTTGCTGATATTGTATCTCAGAAGATATTATTTTTCTCTGGATATCAAAATAACACCTCTTATTGGATAACCCTGTATATTGAATTATTCTTATTAGTTAAAAAAATCATATACATATACATACATGCACGTACTTTTTTGGAAAAAATAATAAATATTTTTGGCAATAACTAATCTAGTTTAGAGTACGAAATTCTTCGGAAAGCTCTTTGTATGGACTTGAATAAAAAATACAAACCACCAAAAAAGAAAAAAGCTAAAGCTAAGAAAAAGGGAAAGAAGAAGAAGAAGAAGGTCAAAGATATAACGGCCGATCGGACACTTGAATCTCTCTATGAAGAACTTAAGAATGAAGGCTTGATTGAAAAGGTCGATAAGAAAACATTCGATGCATTTATTTCAGACTTTAATTTTGTTGCCGATGACACACGGGACGAAGATCATTTGACGTAAGTTTTATTTGTTATAAATACAAATATTTTACATATTTTAAAGTGCATTAAAACGACACACCTTGAGTACGGTGGTATTAAAGCTTAGTTGAATGGAAGAAGTGTAATTGGAGATTTATGCCAAGTGGATTGCATACACCACTATACGGCTTAAAATATTTAAATATAATTGAAAACCGTTGAAAAAGTAAGTTCAGGAATGGCCAAAGTTTTTGACCTACTCAAGAAATTTATTGTAGTTACCAATTTTTAAAAGAGTTTGTACGTCTACCAAGTTTGGTTGCATTTGATGTTAATGTTCTAAATGCTTAGGGTTAGCTATGCTGACCAGTTCAGAGTAAAAATACGCCTAATTTGAGATGCACGTGATCTGTTTAAAATACTAAAGTAATATACTAACGTGAACAGCAAAAAGTGTTTCCCTATTAGCCCGCTTCCAAGTGATCCGTATCAGATATAACCAACATCAAGAAATCGCCCATCGGTCTCGTGTTTTTTTTTTCGATTTTGCGAAATTGCAGCATCACCTAAAGCACACCAGAAAACATTTTGCACGAGTGGTTTCTAAAAATTTTCATGTGTTCCAAATACAATTTTATTGATTACTGAATAAATACCACAATAACTGACTGAATATGATTTTTTATGTACGATCTTTCCTTGTCAAAGAATATCAAGGCATAAGAGTTTATTTTAGTGTTGAAGTAATATTGGGTTGCCCCAGAAGAAACCGGCGAATTAGAAATAAATTAACTTTAATCAATTAAGGGATGACCTTTCGCCATCTTTCCGGGAACATCATCATTTCACTCATAGAACTTCTGGCGTTTATTTGCAAGAAATTGAACACCGAGTGCGATTTTATATCCTCGTAATTTTCGAAAAATGTGTGCGGTCTAGCATTAAGCTGGTGGAATATGATACCTTTAAGATTGACCAATTCTGGCTGCTTCTCGTTCACTTTGTCCAGTTGTTCTCAGAAGACATTCGACTAAATCGTTTGGTTCCTTGGAATCAGCTCAAAATATAATACACCCTTCTAATCCTACTAAACTGACAGCATAGTCTTCTTTTAGTGAATATCAGCCTTTGAAGTGGGTTTGTGGCGCTTCATCATGTTTGGACATGATCGTTTACGATTGAAGTTATTGCAAACAATTCATTTTTTATCTCCAGTTATGATTTGCTTTAAAAAGTTTCAAAAACGGATCATATTCATTGCATTGAAATTGCATATCACAATCGTTGAAGCGGCTTGTTAAATAAATTTCTTTTAATATCAAGTGCAAGACGTCGTATCCGATTACAACATGTACGGTTGAATATAAACAAAACAACGCGTACTTTTTTTCTAAGCCAAGCTCAAAGTGACTGCTTATAACTGTCAAAAGAACAAATACAATTAAATGGTCAAAAGCTGCTCAAAAACACTATCAACGCCGTCTTTATGAAAAATCACTGTTTTCTTTCGGAGCAACCCATTAGTTTTTCCATGCATTACGTCAGCTTTTTGGTTAGACATGGAATGTAAGGCGGATAGAGGTCACAACAGCCGAGTATTTTTGGACTGCGCACCAACATTCGGAAGGCTGGGATTCGAGTTCTGTTTCGACCAACATTCAAAATATGGAAATTTGTTTTTCTAATTGCGTTATGCCCTCGTAAGGGAATGTAAAGCACCTCATAAGAAGTCACCAGCCATTTGGAGGTGGCTTAATATAAACTTTAGATCTGTCCATTTGTTGGTGAAATATCAAGACATCCATCACAAATTGGTAATTTTAAGCGTTTTAAGTAGTTGCAAAAAAATATTATTATTTGTTCTCCTTTATTATCGTTCTTTTATTCTAAATAATGATAACACTCTAACGACAGCAAATTTATTTGGTCTTCTATGGTAGCACTTTGGGACCGGCTAAAGGTGACATAAAAATGGTTATACAAGAATGTATGCTCGGCTTGGGAGAATTCTCCGTGGATAAACCAAAATCGTTATGTTTGGCTGGACCTTTAAATAACGGCAAAAAACTTCTTTCACAAATCATTGCATTTGAGTTGGGTAAGTTTACATACACATATAATATTGTGTTGCCATTTGCCCACAAATTCATTTCATCCCGTGCCAATCGCCACATCAAGATTGTTTGTTATTCTGTCAGCTCATAATTTTCAGTTTACTGATCAAATTTAACTCTGGGCAAGCTTCAATTCTTAAAAAAATGTATCGGCATCAGTATCTTGAAACTTGAACAATTGCAACTGTTGTAAAATAATTATTTTACACGGCTAAGGCATTGCCTGGGTTTCGGAACACGAGAAAATTATGTCTTTGGACTCACTTAGAGTTTTGCGTATTAAATCGCCACGTTGATCTCAGGTTGCGATCGTAAATTTGACAAGTTTCAATGGGTTTCGCTTCCTTAGACGTTAGAAATTGTAAATAATAATACATTTGAGCTTTTTAAAATACTTTTAATTATTTATTATACGATTAAAAGTATACATGCTAATTTATTTGTGCGTGGCCATATTATTTCACAGATGCTGTTTTTATAAATCTTAGTCCAGAGAAAACAAAAGATTATAGCCCTGAGCAACTGACCTACTTAATGCATGTGGTTATGAAAGTTGCAAAAGCCTTCCAACCCACGATAATATTTATACAAGATGTTCATAGAGTTTTTTGGAAAAAAGTTCCCAGAGAACAAGAAGGTCTCAATCCGCGATTGCTACAAAAAGTTATAAAAAGCAAAATATTAAAATCAATCAAAAAGGAAGATAAGGTAATGCTTCTGGGCACTACGGACTCTCCATGGTCCGCTAAACCTGCCATGAGGCGAGTTTTTCAGAAGTCCCTTTTGATACCCAGATGTGATTATGGCAGCAGCTTTCTACTTTGGCTCGAAGTTCTATCAAATTACGCTGGCGATGATTCTGTAGATGACTACGTATACTCCGCTCTAGCCAAAGTCTTTAAGAGTTATAATTCTGGCGATATAACCGATAATATTGCGGAGACCTTAAATGTTCGTAGGCGTATGAAACTGAAGTCAAATCCATTAAGTCCGTTCGAATTCTTAGATCATTTCATTGGAGAAAATCCACCAACATTCCCTCCGGAAGAGAAAGTGCGTAGATGTTATGTTTAATTAAGTAACACTAAAAATATTAATGTATTATATGTTTAATTACTTTTAGTTAATGGAAAAGTTTCAGAAATGGTATCAGAAAGCTAACAAGTTGTGCGTTGCCAGGAGAAAGTTTTTCAAGAAAAAGAATGAGAAAGATAAAAATAGAAAAAAATGATTCGCATTTTTATTTATATTATTATTGATTTCAATGTAATGGAAAGTAGAAAAGTTAATAGAAACCAATTAGTTAAATGAATGCGGCTAAAATTTCCAACTGTTAAGCAATTTACAAAGAAAAAAAAATTTGATTTGTGTATTGTTCTATAGAAAATAAAACTAGTCTGTTTTTATATGCTGAAATAAACTTAAGTCTTTGCAGATGATCTAGAAAAAAGCTTTTTTAAAAAAAAAACTGAGACTTAAAATAACACATTTCTTCAATTTTGACCGATGTCTTTGCCGTGATTTTGCACAGATCGACAGGTTGGGAGGTTTTTTAAAACTTTCAGAGATTCTAAAAAGTAAACGTTTCTGATGGAGTTTCGTTTTGTTTAAAACAACATTGACAACTGCAGTTTAATTACGCTCTTTTTTCTTACATCACCTAGATTAGGTTAGGTTATGGTGGCTACCGATCTCTTGTATCAATTACACATTGTGATTCCGCAAAAATTTGGCCATTTGGATATCTTTGATAGAATATCCAGCTATAGGGTCCAAAACTTTAGAAACCTAGTGCTAGTGGTCTCTTAGTACACATCTCAACATCTCATCTTATCTCACGTCGGCCAGTTGTGGCTGGATTTGCGGCAGGTTTTAGTTCCATTTCTCCTTGACGCAGCATGCTCATATGTAAAGTCCTTAAGAAGCAAGTTGCAAGAGGCATAAGGCATTCCAAAGCGTTCTGTATCAATAATAATAATCTGCTTAGTCGTATCTCGTCTAGCAAGTTTATTCGCCTTACAGGTTTCCTCGACGTCCCAGAGACAGTCTATTTTGAAGCTGAATTGATAAAATATATTTCCGCCAGGCACTGGAATGGCCAGTGCCCCCAGTGTCCCTCAGAAGACACTTTCGCCGACTCTCCCCTTAAGATTTTCAGGCTACCACGCGGAGCATGAAATTAACTTTCTCTTCTTCTCCTTTGGGAAGTCGTTTTCTGAAGTAATTATCGGTAAATGTAATTGGACCGCATCACCTAAAAAACGAAGAAATTAAGACATTAATATTGTATGAAACCAAAACAGTGGTACAGTGTATTTCTTTAATTAAAGTGCCTAACTCATGTATATATCTACAATATGTAGGTATGTACACGTATACATACGAAAAATACATATTAGGCACTTTGTAAGTGTCGTAGCGATTTTCGGCCGAGATCTGCAATAATTGTCGATTTTGGTCAGGCTAGGACTCAAACTCAAAACCTTTGGCATAGTAGTATGCACGGTTACCCGCTCAGCTTTTGCGGCCATGCATATGACAATTCGAGGAAAAATTGAATTATTTGGATAAAACCTGGGCCACGTTTCCCTCGGGCAACTAAAGCGAAATACTCTGATACTTGAATGTAAGTCATAGGCAATGACAAGAATAGAAGAATTATAGAAATTTGAGCGTAAAAAAATATTGAATTGACATTTAACATCAAATATTTGGAGTATAAGCATCGGGTGTTAAGTATTCAACAGAGCATTTCATAACCTAAAAATGCTTCGATTTTAAACCTTACTTTAAAGGAAACAGACCAACTCAAATTAAACAAATTTGATTATTTACCTTTTGCGTTGACTTTTAAAAGTTATTATATATGTATTTAAACTAAGATTTCGTTTGGAAAACATTAATATATTTATGCATTTTTGTTTGTAAAATATAATTGAAGATTAATTAAGTCTAAAATTTACTGTAGGGATCACTATGATTATGTATGCATTAATTTGAAAAAGTAGCATGCTAAGCCAGTGCTCCAACTATGATTTCTTACCATAATAAAGGACATCATACATTTAATTACGAAGTATGTACGTATGCATGTGTGTACACATATGTGCATACATTTTATATTTACTACTTACTAAACTAATTGAAAATTTGTAATTTAGAATTTAGCTATGCATTCACATGGACATCCTTACATTTAAAGTATTTGTTTTTGTTTCTTTTTAATGTGAATAAATAAAAAATATATTATACATATTAAATAATACATATATACATATGCATAAATGGATGCTCATACATATGCACTTATAATATACATTTTTTATGCTTACAACTTACATATACAATACCATATATTATATATATATATGTATATATAATAGCGTATATACATTTGTGCCCGTGCATATATGTAAATATAAAAATACATAGACTTATGTATATGCATTTAATTACATACAGACATATGTAACGTTATCTCCGTACTAAAGAACTATGGAACAACGCCTTCTTCAACATAAAAACGAGCCAATAATTAAAAACTTGATTAAAACGAATTTTAATTTTGTGTAATTTTGTAATGCATTTTCATAAGGGCGCTACATCAAAATTAACTCTTTAAATATTCATCATTAAATAAACCGTAGTTTTATGTGCTAATACAAAAGTCTGGTGTTTTTTAAGGTTAACTTTCAATTGAAAACGCGCTCGGGTGTGTTGTGCTCGGTAGTAAAATACGCTATTCGGTTGTCGTTTAGTCATAACATACTAAATATATGTAAGTTGCGAAAGCCTCAAGTTAAAAAAAATCCCATCACTGTTTTATTTTTGAATATTTTTTGTCTCTAGGGAACCGTTCTGTTTAATGTAAAAAAAAATTTTTTGGATTTTATAGAACTTTTAAAATCATACTTGAAATAGTAAAAGGCTATAACATGTGTAACTATGCTCGGCGAGGTTTATTTACAAGTTGTCATCTTATAGAAAAATGCCATGAACATTAAGTTGTTTAAAATTATTTTAAGAAATTATATTTACGATTTATATACCTAAAAGAAAAAAACTAGCATTCGAAATCCAATTCAGAGCTATGCTCGCCGAAACAAAGTCGGGAAAATATTTGACTTGGCCTAATGTACTACATATGTACATAAATCCAAATACTTACACGTACATATTCGTATCTGTAGCAAATACATACATTTGCATTTTTATTCTATACATAGTATTTGCGTTGATTAAAATTAATCTTATACTAGAATGCGGATTATTTAATATTATATTTTAGTATTTATTATATTTTTACTTACTTAACAAAATCTTATATAATTAACATCGTTTAAAACGTTATACATCCATATATTGTACATACATATGTTTAATAAAATAAAGCAAGCCCGGCCTATCATTTTTTATCACTGTCGATTTTATTTTTGTCCAATGAAGATGACACCATACCACCACTATTTGATGGATATAATTTATCTAGATAATTGAGCGACTCATTCAGAAATGTCTGGAAATAAAAGGATATTTTTCATTTAAATTACGTGTTAATCGGTTAGAAGCAGCCTTGTATGTATGTATGAGTTACCTGAAAAGCATGCAGAACGGCCATTATTGCTGGCGATCCAAATCCATGGGTGATCAATGAAAAGTGGGTAAGGTGTCGCTGCATTGATGGCTCTAGCAAGTGTTGGGATCTGGTGCCATATTGGGTTGTGCGATCTTGGCTAAGCACTTGCATCAGTTCCTTCGTTATCTATGAAGTAAGTAAACAATAATTTATGTGTAATTATGTATAAGAGTGTCTCCACAGTAAAATTCAAAGAAATTTAAAATAGTAGAAAGTTTCTACGATAAGAGTAAATGTAATAAATAACAAAAAAAAGCTTTTAGAATAAAAGTAAAAGTTTTTGATTTCTATGGTAGCTTTACCTGTTGCGAATGTATGAGAAGCTCCTTCCTGCGGTAAGACTCTTGGGGTTCAGTTTGATGTCTTATGACATATTCTGCAAGCTGACGAGCAGGGAATTCAGTTTCGCAGACAAAATGAAAATCCTTTGCCAGATGTGTAGCTTCTCCTTCTACCAAAGACGTGAGCAGTGTGACATTAGCGGCCTTTCGTCGGCCCGCTGGTAAATTTAAACCGATTTTTTCAAGTTTTTCCCTTAATAAACGTCCACCATTCTTGCTCTTAGCTCTATAATAGAAAAAATAGGTGGGTAGAAATTAATGATATATGAATTAAATTGAATTTCAGATATGTTACTAACCTGCGTAGCACTCCACCCAATAACGAAGCATTTAAACATTCTGGTGGAGATAATCTTCGTTGAACTTCGGCGATTGTTACTTTATATTTGGACGTGCTGGAAAGAAGGCTAAGTCGTCCTGGTACAGCGCAAAATACTTCACTGGGTGAACCAGAACCTATATTTCCAAGTTCCTTCCCGCTTTTAATGCCTAAGTATGAAGATGATAAATAAAACGGAACGTTTTCTGTTATTAATTAAACTTAACCATGTTTCAAGAATATTTTTTGTATTCATTATATCTAGCACTGACTGATTTTTTAATCTGTGCTTAAGTATAATAATTATAATAATAATAATAATAATAATAATAATAATAATAATAATAATAATAATAATAATAATAATAATAATAATAATAATAATAATAGTAATAATAATTATAATATCTTATCCTTAAGTGTAATAATAATAAATATTGCATTGTTTTTCGCGAAACGGGTGGAGGAGATTGATCGCTCCATTGTAAAAAAGCAATACACTCCACAAATCGATTTCGAATGTACCTCATCAAAAGCTCTCACACCGATCTTCCAACACAAACAGTGTCCCAGGGCACTGAGATGTTTGTTAATGAAATATGATTTAAACTATGATATTCTTGTGAGAAAATTCACTAAAAATTAGCCAGTAACGTAATTGGGAGAGTAAAATATTTTATCTTTTCGGTTACATTTGAATCCGTTCATTTATACAACTTTTTCTGCTTTTAGGTATTTTAATAAAATTGGCAATTTTAATTCATTTTTAACTAATAAATTGTATCAAAAATGTATTGTATTGTATTTCAGCAATAATGAAATTCTACATGTTTTGTAGCTGTCAAGTAAGACGCTTTTTGACGCTTAGATTTTCAGGAAAGATGATTGAAATATGTCAAAGAGTTCGGAATCCTTTTTCTGTAAAAGTCGTCAATATTGACTAATGAAATTCAAGGAGGAGTTTAGGTGTTTCTTTCATTTTGTGTATGATTGTTGCTTCTGGAAGTTTAAGAATGCAGTATCGTCATTGTGCTTCGCAATGTTTCGCGGCTCATTTGGTCGGCACTACTTTCCAGTAAATTTAAGGAATCCATAATTACATATACATATATACATATATTATTGGCGCTTTGTAACCGCTTAAGCGATTTTGGCCGAGCTCCTCCAATTTGTGGTTTTGCATCTTGATGTTTTTGCAACAATGGGAGGGACTTACAGTTTATACTAATTCGCCTTCGAACGAGAGGGGCTTTCTTTTATTTCAGAAATATACTCGGAGGGGTTGACATTCCCTGCCGAAGGGCGATCGCAATTATAAAATTTAACTTAATTTTTTATTTAAATTAAATTTCGATAACGCACGAGGATTTGAACACGAGCCTTCCGGATGTCAGTACGCAATGCTAACCACTCGGCTATTGCGGCCGCCGCCATAATTAATATGCATTGTATAAAAAATAATAATTTATGTAATCTAATTATATGCCTTCAGCTTTCCTAACATAATTCCTCAATGGGCGATAATTCCACTCTACTCTTGAATTGTTATTATCATTAAAGTAAGATTCAGTAGCAGTTGTTACTGTCCGAACAGAACTCTTATAAAAATCACCATTTTATTGATAAGAACTTACATATGTAAGTATGTATATTTCATAATAATGGCGACCTAAAATTTATTTTGTACATAATTATTTACATAGAAAAACATTTCGTCATTTGCTTTGCCAATTTTTAAATGAAACTATTGTACATGAAGCTTAGTTATTAGGGATGAATGCTCCCGAGTACTTACATATTTATGAACATGCTGAGATCCTCATACATATGGACATATTTGTAGCATATTATACTCGTAATTCATATACATATACGTATGTATGAACAACTCGGATCAAATGCAACAATATTTGGGGCGTTTGTTTAAACATAATTATGCCAATTATAAATGTGCGAAGATCGGTAGGGATTCTATTACACAATACCTGTGAAATATGACGCAAAAGTGAACCTCAACAGCACCAGGTGTGTTTTTGGTTATTCCTCCTTCCTTCGTGCAAAAATGACATTTAAGTATCACTCAGTGTGATGCATTCTTAACAAACTATGTAAGGCAAATGACTGTGACACTGCCATTGTGGACACTGTTTACCCGATCTTTTTCCACTTTTGTTTGCTGGTACTTTTATTTCAATATGCCTTATTTTACACTTTCTGTCTTTTATAGTAACTCGAGATTACGTGGATTATAATAGGCAAGAGAAATCATTTCTTTACAGTTTCTGTTTATACCGAAGTGAGTAAGTTAGTTGTATTTGAGAGATAAATTTCAATAATCACTGTTACACGCTTAACGAATTCGCAAAAAAGATAGAGTTAATGAAATAAACTTCAGTAGGAAATTAGACGAAAATACTTTCCCTTCATTTTTCTAAATAATTTTCTTTTTACATGAAGTTACGCGTTATGCGCTTTTATTAATTCTAAGAAATTACAAATAAGAGAGAAAAAGCCTTACTTTTAATTAGAGGTAGGTCCGACATAAACGCTACATTGTCATCCATGCCGGGATTTTGGACATCATCGACAGCATTTTGTAGTGCTTGATGTAAGGCAAGAGGATCATGTTCGTGGGCAAGCCGACCACCATGTGTTGCTCCTCCTGATATGGTGCTACTATAATCGGCTCGTCTGTCTGTATATGGAAAACCATGGGATAGCTGCGCCTGAAATAAAATGAAAAAAAAAAACAGGAATAAAATACAGAATTCAAATATACTTGTACATACATACATATGAGTCTAATTTAAAATTTATACTTTTTTCGCATTCAGTTGAAAAATTAGCTGTAATCTTCCCAAATGAGCTAAAGCTGTTAATAGCAATGCACTCATTAATAATTCGATATAAAATAACTGTAAAGCGGTTATGCAAGGTGCCTGCACTCCGCCGTAAATCCAATTAAACTTAAATAATGCAACAATCGATGCTTATTGCTGCTTACTGCTGTCAGGAAACAGGATGAGGAAAAATCTCTTTATTGTTCATTTTTTTTTATTTGGTCCACAGGTAGGTTTTTGCCTAAGTTAAGCTAAGGACCATATTATCCTGAAACTGGACTTGGAAACGATCTATTAAAAAATCGTATTCGATTCGATATTACTTCAAATCCATTTATTTCTACGGATTGGGCCAAATACGTCCGGAAGTAGAAAGGTAAAAACTATTCATATGGTTCGATCATGTTTAATTTTTGTAAGAAGCTATTTTTCTGCCTAGACAAACAGATGCCGGATATAAGCCCGGGAGCGAACCCGATTCGCATGCATTTTGGTAAGTTGGCAGGGGCTTTTTCTAGATCAACTTATACAATATTTTAATTTCCAGAAGAAGGCTACAGATTAACAGATCTCCGAAAATAGGCATGATTTGAGGTTAAAATATAGATCTTTCATAGATAGCTGAGTCATATTAGTATAGAGACTGTTTTTAGTTTAATGATAATAAGCCATTTTTATTCTTTCAATCTTCTTAGTAGTGGCATTCCCCTAATGTAGAGTCAATCACGTTATATTTACATTTGCGCGGAAGACTTGGAGTCTGATCACGTGTACAACTTTGCTTCCGCCGTTTTCCGATAGGTGGCTGTACCGGTTGAGGCTGGTTGAAATACATAGATGATAATGCCTTCAAAGTGCCTAACGAATTGTCATCGCCGTTTCAGTGACAGTTGTTCTTGTTTTCGTATTATTCACGCTCGAAAATGTCCGTTTATTTGCCTAATTCTAGCCATTTGCGGGAAGTTTTACTTTTCTTTTACAATTCGAAAAAAATGCAGCTGAAGCGCATCGAATGCTCTCAGAAACTTACGGTGATGCTGCTCTGAGTGAAAGAACGTGTCGGGAGTGGTTTCAACGTTTTAAAAATGGTGATTTCGATGTCGAAGACAAACATGGTGGTGGAAGAGAAAAAAACCTTCAAAACCTTCAAAAACTTCTTAAAACCGGGTGAAACCATCACAGGAGATCGCTACCGAACGTAACTCATGCGCCTTAGTCGTGCGCTAAGAGAAAAGTGCCCACAATATCAAGAGCGACATGACAAAGTCATCCTCCAACACGACAATGCTCAGCCTCACGTTTCAAAAGTGGTCAAAAAGTACCTGGAAATGCTGAAACGGGAAGTCTTGCCACACCCGCCGTATTCTCCAGATATCGCCCATTCTGACTTCCACCTATTCCGTTCGATGGCACACGGGCTGGCAGATCAACATTTTCAATCCTTCGAAGAATTGGAAAAATGGATTGCTTCATGGATAGCGTCAGAGGACTCCTTTTTCGAGCCAGGATCCGAAAATTGCCGGAAAGATGGGAGAAAGTTGTCGCTAACGAAGGACAATACTTTGAATAATATATCTGTAAGCACTTTTTCGCAATAAAGCTTTTAATTTTGAAAAACAACGGCGGGATCAAAGTTGTACACCAATAACTCATCCGTTGCAATTTGCTAACATAAAATATTGTAAACACATAAATACAAAATAGATAAAGTAAGTGTGGCAGAGCTTGCTAATGAGCTTACAATTGGAGCTGTGTCACCGCTGAAGCGATTTTCGGCCGAGGACCTCTTCCAATTTGTAGTATGCGTCTTGATGTTTTTCTAACAAAGTTTATAATAATCGAACAGAAATATACTGGGAGTGATTGACATTCCCCGCCGAGAGGCGATCTAATAAATCTTATTTAAAAAAAAAACTCATATGGACGAAGCCGCGAGCAAACTTTATTTTATAGCAATAATATGAGACGAACCGGTTAAAGAGGTTCAAAAGATATGTACTATTGTTGTACATGATATAATAGGAGCAAAGCATTTCTGATAATTATAAATTTAGTATACTCTCCCCAATTCATATGAAGGTATAGCCTATCACATCGAAATATCGCAAAGAAGTTTTTTCAGCGAACTATGTCAAAGATTAGAAGCTGTGTAAACGATTGATTAAATCTTAAATCACACATAGTATAAGCCCCAGAACACAAATGATAAAATTATATCACTCCCTGAAACTTATGAGGGTAATCCAACTAAAAGTAAACAGCACAAAAAGCGAATTCAGAATTTCGGTACCAAAACGGGTACTGGTTTCTAATTAGAACTACGAGCTGCAGAACTACAGTACAATTTTAAAACAAAGGCGGCCGATTGAGGCACTTGCCGGCAGTTCTGAATAAGGGAGTTATGGATGGGTCTGACCGTGAACGAGGACGACACGAAACATATTTTGTTGTCAAAAGAGTGTTAGCGAATTTGCAGACTTGTCCCCGATGTCACTGAATAAGCAAATAAATAGTGAAGTTCCCTGCCTCGAAGAATGAAAACTAAACTACTGCTATTACTACTAGCGTAGAAAATGACAACATCGGATGAATCCGTGATACAGGTCAGCTTACCATGTTACCCAGATGTGTGCAACTACTTTAACTCACTGGAATCAGTAGAAGGAAGACTCTTTGCGCATTTTAGCCCAAGTCGAAATTGCCAAATGATTCTAGGTCACCCTCTAACGGAATGAAGGTCCTCCTTGTCCAATTTTGGCTTTCCCTTTTTACAACAGCTAAATGGGCTAAGTCTAACTACCTCCGAAGTTGCATAGTGCGGAAAGCATGATGCGGCGTTGTACTTCTTCATTTTAAATATTTAACTGTACATTGCTTACAACTATTTACCCCGGATTTTTTCTGTTTAATTATTTGGTAAGTATGGTAAGAAACTTTGGATGTTTCTTGAGCTAAGCTCGGGCGAGTATATTTGTATGGGAAATATGTGTGTGTGTATGTGTGTGTGTATGTATAGAGCGCAACACATTCATATGTTTATTTAAAATTATTCATATTTGCACAAGTAGATGCCTAGACTTATAATGTACGTATGTACGAGTATATTGTGTATTTTTGGTGGAGGAATTTTTCTAAAAAATAGAAATAATAAACTTATGCTTAAGATTAAGGGTTGATAGAAGTCCTCTGCCAATCCCGCTTAAGTAGCTATGACCGTTTATGTCTTGACGAGTAAGTTACCCCAAAGGAAATTCCGTAAATAACTTGTTAATAAGTACGATCCTTAAAATGGAGTAGGTAAAAGTATCTGAAGTATTTCGGTTGGAATGTTTTGTACAGCATAGCGGTCTTTGCGATGCGAAAGTTAGTTTAAGGAAAAAGCATAAATTTTCAAGTGTGCAGTAAGGAAATATGTATGTAAGTATGTCCACGCTCACTTCAGTGATTTATATACGCATGTTTGTATGAATTATATGTAATATATGCATAAATCTGATAAATCGTTAATATTTTGTCAATGATCAATGCTTCATATCTATGACTGACGGGCATTATTTTGAAGGCAATAAATTTAGACACCTCTGAAGAACTGATTTATCTGCAAAATACTCGTTAAAGACCACAAATATAATGAATTACAGATTGGAGACCCGTATATAGGAAGTATTCGTACTTGCTCGTGATGGGAAAACGTGGCCTGCTTGATTTGTTGATCTTCACTGGACCTTTACATATTTTAATTTATTTTACATAGAGAGCAAAGGAACTTGGTGTATAAAACTGTTCATAGTCTTGAAATTAGATGAGTAACCAACAATCTCTATGAAAAAAATTAGCGAAGAGGTTCATGTATAAAAATTCTCCCTAGTGAGGAAAGTTTTTACTGCCATTCATCTGGGGGTCGCCTATCAAAATTCTTTTAAATATACATATATCTTCTTATGGGTAGCCAACAAACATCCATTTGGGGAGGTGAGAAAAAATGGAAAATTTATATATATATATAATTGGCGCTTTGTAACCACTGAAGCAATTTTTGGGCCGCGCTCCTCCTCCAATTTGTGGTTTTGTGTCTTGGTGTTTTCCATCAAATGGAAGGACTTATACTAAGTCGCCTCCGAACGGCTGATGGTTTTTTTTAGGAGGAGTTTTGTTTCATGTCAAAAATACACTCGGAGGGGTGGATATTCCCTGCCAAGGGGTGTCCGCAATTAGAAAATTTGGCTTATTTTTTTATTTAAATTAATTTGATCCGCCTATGATTTGTTTGATGGAAGACATGCCTCCAGTGTTTTAGATATGCGTACGCTGCGACGATATTGTCGTTGTGAATATACGCAAAGAATAACCGTCAACAAAAACATGGAAAGTTCGACGTCAATAGCAGCCAAGACACAACACACAGCTAAACGGTTTCCTACTCATACTGTCGTCGAATCTTACGACTTGGTTCCTACATTACTGTTGAGAGTCATAACATCGAGGTCGTAGATAATTTGGCCTATTTAGGGACCAGCATTAACACCAATAATAATTGCAGCTTTGAAATCCCACGCAGAATCATTCTTGTCAACAGGTGCTATTTTGGGCTGAGTAAGAAGTTGAAAAGTAAAGTCCCTCCCCACGAACAAAAACCAAACTCTACAGGTCTGTCATTATTGGTACCAACGAATACCGCAGACGATGGAACGTTGAGCCGTTCGAGCTCGTCCAAACGAATGAAAACTTTTCAGCTCTGAAAATATTCGATGCAGTACCAGCTGGTGGAAGAAGAGGATGAGGAAGACCTCTACTCCGTTGGAAGCATCAGGTAGGAAATGACCTGGTTTCAGCATACCTGCAAAACATACCAACGACCATTTAACTCTCTCTTTCTCTCTATATATATATATATTATATATATATCTCCCGAAGAATTCGTTGCTACGTGAGCTATTTTACTTGTAGTTAAAAAAATTGTAAGTTTAAGCCAAGAGAGTTTCTGTTCTGTTTCTCTCAAGGCGTTCGTGTTTGAGTCTTACTTAGGTTAAACACTGGTAGTTAGCGACATGCCTTCGATTCCACAATAGCTATTCTAATTGCGGAAAAATAATAGCATTTGGTAGAGGACTAAACCACATAATCCCCACGACGACAGGTGTTTTCGTGTGATGAAGGTAATTGGTGTTAATCGCAAAATCGAGCTATGTGGGAATATCTATCCATACGGTCAATTTCTGTTAATAATTACACTTAACCATGCTCCATGAATATCTCATCAGAAGCATTCTATTTTCAGGAGGTGACTATGCATTTTGATTTTAAATGTGACCTAAAAAATCCAAAACTGCTCGACCTAGAAGACTTAAACGACCTTGTTATGGATCTGGGTTCGTCAAAAACTGTCAAATTAGTTAGAAAATAGACAGTACTTTCTTATAACATGAGAATAAATTCTTCTTAAATGTTTTGCTTAAGAAAATTATTTCGTAGTTTGTAAATATGTACTTAATGTACTACTTTCAAAGGCTTTGATGTAAGATCAAATTTGTGTCTCTCAGCTTACTGTCAACTATTAGTAACCTAAATGTGTGTCGAAAGTAGCGGCTTGACGCCATGAGTTAGTTCTGTCTGTTTGATTGTTTGAAATTTTGTAAGCAAGTACCATTCGCATGGGAAGACTAATTTGGTCTTCTGCACTTATATCACGAATAAGTTTACGACACTGAACCGATTGTTCAAATAAGGCTTATTAGATGTCATTGTAATAGATCTATTGTAAAATGAAGTTATCTCATCAGTTTCGTTGCAGTTTTTATTTTAGTTATTCTATGCGCTTCATCAGCAATTGTAAAATACTTACCACATGACCCTGCAGTTCTGCTTCTCTATGAGATCGGTGTATACCAAGCTGATCTTGAGTTGATCGTAAACCGGCTAGTTGATTATAGTGGTGCAGCGGAGCGTGGTGTAACGATGATAACGGTTGTCCATATGGATCTGTACCCAAATACTCTAAAGCTCCATGGTTCTGTAAATATGCAGGTACCTAATCAATATTAGATTATTTTTATAAATCTGAATTATTTTCATATGTATGAGGGAATTCTATTTTCTTAAATATAACAAAAACTTTAGTCATAAAAATTTAGGAGGGCACATATATAAAAGCAACTTTTACTTTTCTATTCGAAATTAATATAATTATTTGTTTTTAGAGAGATTTTCATAAAAAAGGTTTCTAATATTTTTTTACAAGGATCAATTTACATTAGCTCTGAGAGAGAATACAATTTTTTGTTTGTCATTTTTCCCCTTTAGATAAAATCAAAAAGTCTGGCAAACTGTAAGCTCTAACCAAGAGAAAAGAAGCGCAAAAATTGTTTCCCATTTTATAAGGCAACGCTGTTTTTCCTTTTTTCTTCTTAATTCCTTTTGACTATTTCTGAAAACTTTAAATTTCTTTTAATTAATAACCATTTTTAATTTCTTTCATTGTTAGAGGAAAATTTGGGAGATACGTTTTTATCTATGAAAACTTAAACGAATAAGTGTCAATAAAAAGGCGGAGTGAGAAGAGGGGTACGGAATATTTTATATTCCCTTATTCGAAAAAAGAGTGCGTCATTAGAATTTAATGCACACACTTTAAATTACAGATTCTTTCTTAAAAATAGAGGGTTGCCTTTAGTTTGAAGCCTGTGGTTTTAAGATTTATGTGAAAGTAATTTTTTTGTCGTTTTCTTATTTTATTTTTCTGCATATCTATTGTGAATTTCTAGATTATTTGGAGTGGCAGCGCTCTCTAGTCAAATGTTGTTAGTGTTTTCATAAGTAAAACACAAGCAAGCTCCCTGTATATGAAAATTGTATCTTTAAATGTTGATAACTTTTAAACTATAAATTTGCGCGTGATACAATTTATATTTTTGGTAATTGTAGACTTCCCACTACCAACCCTGACTATTTCATCTAAATAAACTACAGGCTCTATACTAAAGTTTTGCGAAATATATTCAACATTTTTTGATCAGGTTAGCTTTGAAAAATATGTGAAATTGTGCTCATATGAATTAGACTTTCTCATTAATTCTTTTGTGCAGTCACTGAGAGTGAGAAAGTGTTGGAAATAAACAGAATAGGCTTTGTATTTTGTGTATTTATGAAATAATTCACATTGAAATAAATGCCTATTCGTTCGAGAACAGTCGTTCGAATCGGGCTCATTATTTTCGCCTAATGGTTGACGAATCTTAAGTCCTGTCAGACTTTTATCAGCTGCCCAGCCAAGCATTTTATGTCGCTGATGCCAGAGGAAACGTCCAGAAAATATTTAAAACCTGAAGAAAGGCAAAGCTTCTGCTAAAATCTCGTCACTACTTGCAAAAGAGACTAAATCCAGTTTTAGCCAATCATCATGCTTCTCCCTTCTTTGGGCCTGATCTTGCAACATGTCATTACAGCAAGGCGGCTCTTAAGTGGTATTGGAAAATTATTTAATTTATGATTACAGAGATGTGCATATAGGTCGTTGCACTAATTTCTAATTTCAGTGGAAGTTGAATTTCACTTTCAATAACCGTTATTCCTATGTCCACCGCAAAGGATGTGCTAAAACTGGGTTTAGCTAAAAATGCAAATATTATATGGCACATGCAAGGATATGACCAGAGCTGAAAGCAAAAAAATTCCAGATCAATTCTCCATGAAGGCAGGGCACTGTAAATGCGGCTTCACGAGAAAATAATGAGCTATTACTCTAATGATTTCTTTCGGAGTTGTGGGAACGAGGAAGAGGAATAATCTGATAAATACAGAGGATTTTTGCAAACAATGTTTTGTTCGATTTATACCATTTCTGTAACCATTTCAAAAGATCTCTTTCTGGTATTGTTCAGATTTAACCAGGATAATTTAAGTTGTTTTCTTTATTGAGGCTTACGATAATACTTGTAATACTAATAATATAACAAACTGTTTCCTAATGTTATGCCCACAGTTCTGCCGCAGAAAATAATTTTTGGAAAACATATTGCTCACGCGGTTAGTGCTCAATATGTATTTACAGAATATATCGTTACATGTATGTCGTGGTTTTACTAATAATTGGCTATTTCTTGTATTACCTGTTGCTGTGGCGGACTCTGAGTTGAATGATGAAATGGTGGGGGAAAGTAGGGCGGTTGGAAGTCTGATTGGAGTGATTGGTGATGCATTGTTGCTGCGGACCCATGAGTGCTGCCATGACTGCCGTGCCCTGAAGAGGGTCCAGCACGCCCACTGTGGCCGCCCGTATGTGTAGTATAAGCCGGGCTACTGCTTGATAATCCCATGCCATGACTAGTGAGGCGTTCCTGAAATATAAATTAAAATTTATGCTTTAGTTATGCTGTAACAGAAATATCTAGTGGTTTTTATTCGAGTTATTGTTATTATTGAACAAGGTGAAGGAAAACGGTAATACTTAAATTGTCAAGAGCTGATGTGGAAGCTACACATATATAGAAGAAAGGATGAAAAAAATTACAGAAACATGGGATCCGTGCGAAACATGTAACCTCTACACGGTTGTATCTAAATTCTCTGATGGAGTGTGCTTTTTAATCTTCCAGAGAACTACAGTATTTTCAAGGTGAAAGTCTTTGCTATAGGGAAAGCTGGTGAGACAGCTAGTACTGCCGGGCGACAATAAGGCAATAATCTGGTACCTTATTGCTTTAGAAGCAGGGACGTAGGCTAGGCCGCCGAGGGAAATGGCTTCATAAATACTGGGTTCTGGGGCACAAGGGCTTTATGGACAACGAAATAGCTGATTAGATTGCCAAAAGGGCCACCCGTCTTGCTAGAGAACCAGTATAGGAAATACAAAAGTCGCTAAAAAGGATATATAGTAATATTTCCGGAGGAACTGGATGCTGGATTAGGGTACCATAGAAGGCATATGCGACATGCAAATGCCCATTTCTTGCTTACAATATTAAAGAAAGTGAATAAATACATATTTAGAAGGTACAATCTTCTATAAGAGTGTACAGCTGCTGGCGTACGCCGATGATACTGACTATATTGACCTCAACAACCGCGCAGTTAGTTATGCTTGCTCCAGACATGAAAAAGAAGCGAAGCAAATGAACCTCGTCATGAATGAGAGCAAGACGAAATATCTCCTGTCATCAAACAAACAGTTATCGCATTCACGACTCTGCTTCCACGTCACTTCGTCTATCTTGGAACCAGTATTAACCCAGTAGCAATGCCAGATGGAAATTCAATGTAGAACCCTTTCTGCAAACAGGTGCTACTTTGGGCTGAGCAGGCAATTCTCTCTTTCGGAGTCGCTCATAGTACCCGTTCTACTTTATGGAGCAGAGGAGTAAACGATGTAAACAGCTGATGAGTCGACTTTGGAAGCTTTCGAGGGAAGGCTTGCATTTCCAACGGCAAATACCTCAGTCGATAGAACGATGAGCTGTAGGAGCTACATATTTGATGATATTGACATAGTTCAGATAATGAAGTGACAGCGGCTACGCTAGCTGGATCATTTCGTCCAAATGGATGAAAGCACTGCAGCTATGAAAGTATTCGATGCAGTACCCGCTGGTGGAAATTCGGTTTAAAACATCAAGATACAATAGAAAACCAGCGTTACACATCTCCTGCCGAAGCAAACATTAACCGTCACCGCGAACTAGTGACAGTCCAGACTGTCCTGAACCCGAGGTCGATGGCAAATACACTTGCTCATCAGTTGTTCTAGATTATCGTAAAGAGATGCTAAAATTAAGTTCGCTAAGTAGGTATGAGCGGCTGTAACTTATTCCACATTGTGATTATGTAACATATATGCAAAATATTGGAAGGATTTTCTTGAGAAACACATATATTTGAACTTATTTAAATTTAGGGAAATACAGTTCGCATCGCATCACCTAACTAAATTATTTAGGTCAAGTTGCAAAAGCTCTTTATCTTCAATAGAATTAACAGATTTAAAGAGTTTGACATCATCTGCGTACATACAGTTACTCACAAAAGTATATTGCATATGAACGTGATAATGAAAGTTTTATATATTTTTTATTTGTTTTTTGGGATTTATATTTATTTAGCTATTTAGCTTAGACATATGTAAATATTTTGGCAAAAGTCCAAAAAATTCCTATATAATCAATTTATCTTTTTCTTGACTAAAATTCCACTATTTTTGGAAAACACCCTCAAAAGGCCTTGCAAAAGATTCGACAAGGTTTTAAAATAAATTTTGTGGCTATTTATTCCTTCTGGGAGCAAACCATCTTTGAAGTCAGTTTTGCATGTGACTTTGTGCTTAATTGAACGGGATTAAAAGTTCACGATACACTTTTCTTTTGACATTATATGTGTCTTCAGTCATACAGCATTCATGACAACAACCACCGGCAGAGAGAGCCCAGGTTCTATGAATTTCTCTTAAAAATCTTGTTTCAATTAAAATGTACACACACACACACTTGACGTACTAATATTCGGAGGACAGAGAACGAATCCTGATCTATCCATCAATAATAGAAAATTTTTTTTTCTAATTTCGGTTGACCCTCGGCAGGGAACGTCAACCCCTCCGAGCGTATTTGTGGCATAAAATAAAGGCTCTTTATATACCACAGCTTTAGATACCCAGGTATCGTACTCGTGCTACTCGGAAATGTTCGAAAAGTATCTTAAGCTCCATAATGTACATGTTTATAGAGACAAAGAAACACATTTAGCGTTAGATTACTTGTTTTCTCATAAAATCGCTGATTTGTCGGCGGCATAATTTTTTGGGACTAATTTTTTTACCATTTTATTTTTTTATCATTTTAACGGGAATGTTCTAGTATTTGATAATATATTTTATTGTTGGGTACATTATAAGCACGTGCAACTGTGTTGATATTTGTAAAATATCAAATAGGTTGGAGAGCCAGCTCAGTCCGTTCTCAAGTTCGTAAATAAAGCTTTAGAATTATTTGATAAAACTTGCAGTTTGGAAAAATATTTGCTTACGAAGTTGTACTGCTTTGCTCGAATCCGTTCCGGTAATTTTGATGTCAAACACTCAAACTCACCAGATGGTTCATAATCAATTAAAATGACTGGCCACTCAAAGAATCAGTATGTTTGGGTGCCCAATGAATTAACGCAAAAAAATTTGGTTAATCGACTTACAAACAATATAACGTTTTTGAAACCCAGTCCCAATGAACCATTTCGGGAGCAACTCATCAAAACCATTGTTTAAGGCCAGTGAACCTCCACAAATGACTTTAAAACCTTACGAAACCAAAGATGATACTGAGTGTTTTATGAGCTGCTACAACCTGGCGAAACGATCAATTCTGAGCTCTATTGTCAATAATTAACTAGATTAAAAAAATTATCGAAAATGAAATAACATATAAAGCTATAATAAAATATAGCATAGGTAGAATCGTTATATTATAGGTGCCATAGGAAAAGTTGCAGCATTGGCGTTGAGTGCGTTAACGAGTTGTGAAAACTTATAAGCGGAACCTTGCTGAATCAATCAATAATAAAATTGTTGTGTTTCATCTCATCATGTCAACGCCAGACTACATATGCATGACCACCAAGGAAGCTTTAATGCACCCACCATATAACACGTACACCATCCATCCAACATTGGTTTCGGTATATGCAAAACACTCTTGATGGTAAAAAATATACGACTAACAGGCTTATTCTGTCGAGGTAACAAAATTTACCTAGGTATTAAAATTTACCATTCAGTAAATTTTGTTACCAGCAAATTAGGAGTTAACAAAAAATCTACTGTTTGATTTTGTGTTTTTAGTTTGGGAAAAAATAAAAAACCAAAATGGGTAGGCATATTTTAGGACTGGAATTCATTGAAGATGAAGAAAAAGGTGCAAAAAGCCGTATTTTAAGAAGTTTTCGAGACTAAAAAATAGCCCTTTTATTTGTAAGATAACGTTTTCATTTAGCTTTTTTTGTTGACCAGGTATATTTTCCAAAATTAAGTTCAAATATATATGATTTAATAAACAAATTAATAAAATTTTTTAATTTGTTTGTGCACCGTCTTCCATTTCGATGTGAATATTTTTCTTTTTTACTTTATTAACTGGCAAATGTATTTTGACATGGACGAAAAAAGCAATTCTGCCAAATTTTTTTTCAAACATTGTAACCAGTTCGCCAGAATACCAAATTCGACTTCGGGTGTTAAAGAAAAGTAACAAAATTTACTTTACCGGTAACAGTGAGAATAGGCCTGTAAAGAGCGTTTGATAATCTTTCAAACAATTATCTGGCCTATGAACCACAGAACCTTAAGTTTTTTGACTTTGCTGGCATTTAAAGACGCTCTCAAAGAAAATCATAAGTAAGAAAAAATAGTTAAACGAAAATTTCGAATATAAACAAGAATTACATTTTTTTTGTTGTCGATTTAAGTGGCTCACTGACCACAGCATCAAAATACCTTTTGCAATGATTTCTTTACAAAACGAATGTTTATGGAAACATGATTTTTAATTTTGAATATTTAATTTTTAGTTTATGTGATTGAAATTATAGTGAGTAAAAATATAAAAAATACTTTAAGACATTAATTAAATATATGTACATATGTAATTAAATTGCAGAAACTAGTTTCAGTGTGGTCAGACGTGGAAATTGATTTTTTTGACAGCAAAATTCGTGAAGGGAATAAAAGCACTGTGTAGATTGACACGCCTGGCGGCACCTTCAACCATTGCACTGGATATCTTAAGATTCTGCCACTTAGCTATCATAAGCCGGTTTTTAGGATTCTTTACCGATGTTACGTCTGACTTCAATGCTGATAGAGGCACTTCTTACCATACCTTATATCATTTCTCCCTCATTTTTTCTTACTGTGATTGTCCATTTTCAAACTGATATTTAATCAACATCTTTTATACTAATGATGCTCGGGTTTTAACTAAAGATAGTCTAAAATCTAGTCTAAACCTAATAGATTGAAAAGCAATCGAAATCTCCGACTCGAACTAAAAAAAGCTGTTGTGCGACTTTGTGAGTTTCGAAAATTAATAATTAATATTTGAGTTAAAAGAAAATATAAATAAGAAAAGAAAATATAATGAGGGGGGGGGGTTGATTTATACCTTTTTAATTACTGATTAATTTTGCCAAAAAACAAACTGGATTTCCCTCTGAATGCTTGTCAACCACCTATATGCAAACGACTACGTAGGGACAAGTGTAAGAATTCTGCATTTCATGAAAAAAAATACTAAAACGTGAAAAAGAAACATATAGTAAGCACACACTTGGTTCAATTGCAAGGTCATTGGTTTGTGCT